AGTGTAATGCGCAATATACCGATACTGTACACCGGACAGGGTTTAAAACAACCGGATATCCGATCCGCATCACGGACAAACCCCCCACCCCATCCCGCCGACGGCGTATATCGTGTTGTAACGTATTGTCAATATTGGCGAACCGACGACGACGTTCGACCGCATAAAGCGATTGTCATTTGGAATAAACCGTTTGGAAACGGTTGACGGTTTTGAAATTGAAACCGTCGTCCGCGCGTTCTAGGTACGCGGTTTGATTTGATTTTTTTTTTTTTATTGTTATTTTTCCCGTTATCCGCGATCCGCCGATTTTCTCGGATGGTTTTAAATAAATTTGATTCTGGTTTATCGAGTCGTTATGAAATCGCCAGTGAGCTTTTTTACTTTTTTGGTTATTTTCAAATTGGACGTATACTCCGCGCTTCAACATTTCTCACATCGCACGGTATACCGTTTGGGGGTAACGGCAGTAATTTATTTGTACGTCAAATTTTCCGGATAGCTCCCCTGCGCTTCCGGTCTGAATTTTATTGTGCTGGGTTAGGTTGGGGTAACTGGGGCAGTGCACTTTGTATTACTGTCCGATGATTACTGTGAAATGCTCGCTTTGTTATGAATTTGTTTCGTGTATTTTTGAACGAAAACAAGACGTCGTGTTATTTTTAATTTGTTGATAACGTACGATTTAAAGAGCATTTTTCAGGGTTTTAACAGGTGTTACATTCCCAGCTCTAGTGATAGCTCACAAATGGTAAATCCAATGGAATCCCCGTATCAACATTTTTAGGAAACTGTTCTCTTTTCGAATGTGATTTGCAAAATGGAGGAGGTTGCTGTTTAAAAATCGAAAGTCGACATACCGGATGATCCATTTATGTGGGTACACTCATTATTTCGGAAAGTATTAAATTTTTATTTGTTTTCTAGAACATTTAAGAAACAAGCTGCTCTACAATTTTATATTTATGTTATGTTTTGCCATCCTTATTTTTAGAGATAAAACGAGTAATTACTTTTGATTTTCAAATGGCAACTTATATTAAAAACTCCATAACAATACAGATATAAAATTGTAGAGCTGCTTGTTTCTCGAATGTTCTAGAAAACAAATTCCGGAAAAATTTAATACTTTCCGAGATAACGAGTGTACCCACTTAAATGGATCACCTGGTATACTTGATGAAGTACGGTATAAGGGTAAAATTATGAACATATTGTAAATAAGGTAATTAAACGATTATACACTAAATTGATTTTACTCGAAATTTTCGTTGATATATTCGCGAAGGCAAAATATCACACTGAAAACATACTGAATAACGACTGTGAGTCACACGCTATTCGATTTTCAAAAAATTATAATATTGGTTAGATTTGGTTACTATTATATAGTTAGTATGATAAAATGATATTGTATTTCACATATTATATTTTTTGTTCAAATTAACTGAAGCCAATTTATTAACGACGAATCATATTTTAACCCAATCTGTCACAGAATAACTTTGTGACAAGCAAAAAGCCTCAGGAAGACTCTGTTCTACGATAAGGAACTTACTATAGTAAAACAAAAAATGATGCGTGTCAAAACACGAACACAATAATCATTATTGCGAATAATCTTAAAAAAATACAAGTAAAAGTAAGGGGAAAACGAACTATCAGAAAATGTATATTTAAGCTAATGTTTGGATTTTTGCACACGCAATACACGAAAAACACACGTAAACTGCATGATGTAGTCGTAACATCAAACTAAAAACTTTCGTTTATTCATGTTACTAATTTGTTTTTCTATTCCCGTGAGAAGAGAAAGTATAATTCAACAAATTTATAAATATTAAAATATGACGTGTAGTGTATACCTATAGTAAATTAATACTGTTATGTTTGCAATGTTTTTTTTCAGTAAAAAAAAATTATTTAAACATGTTCCAAAAGTATTATTAATTCCACATATACACTGTTTCAGGTGGATAACCTAATACGGAAAATAAACACCGATTAAAAATGCTTACAAAAGAAGTTTTTCGAAATCTCTGCGGCTCGCGACGGTCTCTTGTGGCCAGTGTTATGTTTTATCCAGTTACGTAGACTGCGGAATTTTACCTTTTTTCTTATCTAGATATATGGAAATTAGTTATCAGAGCCGTTATCTAAGGTAAATAATTTAATCATCTAAATTATTTAAGTTATAATTCATGTACGTACGTATTTACCTAATATATCTAATAAATACGTTCAATTTATATTAATATCATCATGTTAAAAATATCGTATAACCTTTATGGAATCTAGACTTGTGTCATATCCGGTATACTTTTACTATTCAGTTTTATGGTAAAGAACAAAATGTTGTATATTTTTTTTATTCGGATAAAAAGTTTCTGATAATAAATCTTTATCAAGGTAATTAAATTACTATGCATCTTTTATCTTTATTTTCCGGTATACTAATGTATTTATATAACAACGGGTTAAATTGCTCCGGGAAACATAATATGAAAGTTGTGTATATATTTTGCTCTTCCGACCGACGGGTATGTGCACGTATTTTTGTAATTTTTTTTTTTTTAGAAAATTCGTACAAAACAAACAAGACGGTCCAGGGATCCAAAAGCTGTACTTCGTTAACCGTTGAAAAATCAATTGATTCGATTAAAGAGAAAATCGAAAGAAAAAAGAAAGAATCCCGGACAAGGAAATGGACCGAGTTGGCAGTTCACATTTAAGTGAACTCACAGAAGTCAACACGCGTCGTGACTGGGATTACAAATTGCGTGACAATGGGTAAGTCAATGTTTATAAATACAAGACAGTAAGGTATTCGTCAAACAGACACTATAGACAACAGTGATAACTCGTCGATAACGAATTTTACTCGCGAATTTACTAGTGGCTTCTACGTCGGTTTTATGTGGATAAACGAGTACAAGTTACAAGTCCGAATCGCCCGAGAAAACAGAACCGTTTTCCACACTGAAATTATTTGCTAGATCCGGCACTGGGCTCTCAGTATCTGCTAAACAATAACATGTCCGTATTTTTTCGAGTGAAAATAATATTTAGCAAATTGCTTTAGTAACTTGGCCGAGTACTATCTCATTGCGAACAGTTATAATCGCGACGTTTCGAGAGCGTGTCTATGACGCGCGATTTCCGCGTATTATTTAATAATATATTGATTACGACGACGGCCTTTGACTCGCGAAAGCATTTAATATTATTATCCGGGGCGTTTCCGGGCATATAATCTACGTAATCGGATCGCGGTTGAATTTTAACCATTGTACAGTTGCAGAGTAATTTATAGGGCTAAATTACAATTTGTTACACGTTCGGCTAGCAAGCATACTTACGCGGTAAGGGGGCGAAATGACAAACGCGTATCAAAGGCACCTACGGTTCCATTAGAACTCGATATTGTAGTGTAATGTTTCGTAGGTATGAGCGATATGATTAAATTCTCGGACATATATCCGAAACCGACGGCGAAACACGTAGGCACCCATTCATAAATAGCCGGTAGTAATTAACGCCTTGTAATAGATCCCGTCAGATAAAACGATGATAGTCTATTTTCTTTATTATTTTTTTTCTAAAAAAAACAGTGATCGTTCCATCACAGATTCCTGCACTGCTGTCGATTTCAACGGCAATTTCGTTCGCGACGATTAAATCCCAAGATTATATAGAACTCGGTATTATGTCCGAATTAGAAATCAAAATCGATAAATATAATCAATATTTGAATGCAGATTAAAGATAAAGATCAATGAAAATAAACTAGAATTTCTGATTATCTAAATAACATAGAAAGATAATAAAGATATTATTATAATAACATAATTTATACAAATATGATAAGTAGAGAATATTATAGTATATAGATATTTGAGTTTCAAAAGTCAAAACATATTAACTAAATAATAAACGTTCAAAACACCATAGGTGCACTTTAATACACCTGTCTAATACTTTAAAAAAAAAAAAAAAAAAAAAAAAAAAAAAAAAATGAAAAACCAATGTTCACAATGCCTAAAAAAATATTATTATTATTATGAAATTTTTGAATTACAAAGGTTAAAGTAATCGTACTATTATTTAGTCTTAGTCCAGACAATTTGTAACATTTTAAATCAACGTATCCAGGAGAAGGGGTAGATAAAGTGTTTAATTTTTTACTTATGAACTTGCCTAAACCCTCGGCTCCCTTTATCCAGATTTTGTTTGTGTGCGAGTTTTGACTGAGTAAGTATTATCGTATTTTTTTTTTTTTTAATTTGAACGCATTAATCATATAGGTATTGCGTACGAAAAGAAAAAAAAACCCTTATTGGAGCTCAGGATTAAAACGGTACCTAATAGGTATAACGTTTGCTTTTAGTATTTCTTCCGGAGGGTTTCGTTATTTTTTTTTTGTCTGGGCAAAAAATTAATAAAAACAAAGTGTAATAAATCTGTAAAGCTTTAATGCGAGTTTATTGTTCCAAATATTTTCCGATTAAAAAAAAAACATCAAACAATAGATAGTTTTTTTTACCCGGTGCCTCTGGAATGAAAAACTATTTCTATAAATCCTAAGACAACGGTTAATACATTATACGTTTTAATTTATTTGCATACCTATGGTCGGTAAAAATCGTCTTGTACACAATATAAACGTACTCAACTCCGACGATGCGACAAGGATTTGTCAAAGAGGAGGTCCAGACATAATAAATGATTTCGTTGCGTGCAACAAAATACAAATTTTTAAGTTATATGTATACCTGATGATTAATGTGACTTTTATAATGCTATAGCGAAAAGTAACACACCGTAACTATCGCAAGCCAAAAAAAAAAAAAAAAAAAAAAAAATAAAAAGGTTGTGTTAATGATTCAAATATATAACCACAATATACTTAATACGTGTTTTATTACTACGACATTTTACAAGACTTTGAATGCAACAAGGACATTCTGTATCAGTAAAAAAATGTATATTATTCAAATAATTTATCATACAGTATTATTTACGGTGAAGAATCTAATCGCATTTTTTGCCAATATCAATTTGAGTGTCTACCAATTAACCGTGACATGTGTTCCGTGCATAATGAGGAGAGCTAATCCATTGAATCCGTTTTCCGTGTTTGGATTTCTGACTTTCTCAGATATGTTTTAAAACATTGAAATTGCAATTTATAAATAACAAAATATTCGAATCGATTTTTTTTTTTAATATTTATGCGGACCGAGGCGGAGAGGGTTACAGACCCACCCACATGCGCCACGTTACTCATATTACACAAAGCAAGGTAAAGGGAATATTTATTTAGTTTTTTTAATTTCCAGAAATATTTACCTACCCTAAAAAGACAAAGAATCGAATAAATTATAATATTTAAATGTTACACACCGGGGATTTTCGAATAGTCGGTACGCCAATTAAAAAATATTATACTAATGTTATTATAATTATTATTTTGATTTAATAGGGTTTTAAAAACCAGAGGGTTTTGGGAATTGAATCTGTTGAAAAAGTTTGTTTGGTTCTTCTCTATTATTATTATTATTATATTTTTTTTTATTTCTTTTATAAAACTTTTAAAGTAAATAAAATAAAATATAATCATTTAAACTTTTCACTTATGAATGAACAAGTTATAAAGCTACTTTATATTAACCTATTCCATGTTATTTTGAAAATAAAAGAAAGATATTTATACTAGGTACATATATAGTTTTATTTCATGCCGAATACAAAGTTATTCGTTAAAAAAAAAATATGTATATAACGATAATAAAACCTATCTGGTATGATAATAGTTTTTTGATTTAAACCATTTCAATTTCGCACAAGAACCCTATCCACTTAACAGTAGAAATTTTGTATTTTATTCGATTTATTGACGTTACAAATATTATTATTGTTGTTAACTTGTGTTGGATGATGTGATGTGATCTTGCCACAGTTTTCCTATGTTATCAAGCATAAGTCATCATATCACAGGTATAAATTTAACTTACGGTGAAATTAGAACTAATAGAAATTATTATTATCAATTGGAAAATCGGTAAAATCGAACAATCCGATGGATAATATTTAGACGGCGACGATAAACTTCGGAACAATATCCGACAATGAAATACTATCGAACTGTAGAGTTTTCGAATGTAAGTGTATAATCATTTTGATTGAACAACGCTGAATAATTTCGAGAGCCATCCTAAGTAGTAATATTTGATTTACAAATATAATGATCGACTTATCGTGTAAAATATTTTATTAAAACGGGGATCAGTTTGAACTCGAAACACTCAAAAGGAAATGTCTCAATGGGAGAATTTTGTAGGTATTTATAATTTTGTATTGTTTCGAATTTACAGCGTATAAACAACATATAATTACAATATTATTCTAAAAAGAGAAAACGAACGTAACGATTACGCGTCTTCGAATTGGCCGACTATAAATTACAAATTCTTTCGGCTGTTCGATCAGCGCTACATTATTAGTTATTGTGTAGTTTAGCGGGCGTTTCTATTTTTACAAGAACATTTCCTTTTAGATAATTTATAACGTCAAAACCATCGTAAATCGTATACATGTAAACGCGATTAGAGTTTGTTTATCGTCTCGGCCCGAGTGAAAATCTTAACAAATAACCGAGGGACATAAAAATACGAGTGCCCGACCCCGCTTAAATATTATATTCGGTGGAGGGTCATACGCGTTTATTGCTGACGGTCGCTAATCACTATTATATCATATAATAACACGAGGTGCCTAAATCAGTTATTTCACGAAATACTCCGTTCGTTCACGACATTTTCCCCCCGAAAACTGTTTAAAAATGCAACAAACTCCGTTTAAACGACGAGACAATAAGACATTAAGTATGGAAATGTAATATGTTGTAAAACACCGAAAATTCCCCTCTCTCCTACCACAAACATGTATTTGTATGTCTTAACATTTTTAACAATAGTAAACCGATTAAATGAAAAAAACAAAAGAGACCTTTAGTTTATGGGAATTCGGGAACGTAGGCTACATAAATGGTTATTTTATTTATACGGAAAATCAAAAACCGATTTCCTTATACATCGACAAAACAAAATAATTTTCTTTTAGGCAACGCGCTACATTTGAATTTCGCTGAGAGATTTCTGTTTAAAAAATCAAATCGAAAAAATTTAAAAATAACAAAATGCCACGACGCCTTAAATATTTGTCTGTTTTTTTTACACGATAACTTTTTCCGGGTTGTCCAAATTACTATGAAAACCGTTTGGAAAATCGAAAAAATATCCTCCGTAATGCGCCAATTAGATCTTAAATATATTCCTGTGAGTTTGTTTTTACTGGAACAAGATTTCTGGTGGCCAAATTTATCACAGACAGAAAAAAAAACCCTATACAAAACACAAATCGAGCATAGCTGTGCTCAGCATATAAAATTACTCTCAAATGAAAAAATGCCAACAAATGCAAAATAAAATTTTTTATTTTTATTGAAAAATACGCGAAACGAATTTGTCGTTAGCTACTAGTACTAGCTACTCGTTATCCGGGTTTTGACATCACTATTATCCGACAATACAACACAACGAGTATTGAGTAGTCAAGAACTTGATGGTTATACACCAATATTGCTAGTGTTAGAATACGATTTAAAATTCGAATTTTTGATCATAAAATTCTAAAAAACGTCACGAAAAACCTCGAAACGCTCTGAAAAATGTTGAAAACACGAAGAATCGACTTAAAAATCAAAAACCGTGTCAAAAAACCTCGCTTATACAACGTCAAATTCGATTGAAAAATACGCTTAACGCAAACATAACATAATGACCATCGAGCATCAATAGTAAGCTTTGAAAAGTACGGTGAACACCATAATCATAATATTGTAATGTTTCGTTTGATTTTCGATTAATCACGAAAGTAGCGATATTACGTTATTTTGAATACGCATAATAATCGCGGAGTGCAATGCCAATAGCCATTAATTATAATATCTCGCCGGTCATATTGGTACAAAAAAAATAAAATATATCCGTTTGGTACTCAGTCATCACTCGGTTAAATGTCTTTCGACTGTTTTTTTTTTTACGAATATAAAAAATCAATAAATTTGCGGGGGAAAAAAATGAGCGAGTAAAAAGAGTATATTTTACGTAGTTCATTAAACGGACGCTGTGGGGTGTATACAAAGTACACCGAGTACACATAATAATATTTATAGGCAGGTACCTAATGATAATAATTTAATCGATTAAATAAATATTCTACGGAGTATACTGTTTACGAATTATATTGATATTGGGTATCGGTGCGGTATACAAAAAAAAAAAATATATATATTTGATGCGCATGCGATGATAATAGTAATAATAAATTCACATATATAATATATATATATACATACATAATCTGTAAAAAATTGTGAATGGATTGTAATATTAAATCGAACGCGTATAAATTTATTGTAATTATACGCGAACTTTTGGTATTTTTTTTTTTATTTTTTAACGGATATTGAACGTAATATTATTGGTAATAATATAATAGTATTGGAATATACGAAAGTGTTGCCAAATGAAATTCGTACATAGTCGGTATAATTTTTTTCGCTAGCCCTATAAATATTTAGTATTACATAATATTATAATTTTTTTTTTTTTTTACGAATTCGGAGCGTGGCGAAGGACCTTTTGGTTTTACTATGACGACGTGTGCGCGGGTGTGTGTTTTTTTTTCTATTTGCGGACCATTTTTCAACCGGGAATCTCGCTCTAAAGTATCAAGTGCAGCATCACTTCTAAAAGGAAAAGTTCTCTAGTTAGTGCGTTGAAGAGGTAATTTTCGGATTTTTTTAGGGGATTTCAAAATGACCGGAGAAAACCCAAATGCAAATTATTGGTAAAACGCTAAATATTTACGTACGATTCTTCAGCCCTCCCCCCCACCTATCAAATTTTTGTTGTTTATAATTATTTAGTATTTTTTTTTACGAATTTGGACGATAACTCTTATAATTTTTACGGCTATAGTTTCAAAGTGATTTGCGAAAAACCTGGGGGTAACTGGAAAAACGTTTCTCCAGCTCCCCATAACAGTTACAGAAATATTGGTGAAAAACCTGGGGATCTGAAGAAACCTATCTACGATAAATATAAATTATAAGTACTGGTTACTATATGTATACCTACTCTGTATAGAAATCTGTAACCTATTGTCCTTACGCATTACACAAAGATACTTGTTGAAAGAAAATGTTATCTAGTGTGTGAGTTAGAAGGTCGTCGTTTGTTCTTCCGTATAGTTTTCCTAATGATTACGAAAAACCGGGAAAAAACGTAAGAATTACGGCAAAGTGTGCGGCAATTGGTTTTTTTTATGTTGTTATTCGGTTAAAAATTATTCTAGAGTCCCGTAGTTTTCACAAAGTACTTTTATTAATCTTGTGTAGACGTGGTGATATTGTCAAAACATTCTAGCTATTTTTAGGTATTTGAAAGTTTCTTATGATTTATGTGTATTTTTATTTGGTATATGTCTGTTATTAAAATTATTTGACTAAAGAGAAATGCTTGAAAATGTTTTTACAACTTTTAATAAGAAGCCCAAAAAAAAACATTTGAGTTTAGAATACTTTCGCCTAGAACAATTTTTCGTGCTAGGTTTATCGTTTTGTTAAGATATAAATTAAATAATTTCATGTATCCTACTCTCATTTTTTAAATTTTTTTATTATCAAAACAGATAAATCAAAATAATAATAAATTGTTAATTGCGAGCAGCAATAATCATACGAACGAAAACATATTTCATAATAATTTACTTCTATGAATAGGTAGTGTAATATACAGACATAATGCGTTTGACATTTAATTTTTAGATTCTAAATGGAGCGAAGAACATATTTGTTCTGTCGTGACGCATGCTTATTTTAGATTCGGAGTGTATTTTTATTTCCTGTCTGTAAACAGTTTTTCTACCAGAAATCTTGCTCCGATAAAAAAAAAAAAAATGAATTTTCATTTATGTTTAACCCAGTTTTGGCGGATTGAGGCCGTATCAAAATACTACGTCAAACTCCGCTCAGAATCGTATTTCATATACAGTTATTTGACGTTGATAAATTAAATAGCTCTATATTGATGTATTCTATCTTCCCCGGTCTACGACGTTGGTGCACCCGTCGGCCATCAGCCGTATCCGCTCTTTTTGTTGTTTGTAAAATGGCTTGAAACTTTAAAAAAATTTATCATTATTTTGTTCTTTTAATGATGAAACACTCGGAAAATGAATGTATATTTAATACCCCACTTTTATATAACTTCACCGATTTTAATTTACGCGACGTTTCAAAATCGTCTCGATACGATAACAATCGGTGCACCGTAATATATTTACGTATTACAGAAATATTTTCGGTTTCGGCGCAGTCGATAAAGATGTTTAGGACCGTAGTCTCTGTAGCGATAACGCGATGCGTTCTTATAGTCTGATAAATTGTCGTTTTCGATAAACAACGTGTACCTATACGATGTGTAAATCATAATCTGAGGGGACAATTCTCAGCATAACCTCGCTGTTTGCTCCCGCCTCCCGCCAATATATCATGTAAGAACGTTTACCAGTAAACCGGATATTTTTCGTTATAGGCACGAAAAACACGGAACCTCAAAAGCCTCGGGATCGGCAAAATGTACATAATAATTTATCACGTTTACAGCACGCCGGTTTTTCGTATTTTTTTTATGATCGACCAATATGGATAAGTACCTATCGTCTTAAAACGACTGCGCAACGACGGTATCAATTTCTTACGACATAATAATAATTTAGTCGATAGTATTTTTTTAGATTCGGAGCGTAGCGAGTTTTTAGTTTCGGCAAAGGGAGAGTAGTGGAACACTGTTCAAACGCCGCCCACCGTGCTGTGCCACCACATAAGTTTTCTACTACTCTCTCTCTATCAAAAGTAAAAAATGAAATGTCTCCTAGACGAGTTGATGTAAATGAAAAAATTCAACACCAACATTTTTTAAAAATAATACTCTATATATTTATGAAATATAATCTATTAAACATATATAATATAGGGAATATATTTTTGAATATAGATTACCATATGAATATTAAAAGTTTATTACGAAACCTCCGGAAAAAAAAGATTGTAAAAAAAAAAATAAATTCTCTTACATGTTTATAAATCGATCAACTTTTTTTATTAAATATTTCGCTCTGTTTTATGCATTTAAAGAAAAAATTGCTGTAACGTTAAGTTCTGATCACTGTAGCTATGTAAGTTAAAACGAACGATAAGCGCATAACCTACCCAATAAATGTCCGTTATATTCACTCAGTTCAGACTCTTAAACTTGTTGGATTCCGAGTTCTGAAGCGCGTAACACGTTGTCGTGTACTTCATTTTCTGGAACAGCAACGGCCAGTGGTCAATATCAAGAGACACGATAATTTCGATTTTATATGATTTTAATACGCCTATAAATAACAAGAAAGAAAAGAAGCGGACCGAAAATCTGCCTATACCTACTTAATTTACCTACGAAAGACTTAACGAGTTGCCGTTAATTAATGGGCAAAACGGTAAGTATGCGTAATTATAAACACGAATACTTGAACTGCGATAAGCTCGAAGGTTACCTTTTGAGTAATCGATTTAAAAAATACGGACATACTTTGCACGATTGGTGGGCCACTGTTGTAGGTAAGAAGTTGGTAAGTAGGAAATTCGGAAAATATAGGATATGGAAGGGAATTCAAAGCATATCTGTATGCTATGTTAAAAAAAACTATACTACATTAAACTCAACTTTTTCTTTTTGTCCACCAAGCGCAATTTTTAGTAAAATTTCTGTTCAATTTTCAAGCATTTATGTTTAGTCTAACAATTTTATCCACAGAGTACCGACCGAATAAAAATTACATAAAAAACTCACAAAATTAAAATGTCTATAAATTCCTCAAAAATTGGTTGAACGTTTTGAAAATTTGATCTCATCTAGAATATATTAATATAACGTTTTCGTTCTAATTTCAATTCTCTACGATTATTTAGAACTGAATAACAACGAAAAAACAAAATAAAAAATAATAAAAACATTATTTTCGTAAATTGTCGCGTTTTTTCATATTATTATGAAACTGCTTGGAAAATCAAAAAATATACCTTCTTTATAGTACCGATTAGATAAAATTATTTTTAAGAAAAATTGCTACATTTGATATATCGGGGCAAGATTTCTGGTAGAATTTAAAAAAAAATAAAAAGTAAACGTCATCGTAAAACCAATACATTCCTTGCTCCGATCATTGTCTTATAAATAAATATCATATATTACATTAATTATTATAATATTATGGTGCAGTTAGGTAATAGAAAGTAGTTATCAATAGCTATCAACTTATCGAATACGATAATAATTGCAAAATATAATAATATCAACAAACAATAATAGATGTTGATTATGTAAGAACCGTGTTTTATTGCGTTTGCTGATTCGACACTATCTGTGAAAAATGCAAAATAAACGCATACAAAAAAAAAAAAATGCAGACTGCAAAAAAAAAAATTCAACAAACATCATTATAATAATATGACAATACATACACACTACATATCGATTTGAACAGATAAAATAATAGAATCTAGAAAAACGAATATAATTGCTTAATAAATATACTTATGTAGTACATTAATATCATAACTATATGCAGTGACGAATCCAGAATTTTTTTTTTTGGAGGGGGGTTGAAAAAATGTAACAAATGAAATTGTTTTGAATTTTGAGTGTATTATAATTATATTAATATTAATATTAATTATTTTATTACTATTTTATAGCGCTAATTATATATAATATTTATCTTTTTTAAAAATTATAAATGTATATTCATTTTTCGTTTTGATGTTTTAGTAAGTTCATCTATAACATCATTGATATCCACGTTCATATCCCGATGAATATATTTTAGTAAGGCTAAACCTATTAAACGTATTTGTCCCAAAGAATTTCTCAAATACGTTTTCAAACGACGGAGTGTTGAAAACGACCGTTCTCCCGTGGCAGCAGACACTGGAAGTGTTATGAATATTTGAAGAAGTTTAGATATTACTGGATAAACATCTGGATAGTTTGGAAGTATACTTCAATAGTATTTTTGTTCTTGAGTTTGGAAGATGTTAAATTTGAATATTTAGTGTACCGCAAATCCAATTCTCCGTTTAATATATGATCATTTAAATTCGAATCGTTTCATTCATCAATTATATCATGGTATGTTTCTTGTAATTGTTTGAATTTACCTTTGATATCTTTAGATATTTTCATTTCTATATTAGGTAAAATACAATCAAAATTATTCAAAACAATCATGTGCGATATAAATCTTTCGTTCGGTCTAAACAATTATCTATAAAAGGCATGAATACTTAAAAATATATTCTGGATCATCTGATTTAGATTTACGTGGTAAATTAAGAGTAATATCGAATTTTTCACAGACAGTTTTTACGGATAAAAATAATTGTTAAAACTCTACATCACAATTTTCTGTAGAAGATATCAGCTAAGTGGAAAACTTATGGAAATTTTAACTGTTTCATCGCAGTAAGAAGATGAATTGCAGAACTAGAAGTGTCAGAATCTAAAGAACTAAAAAATGGCCATGCTGGAATATTAAATTTCAAAAATAAATATGATAAAATAGTTAGTAAATTGAATTATTTAGCGATTAACTACGTGAGAATAGTTTTAATTTACTTATTAGTAGGGTTAAAGATTATTGTATTTATAACCAACAAAATAGCGTTTAAAATCTCAAAATGCTTTGAAAGCACTTTAAAAATATTTAACAAAAAAAAAAAACTTTAGAAGGGTTTAAATTTTGCAATTATTATATTCTCGTTCGGTTATTATAGGACTTGTACAAAATGTTTCTACTAGTAATACTGAACTGAATGTTCCCACATAAAAGCAAACAATAATTATTTTTGGGTTGTTTGATTTAAGTATCATCAACCATCACCGTTATCCAGGAGATACCACGAGGCGGAAAGCACTCTTTTAAAAAATGCGTTTGTTTGTATTGTTTAAACACTCGGGTTTTTTTATGTTTAATAATTTTTAAAAATTGTGTTGAATATTATGAAGTGGCGGATGGACATTTTTGTAATTAAACATTTTAAACGACATCATCTGTAAATTTACACATAGACATTCTGCAAGTTCCGTAAAAATTGTTCTTTGTCTGTTAAAAAACTGTTAAAACATTATAAAGTTCAGAGAGTCAGTTCAGATTCTGAGTATAGCAAGAATTGTATTGGTTTAATTATGTTGTTTTTTTTTTTTTTCTGTAAACGAAAAACTTTTATATCAGAAGTCTTCTCCGATCATCAGCTGTATCATCTTTTCTAAAATCAAATTTTGTCTAGTTAGTGTATTGAGGAGGTTATTTTTTTCGTTTGTCTTTTAGTTTTCTTAATAATTTGAATTTGAAAAAGGCGTAACATTGACTGTGTTTCAAAATATATGTTTAACAAAACTTTGTTCAGAATCATCTCCGTAGCAATTGTTTATCGCTGTATACATACGCACACACATACACACACACACACACACACACACACACACAAATTACATTATCCTATCTTCGTAACTTTCCATCCGTAACAGTGGCACTCACATAACCAGATGTAGTTTCGTATTTGTGTGTATGTGTATCTGACTGTGTCACGTCTGGATAATAGTGTCAACCATATACCGGTAATATTTGGTTATCCCGGGTGTGTAATAAAAATTTTAATATAATTTCGATTGAAAACTTTCGCAATAATTATTAACGATAGCCACCGATCGAAATCCCTATCGACAAATACAAGAAAAATATTTGATCTCCGGAATAGGTTCAAACATAACGTAATAAAAGAAGAAAACGCACCGGATTCGATTCAACCGGTGACCGGTGGTTGAAAACAATGTAAAACTATAATATCGTCATTATTACACCGTAACATTATGCGTTTCATATTTCGTAGTTCTACAGGATGATCAAATAGCATTTAAACGATCCAATCAAACTGATTTAGATATACCGGTAACGTCTAATTAAAACTTTGCGCTAATAACGTACATGAAAAAAAAAAAAAAAATGCAATTATCGTCACGTGTTATTTATTGGCTGAGATACGTTTTATAATACACTGTAACAAACTTTCGACACACGCACGAACTTTAATTTTCGGTACAATTAACATGTGTTATCGCGCGGTCTAACGAAAAACAAACCGTTTCCGGAGTTAAATTTTTGTGTTGTGTGTTTTTTTTTTTTTTTTTATGAATATCGATTTTATGGAATATCCAGGTTCGCGCCTGTGTCGCAGTATACGCGGGTTAGCGACGATACGGATAATTTAATAATCTGTACTGTACTTACGGTTTTCCGAAAATGAACGCGAAAAAATCAACGTCGGTGCCCGTCACTTTGACGGTAATCGCGGTCGCCGCCCGGAAATCCATAAAACGAAACGCGTTCTATATGGTCGCCGATACGTTTTCCCCCGGAGGACTGCCATTTATTGGAGTTGCCCGGATGATTATCGCCGCCGGGTCGATTTACGTTCTCATTAATATGTTTCGTACCTATACGTCCGCGGCGGCGTCTGTAGGTTTTCCAATCGTGGTCCGAACGTCGCCGCTACGCGTGTCGTAGGCGAGCACCTAATCGCGTAACGATTTTGAGATTTCGAAAAATTGATGGCGAAAAATAAAAACCATGTTTTACGCGCCTCCCCGCCATTATCGACCGGCATAGATAACCGGCACGTGCCGAGACCGCAATAGTTTTCGGACGTTTCGTCGCGCGGAATCTGAAAAAAAACCTACAGACACCCGTTTAAAATCGCGACAATATGAAAATAACTCGAGCCGATTTTAACCGATAACTTAGCTTTGATTTGACTCGACTTGTTTTTATTTGTTTTTCACAATATCAACTAAATACATGTTTGGTACTGAGAATCAAGTCGAATTTATTTTTTTTCTGAGCTATATTTTACACAAATTGACTTTTCGGTTTTTAATTTTTTATCTTGTTTTATGCGAATAAAAATTGTTTTTTAGCTGAGCAGAAATGTTTGGTGATTTCACATGACGTTCGTCGTAAGTTGATGCAGTTTTGTTTTTTTTTTTTTTTTCTATAGAACAATGAATTTTTAACGCAATAATAAATAACTCCAACGCGCATCGATTCGGTGCATTCTCGATGCACCGAAAAGATCAAAAATGATACATAGAATTTCTTATAATATTTTCGATTGGAGCGTACGAAAATAAAAATAAAAACGACTCACCGGGTTTTTTCGGAGTTATAATAATAAATGTTTTATTTCACCAACAGACACGTTCGGTGCGACGAAAACAACTTTGACGATAAACCCGTCATTTGTATAGTACTTATTTAAAATTGTTATTATATTTTAACGAAGTAAATCTTCTACTCCTTTGAAGAAAACGACTTTGCGGTAAAAATAATATTATACAGTTTATACGACGTGTTGATTTCCAGACGAGTTTTTCCGCGTTTTATACGCGCGACGTTATAATATATAGTAATAACGTTTAAGCTCGATTTTATAAATCATTCGTATTTCTTCAAGATTTAAATGGAGCAAAAGAAAAAAAAAAAAACAAAAATCCATAATTTTACTACTATCTTGACATGCGTAATATAGTCACGGTTTAAGTCGAAAAACGAGGTTTTTTTTTTTTAATATATATATAATACGTGTATTATATGTGTAATATATTATTTCGTTTATTCTTCTCGCGCGATGCGTTCTCCCTCGCCGCTGCAGGCGTAATCTATTATGGTCATTATAAAGCTTTTTAGATAATTTGAAAATATATAGGTGCGCGGCGAAAACACTGCAATAATATTGCAACGAGCGCACAACTATATACGAAACGAGTAGGTGCGTTAATGTGCAAAAACGTAATGGCCGCATCATAAATGATGACGTGTAAAACGTGAAGTTCTAACCGAACCGAACAGTAAATAATATTATTATTTTCCTTCGGAAACCCAAATGTACCCGATGTAATAATATTAATAATGTTTAGCCGTACGCAATAATTTACATTATTTAACGTACGTATACACACGCGCGGACGCATAATAATGCAGCGTAATTATTATTATCGTTCGAAAATATCAGCTATTCGTGTTGTTGTTGTTGTTGTTATTTTTTTCGATTATTATTTACTATCATTCGGGGCTGATAGAAAACCGTGTTTTTTGTATAGAGAGAGAAAAAAAAAAAAAAAAAACGAAAACAGAAGCCCATTTAAACGTGCATATTTGTACATTTCAAACAGTTTTTAATGAGGTTAAATAAACACCGGGTTTTTTTACACCCCACCTCCCCTCCCCTCATCGCCCCGGAAACACGTTTAAAACAGTCATAAATTCTAATTCGCATTCGGCGGTATTCTTTATAATATTATTATATTATGACGGTTCGCCATAGTCATTCGATGTCCGTTTTTATTCAGCGTAGACAAAACAAACTAGTATTAACATACTAACCACACAGCGTTGTTTTAAAAACGATACCGGTACACGAGTAAATCGGTTCAATATCTATGATTAAAAAAAAAAAAAAAACAAAATAAAAACGAAACGAAAACACTTTTAGTCGTTTTAAACAATTTTATCGTTTCGTTTGCCCCGTATCGATCAACAGTAATAGAGTATTATAAATAATATGCTACGTATCAGTCCATAATCAACTCGTTATAATATTATGAACGCGAAAGTTTGTTCGGATGGATGCATGTTTGTTACCACTTCTCCCCCTAACACAACAACGGCTTTCGTCGAAACTTCGCATAGACCAACAACAACGTATAGCAGGCTACTTTCTCCGCTCTCCCCCTCCCCCGTATTCAAGACCTAACGAGTGGATGGGAAGGGGGGAAACATTGTTGTTTGGTCACGTAATTCTAATTCAGTATGAATATCTCAATATTATTATTTTGTTTTTATTTTACGGGTAACCCTACGGTGACACGGACGAAAGAAAAAGAACAAGTTAAAATAAACAAAACTAAAAAGAACAGACCCATCCCGGGCGGGCTGCTGTTGTAGAGTAGTAGTCGGGAAGGTAAGGTATAAAGGGGAACTATTAAATTTTATCTGTAACGATTAATCGTCGCAAACAAAAGAAAACGATTCTGAGCGGAGATCGCTCAATAATATTGTATTTTTAGAAATGTGTATTTTCACGAAAACAACGAAGTTTAAAAGAGATTATAAAATAACAAAAACTTAAAACTAACAAAAAAATAAATAAAAGCGGTTGCAAGCGACAACCTCACTTTTAATCTTTTAATTTTGTTTTTCGGTTTTTCCTCATTATCTCGAATATTAATGAGAATTTCAAAATAAGACGTTTCTGAAAGAATCAACTATAGAGCCATAATGAAACCGAAAAGGTCTTTTGTCCTGTTTTTATCTAGGAGGATTTTGTACATAGTACCTTTAAAAAAAAAAAAAAAAAAAATTAACACCATTGTAAAACCAATGCACTTCTTTCTTTACTTAGAATCGAATAGGTATTGTTATTATTGGTATGAATATGGTACTTTGCGGAGACGCATGCTATTATTTCTGATGATGTCTGTTATTTCTTTTGGGTTTTTTTCGTATCTTTACTATATAAACAAACAACCGATATTATTATTTCGATTCATTACTATACAGTGATAAATAATTATGTTTTCTTATAAAAATATTCATAATAATAATATTCATGTTGTTAACGAGACCGGAACAAAATATTACGATTTTACACTCGATCGGACTTATCGGTTACTTACGGTCATTCGGTTATCGGTGAATTCCGATATTAAATACGAAACGGCACGATCAAACATCAATATCGTTTTTTTTTTTTTTTATTTTTTTTATTATTACGTATTATAATATTAGTATTTTATTATTATTTTTTTTTTTTGTGTTATGCGGACGCGAAATTATTCAACCCGTAAATATTCAAAGCTAAAATTATCGTTCAGAAAAAAAAAAAAAAAAATTAACTTCTACACCATAGTAGTCAATAAAACTATTTTATTTAGATTGCCCGTATACGATGTGATCGGACGCGGGCAATTTGTAATTAAATTGCCCGCGTGTATCATAATTACTTATAATTCGGCTGTCGCGGTCAACTGTCTATCTAAAAAAACAAAATGCCATGGAACAACGCGGTTAACGGTTGGGACAGGGACGAAGGCGGACAGACGGAGGGGAGACACGGGGAAACGCGTTTTTATTTTCGTCTCGTTTAATACCGCGCGCGGACAAATCCGTGCGGTATGGCCGCGGTCCTAAAATAAACGTCGAACTACAAAAAAAAAGCCGCCCGGCATTAGACGTCGTCCGTGTTTAGCGGCGAAAATCGCGTTTCGCCGTTCGCTTTCCGCCTTTCATTAATAATTCATCGCCGGCGCCCGTCCCTTATTCCCGGCTACGCGCAATTATTACGCGTTCGTTTTGCGGGCGGCGAAAATGATTCCGGTGTCGACGACGCCGAGCGGTTGTTTGTCCCGGACGCGAAACGCTGCAGACCGACCGCGCTTTGATCGGCCGCGGGAATCGTCCACCGGCGAGTCGTCTCGCCCGCCGCGGCGGCAATAAGTATTACCCCGTTCGGGCGGTTCACGGCGCAAACGCGGCGGTGCGATTTCGCGTTACGGGACGTGGCGCGGCCGCACGCCGCCGCGTCGTCGTCATACTCGAACGGGCGTCCGATTTCCGCGACGCCGTCGGCGGATGATGTTTCGTCCGCGTACGACCGGCTCCTCTCGTGCGTAACAGCGGCCGCCGCGACGGCCGTGACGGCGCCGGCGACGCGCGCGTCGTTCGCCCCGCGGTCCGGTCGCCGACGTGCTCGACCGGCGTACCAACTCCGGTGACGGGTTCGGGCCGAAAACCGCGTCCGGGATCGGTACGCGAGCGAAGGCGATTGCGCGTTTCGCTCGCACTCTTCTCGATGGTCCCGGAGAACCGCCGGGGGGGGGGAGGGGGCGGCGAAACCGTCGGCTCTCCGCGGGTCAACGGTAAACGGCCCGACGCTTTCGCCGAATCCCGTCGTTTTCGAGACGCGGCGCGTTCGCAAAACCCAACATCGATGCCTCACCGTGTTTGACGGGGAAATACTTGTTTGCGAAAAAAAAAAAAAACACATCAGTTGTGACCGTTATTTTGTCGACAAATTTGAATTTTAAGTTTGGGGCGGAAACGATATTTTTTATTTTGTCTTCTCAATGACGACAATAAAAGCTAATCGACGATAGTAATTTATATCGAGGACGTACAAACAAAAAAAAAAAAAAAAAAAAAAAAAAAAAAACAATGAACAAATTCCCTATTTCAACCGGAAAAAAGTCATTGCCGACTTAAAAACAAATAAATATTTTTTGCTTCTCCTGAAATTGTGTCGTTTAGACCCTTTTGCCGTGTAACCGTCGATGTTTTGTTGGTACAACTTTTTGAGTTGTTTGAAGTTTTCCAGTTTTTATTTTTAAATTTATCGAAAAATATTACTCCAAATCATTTTTTTTTTTTTGGTTGCGACGGTTGTATAATACGGTATAAAAATTAAATCCTACACATTTTCAGCTTCCCGTTACTTATACAACAGTGTCCGCGACACATTTCCCGTTGATAATTTTCGAAATGAATATTGTGCGTAGAAATTTACGAAAAACCGTAAAAAACTATAAGAGGTTATTGTATGATATACGTATGTATATTGTTTTGAGTAGGCACATAACGAAAAAAAAAAATCCCACATAATTAATTGTCGTATTTTTGTATAATATAGTACACCCAAGTTGGCTATTAACAATACAACGCGCATTGCCAGGAAGAGACGTTTGAGCTTCGCCACCGAAAAAAAAAAAAAAACTTCTTTTGTCAGCTGTATGAGTGCTAGGACTCGTAGTATGCGCATTATCTCGTCAAAAAGTCACGTCTAGTTTTTTACGAGCTTTGATGATACACTATCGCAGCGTTGCATAAAAAAAAAACTTAATAAGGCTTACCTTTCAGCAACGGTTTGTTTTGAATAATAGTCTTTTTTTTTTCAAATATTACCAGGCCTTGAGTGGCACACCGTACATACGACTACACAGCACAAGAGTCGTGTAACGAATAAATAATAAACGACATGTTATATTATTGTAGTTGCATAGGCGAGTCGTGATGAATTTTTTTTTTAATCGAGAACTCCGAAATCCAAAAACAACAACTGCGTTGTGTTCTGTAATCGATTAACACATAACGGGGTGGAGAATTTTCCAAGCTGCGCTAAAGGTAATTAAAAAGAGTTAAAAGTTACTTTTTTTTTTTTTTTTTTACATTTATCACCAACCGACAATTTTCTCAGAGAATTAAAATCACTTAATAGTGAATTAGATATCTGTTTCTTACGATCGAATGTTTCGGGTAAGTTTTTATATTTTTCGTTCATGCAGTTGTGCGAATCGGCCGTCGAACTTGTAGAAATCGATTTGTTTTTAGAATTACTTACAGTTGATTTTTCACTATAACAAGTTAAATACGAATTATGGAAATTATTCGAAAATGCGAAATCGGAAAATGTATATCATTTGCTGGCGTTGTCAATACTGTATCCATAAAAAAAAAAGTATAGGTAGGTATTAACTTGGAAAACCTCAACTCCACAACAGAATATATTAATTAAACTTAGGATTATATTATAAATAAATATTTTTTTTTTCTCTTTTAGTATACCTACGCGAATCCATGAATTTAAATTAAAAATTACAAAAATACCATAATATATAAAGAGTAATAGTATTAATAATAATAAAGGCTGCAATATAGGTGTTCGTATGTAGATAAGTAGTTCAATTATGACGGGGGTTTATTCTTATTGTTATTATTATTTTTTTTATCTTTTTCGCAGAAAACTTTTTACGAATTGAAATATTCAACAGGGATAGAAGTATTATAAATCGGTTGATTTTTTTTTTCACAATATTTATACCGTTTAACTCATTGTTACGTGACAATGAAGAGATTCTGGCTAGCTATTTTCAAAGTGGTCGGAAGTAGCATATTTTAAAATACACGTCTTGATATTAAAAACCGCTATTTAAATTTCAATCTAATAGAGTGACAAAAATGATGTGTTCTTTGTTTTGAACATGTTTTGATGACCGTAGATCAAACCGATAATATGCCGTATTGATGAATACAATTCAATATGGTCAATGTAAGCCCTTGTAAAGATAGAAACTTTTCAAAAATATTGTTCTGAGATAAAATCATTTTTTTAGTGATTTGTTCAAAGTGGTCAGTAAAATCTCACGAGTATTTCTTCGTAAATTCTATTTTATTCGTATAAACGAAAATACGTTTTTTCCATTTCGTTTCATTGAGTGTTTAGATGGCAAAGTAAAAGTTGTAGCGAGTTTAGAAAAATAGATCTTTTTTTTTTTTTACATATATTACAATTTATTTAAAAGTGATTTTTCAAAAAATCAAAAATTAGGTCACCTACCTAAGTATACATTATAGAATTTATGAAAATCGTTTGGGATACACAAAAACCTGTTTAGTCCTTGGAATTTCCCCTTCTTGATTAAACGACCTATATAAACACCGGCGATGAAAACTACTACAACTTAATAAACTTCATGTTAATCGTCCACGTCAAATAAGAAAACACGTTGAGCTCTCTCTTGTCCTTCAATGCGACCCTCTACATTAATTATTATGAAATTTCTGACCCATCGACGTGAAAAATGTTATCGCGAGACGAAATTAATTTTTACATTCTGAATGTGGCGTTAAGGATATTAGTTTTATTAAGATGCGGGGGTCTTTTTTTCTCAAAAAACATTATTTCATTCGGTTAAGTATAGTAAAAAATACTCCTATTTTTTCACGTAGTACCATAAAAGATGCGGCATTTCCTAACCATACTTGAATCGCTTGTTGAAATTCCCAATATACACTTTCAGGTGAATCGCTTATTATTATTATTATTATATTTCATTATTTTTTTTTAAATCACTTTTTCGGTTAGCGTAAATTTTCCACCAAATTGTTCACATCGTACATTAAAAGTTGTGCGTTTTCTTCCGGCGGTACTTACTTTATGTAAACATTTTTTCTAGATTCCCAACGGATTTTTCCGAAAAATTAAAAACGACAATAATGAAATATGACGGGATATCGATTTTGTTATTGTAGATTTCCGGTTTACCTAGATGACTGATAAAGCCACCGTGACACGGAAGTTTAACACGATAGTTGATATCGTGATAACCTTTATCACAAAAACAGTGGTAAAATACACTATAATACTATCATACTTACATGAAAGTTTTAGTTCTATCGCGATAACGATAGTGACATATAATATCACTAATATTATCATGGTGCGAACAATATTGTTTATATTTTTCACCATCACATTATCGAAAACTGAACGCTAAATCTTTTAATTCTCTAATTTCGTAATCGATTGAAATTGATCTTGCGATACAAAATATTTACTCACGTAATGACCAGCTCAAGTTGTTCGGATAATTTGTTTGATAACAATACTAAAATAATAATAACGCACTTATGATATAGTACTATCATTCTGTCGATCACGTCATGGCTTAAACACATGATGATAATAGTGATGGAAAACTATAGCGAAAGTAGTGTTGATTTCGTGATAACGACTATTGCGTTTCACTGTCATCGTGCGACGGCAGCTTAAGAGGAAAACAAAAATACGAATACTAAACGTTTTAATAATAGTCTTATTATTATAGTTTACCGAGTTACGCTCAGAATCTCCAATTGATTGCGACGATTTATCGTTATCTCCGGCACATAACAAACTCTATATGCCCTTAACGTTCCTCACGCCGTCTAAAATTGCAATAGTTCGCTTGATGTTTCGTCGACCGACGGCGACAAATGTAAATACTTTTGATCCGCGTTTTATCATAAAACGAGTTGTTAAAATAGCACTGAATACTACTTTTTCGACGAGATACTCGGCGCGAACGAAATATTCTCCGATAATATATGTTTATGTCCACGCGCGCGTTATTATTAATCATTCGCTCAAAAATTATTACGGCGAGGTCGTATATTTTATTACGGTACATTCGGTTTTTACCAGCGACGATAGTCCGCGTTTATATTATGCGGCCGGCCGGTACGATTAATTTCAATTCGAAATAAAATATCGCATTGTTTGAACGTTTAATAATATCATATTAAAATAATAATTCAATTACCAAAAAAAAAAAAAAAAAAACAAAACGAAACTTTATCCGATAAAATAGACGCGCGAAAGATTAATTACCGATCCGAAAATTATTCGATTGTTCCCACACGTCCGTCGAAATAATAATAGGAGTACAAAATAATAGACGAAAATTGATCGTGCCCGGAACGAAGAAAGTATTATTGAAAACAACGACCGTGTTCGTTTACCGCGAACGTATTATTTTCGCCCGCCGCAATGAAAAAAGATCGTATTTCGATTTTTATCGATTTCGAGTTAATACCGCCGTCCGATAGAGCATTTTTTCGGCGTCGTTCCCGAAAAACCGCCGTATCTCTCCGTAGGGATCAGATGCAATTTATTTCAATAATAATTTACCGATGCGATCTTCATTTTCGACGATAACAGTTGTATATTATGTACGGATAAGACAAATAGACCAACATAACCGGCGTCGCCCACGAAAAAGGTCGTAAGCGTATAGACCAGACCTACGACCTTTATTAATCTGTGTAGATAGGTATTACTTTTTTTCCATCAACTGGCCACCTACACAAATGTCACATGTATCTCTTGAAAAAAAACCTCGAAAATATTACGATTGAAAAATGAAAATTAACACGCGATACTATTATGTAGCTCTGAATCGTACGAATACCCACATTTTTACACATTATTACGTTCAAAAATCATAATTAACATTTCAATGTTTTTATTATATTCGCTCTGAAAAGTTGGAAATCTCGAGTGTGATGCGGCTTTTTGCGTAGTTGCAGGCGATTTGTCCATATGTTCATATTAGAAATGCCGATAGGTAGGTAATAAAACAAGTGACCTTATTACGTCTGCGGATGCAGTTATTCGCCGATATCCGCGAATTATTTTCAGCGAAAAGCATATTAAAGGTTATAGGTACCCGAGGGTTTAAAGAACCCTCTAAACCGCTTATACAGGTAGCTGGTAGTGCAGGCATCGACGATCCTTTAAACACATTAACGAGACCGTTATAATAAGTTAATAAACCTGAACTTAGTTTATTATATATATAATTTATTTGCTAAGTTATGTAACTACTACATGTACAATAATAATTGTTCGGGCGAAATAAACAGCGTGAGAAAACGTCTGGAATACGGACAAGTATAACAGTGGGTAAGTACAACAATAATGTATTATACTATTATAAGTTTCATTGTTTCGATACACCTTATACACGCGTTTTAAATATCGTATTGAATCTTACGGGTAAATAAGTGTATGAGTTTCTCAAAACTCCGTAAACAGCATTTTGTGGCCACACGAATATGTAAGCAACAATATATTACTAAGCATAGACCAGTACGGCATTATACTATACGCACATATCGTCGCAGATTTGAGAACGAAATTATTCACCGAAATAGATTTCACAAGTGTATGCGTTTACAAAAATCAATTTGCCTACATTGAATACTGTAGATGTACGAAATTGACCTAATCAGTCCCCTTCCTTCCCGGGGACCAAAGATGTATGATATCTTTAATGTTGCTCGAGTTCAAAATCCAATTCGATTCGAGTATACAATATTACCGTATTTAAGATTCTGAGCGACCGAGGGTTAACTATAAATATTATGATGTGATTTGATGTGTCTGTGTGTGGTTTTTATGTTTGTGAACAACTTTTTGATCAGCAATCTTGCTCCATTCATTGAATTTAGAATTAACTCTGGTGGGGAATTAGGGGTGAACGTATTTTTGTTTGGCATTCCTAACACCTTGAAAACCGGAAGACCGGGAAAGTTCACGCAACATCTGTTTTTATTGATTTCGGTTTTATGCGTTAAATGTAATTCAATGAAAAACATGACCGTAGACATCCATAATTGTCACCTAATATTTAAAAACACACTTTCTAAACCTTCTTCGTGTTAGAATTTTCGATTTAAGTTTTATGCGGCTAAAACATTTTAAGTTTGACCGCTTTCTATGCCATTTATCAAAATACAGTATTAAGTATAATTTTGTACATAGAATTGATTTTTGCACAAATAGTATAATAATATTACACTGACCCGTACCATCATATTATATTATAATAACACTCGTCGAACACCACGCACTGCACTGCCTCCCAATCGATGTTCCACTACTCTCATTCTATCTAAAAAACGGCATACTTAATAATGTAATATCTCGTCAACGGGTCGATGGGAATTAAAAATGCCACCGTAGATAATTCATCTAAACTAAAACGTCATCTGTTTGTAAAATTTTCAAACTTTGTCTAAACTCGCTACTTAGGAAAATCAAAAGTTGATAGGTACTTCATCCCCAAACATATACTTGAACCAATGATTCTAAAAAAGTCTTTATGCAAGCAATTTGTTGAAAAAACAAGTTTTCATAGAAAATAAATTAAACTCGACTGTAACATGAAATTCGGGAGACCCTGTAATTATAATTCCGAAAACGCACTGTGCTCGGTATTTTTATGTTTTTTAATAAGTAATAATAGAATAGTAAGTTTACGTTCATTGTATTTTATGTACGCAGTCATACGTTAATCGTTCCCCGTACATACCAACTCTCTCGACTCTTATCTGCAGACTGGAAACGTTATTGTTATTATTGTTATTGTTGTTATTTCTTTTTTTTTATTCATATTCCATGGAGTACGTCGTTAGAACGTACTCCAACGTACGTAACATTGTAAAATTCCGTCCGTTAAAAATATATTTTCGCCGAATACTGTAATGCGCTTTTTAACCTCGAAATGTCATTTGTTTTTAACTTGCTGTCGATATTTAAATATAATAATATTCGACGGACAAAGAACTACGCGGTTAGCCGTGACGGCTAAATGACCCACCGAGAAGGCATTTTAATCCATCGGCAGTATAGATACCTACTTTGATAAACGATTGATCGACTTGCGTTCACAGACACTTTATCCACACGTCTATCAATGATAAAAAAGCACACCCATGCGAGTACGTTATCCAGTCATTAGAGTGTAAATTTTCAGCATACCGCCGACAAACAACGTGTCGTCTTAACGGCGTGCACCGACTTTGCGACTTTTGCGATCAGTTGATAACTGACGATAAACTAACGTAAAACAAGCGAAAAAGCGAGAAAAAAAAAAAGCCGAAAATGCGCGTACAGGTAAAAAAAGGCCAAATAAGGCAAAATAAACAATGTTTATCCGTATTCCGTCGGTATCGAAATTAAGTGAAACACTTTTTTCTTATTTATCGTTCAAAAAATACAAAAATAAAAGGCCATCTTATTCGAACCTCGATTGTTATACTATACCTTGCGGGTATTCGGCAAAACACAATCAACCACCAACCATACAACCCATTATTAGTTTCCACCTAAACGAGTATTAAATATCGGTTCTAATCCAATTACATTTTATTTCGAAAATGAAACTATAAGTACCTATATAATTCACCGTTATTATATTACCGAACCTAACGAGCGATGTAATTGGTTCAACATGGATGCACGTGCATTTTGTCTTAACGTACTCGTATATAATATAATAAAATATTATTTAGTTATACAAACGTTTAATTTTCCGGAGGAGTAGTGTCCAAATGTATTGTGCAACGGTGGTGATTGAATTTAATATACGAATAATTATTAAATGCGCGAGGCGGCAATTTAATGACGCGTTTACAAATTCGAATATCTCGTGGAAGATTAAGGGTAACCTATCGAAAACATATGACGCGTTTTATAATAATTTTAATTATAATTATTTCTCTGTGCTCGATTTACTCGGTATATTATTTAAATAATTCTCGAATTCCCTAACCGAACTCCCCTCAGAATCCTTCTTCGTCAGCAGCGATTTATCTTTCCGCACAGATATATTTAAATAACTTTATTATGTAAATTCTACATTTTCGATTTTCCACCTACAACAATGGCACACCCATCAGTAGCATCAGCTCAATATATAACACAGGTGTCCTATAGTGTTCAATTCTATCCCTATTTATTTACTTTTTATTTTTATCCCTGTAGCATTGAAAAAAAAAAATAACTATGTTTTTCACTTTTCGACATTTTCAAAATAGCAATTTTTTAAAAATGTTGAATGTACCGTACATTCATACCCGACCAATAGTAATAGCTGTTTTTTAAGTTCTAGAAAATTTGCGTGAAAACGATTAATTTTTAATAGAACAACGCGGTAGATTATGTTAGGTCATCATCACAATCAGCATGGTAATTCTTTATCTTTTATTGAAAATTAATTGTTTTTACGCTAATTTTCTAGCAATTAAAACGGCTATTACTTAGAAACTGTTGATCGGATATGAATAACTTTTATATAAGACTGTAGGACACCCTATGTAAATTTTTTTTTTCCGACTACGGATAATGTAAACCTTGGAATATTGATTATTTCCAATGTCCCGCGTGGCCGATGGTTTTATTAAAAAAAAAAAAAAATTCCCCTAACATCCGATTTCAAATATATTATAATAATATGATATATTTACCGTTCATTAAAATAATTTCTATTATGCAAAGTTATAAAATATATTTCATTTTGTTTTTTTTCGTTTTGTTTTTATTGTTAACACGAGAGAAAAAATTAATGTAAACATCGCTACAAATCACTTTAACGATTTAACGTTTTTGTAGGTGCTTATAGCCTAAATTAATTTTGATGTTTGCGATTAATTAGTGCGTTCAGTTTGTTGGCCAACCGTTTACATTATTGTTTTTTAAAAAAATATATAGTGTTTACGTATCGTCGTGTTAAAATTGGTTTCGATAGTTTGTTTAACAGTACGTACAACGATACGTGCATTTTACTTTAATGGATCGTTTTTATTTTTTTTTATTTAAGTACGCCTTTTTGTTTTCGAATAAAGTTGCACACACTCTCCAACCGCTATTGTAGGTGCCCAGTAAAGGAATTATGGGATAGAATAAAGGATAATTTAGTTTGTATAAGGAAAAGTACGGTCAATCATTGCAATCGAAAAATGTTTTTGAGCGGACTTTGGTAAACTGGTGAGATTGAAATGTTCGTTGTGTTTTTCCCGTTGTAGCCCAGACAATCTAACCCGAATATCAGCAAAAACAATACTTATGCATGAACATAGCTTTTCGGTATTTTAAATTCTTAGAAAAATTTTCCGGTAGTCTAGATATTTTTTTAAAATAAAGTAACAGCGGACGAAATATATAGATTTTTGAATAGTGCGTGAATAAATCGTAGTGTTATACTAAACAAAAAATTTTTTCGAGAGGAAAAATTCATGTTTGTAAAAATAATATCTTTTTCACTACGCTCTGAATTTAAACGAATGAAATCTTTATCGAAAACACACGAATTAAATAATTTAAAAATGTCGTATCGATGAATTATTTTACAAAGTCATTTTAATACGTCTGTCGGTTTTTGTTTTTCATCGAATTACCTTTGTGCGTGAGAAAAACCCATCAATTCCAGTCGTCCTGCACTGTATGCATTAAATGTGCCTTGTTCGACCCTAATCAGGACCCGCCTGTAAACACATACGCCAAAGTTTATCAAACTATATGTAAATCAGCGGGTCCTTTCCGAACGGATTCCAGATCGCGAAATGGTCGTTTCGTTACTGGAAACGGTTAAACCGCGGTGGCTTTACCGACCGAGAAATTTAGCTTGATAAAAACGACGATTTTCGTTGCATTACTGAATTTAAAACAAAAGACGTCTTAGGATAAAGAGGACGGGTGCAGCTACTGTTATAAGTAATTTATTGTATATCTTTTAGCGAAGATTAACTATTGTTAACGAAAAAACGATTCTGAGCGATTCTGCACAATATGTACACAGCCGTTGCAGTGCATAAGCAATTCAATATTTCACGCGATTATTTTATCGTTATTTCGGCATAAAAATCTTATATAAAATTTATAAAATTTTTAAAAATTACAAACGAAAACATGTCTAGACCGTTTGAGTGCTGGACATTGGAGGAAATAAAATGTCAATACACAATACGAATTTTTATTTTATTTTATTTAATACGGACATGACCCAAAGTACAGTAGAATTGAACGAATAAACATGTAGACAACTCAGTGAAAGTGAAAAATGGAACCAGGTAATGAGATATTGATGGTATTTATTAACTAGGTATTAGTGTAAGAACGAAGAGTGGACGTTAGCAAGTCGTATCATGCGGTGTAAAAGATTGTTCAAACAATAATTAGTGGTGTGAAAAGGGACTGCAAAAATAGTGGTCAAGCAGGTAGGACGTGGATGGGCTCTAAAGTTGACGGGGGAAAGGAGCGATGGTACGTCCACAGAACCGCCGATGTGGTTACGGAGGAACTTCATGTTAATGTCAATTCTTCTATCGGCCAGCGTAGATAAACCAAGTACGTAGGGATCTAAAGAATAGTCATGCAACGGGTAAGATATATTCAGCACATGTCCGGAATAGGATAGATAACGTTTTTGGACTAGCTTGATGATTGCAGAGTCGGAGACTGTAACCGGATCCCACAAAGTAAAACCACACTCAAGCAGGGGTCTCACTAAGAAACAGTAAAAAGCCTTCAATGGAGAGGTAACCTTAAATGCAGTCGATAATCGTTTTACGAACCCTAGAGTCTTACATGCCTGACAGCTTGTTAATTGGAAGTGATAGTGGAAATTAAGGTCAGAGAATAAAAGAACCCCCAAATCATTACGATTGGTTGATACAAGATTAATATTGTTAATCGAGTATGTGTAGCTAATTAAATACGAGATCCGGAGAAGGACATGAAATGGAACTTGTTTACTAGCATTTATTTTTTTTATTTTCCTTGTATTTTTCCGAATAAAAGGAAAATACTGGACTTTTTTTTGTATAATTTTTGTTGATTTATCGATCACCAACAAGAGAAAAATATGACTAATACGACTCTCCTCAGAATTGTTTTTCATTAGCAATAGTTTATTTTTGCCAACAGATAAAAATACGACTAATTTCTATTTTTTTCCAATATTTTTCCTAAAACAGTCGTACAACTATCCGCAGTATTAAACTTTTTTTCGTTTTTTAAATCGTATATTATAGTTTATTTTTGTTTTATAATGCTACGATTATCAATCTATCGTGTACAAAAATGTAATAAACGTCGAATTTTTATCGTAGCTTTGTACTGTCGAAGCATTATCGGATAACAAAAAAGTCTCGTAGGTTTTTATTCTTCTTTTTTATTATATTTTATATAAGTAAAAAAAAAAAAATCAGCGTAACGCAAATCGCGCTATACAGAACGATTCTTTTATCCAAGGAAAGAGTGACTGTCTACGAACATTTTAAGTAGGAAAAAATTTCGATTTGATTTTTTTTTTTCTGTTTCGAAATCACGTTTAATGATCGTAATTTCAATTATATTTTCAACGTATTATCGTTGTTCCTTTTTAAACAAATAGGCGTTTTATAACAATCAGTGATTTTAAAATACCGATATCCGTCGAATCGTTAATATTATAATGTACACGTATTGTATAAAATAATCGACGTTTAAAGGAAAAAAAAAAACGAAAGAGATGATGACAATTACGATTGCCCATTTGATAGTGATAATTTGTTTTAATATACATCTGTTGTATGATAATAATTAATTTATAACAGAATTTAGGATTAAACGTTTTGAAAATACACTTTAAACAAAAAAATAACCACTGAAAAGATTATTAGCCATTCTTTTATAACGTCTGAACCCAAATCAAATTTTTTTTTTCAAAAATCTTCGCTCAGGCGATTTTCTAGAAATTTTTAAAAAAACGATCGCGCTGTATATTATGTGCGGTGCCCCGACGACGACTTTGCCATTCATTTAGTATGCGGTTTTTGTGTATTGTCCGTATATTTCGCAATGGCCGACGTTTCATCTGTAACGGTCCACCGGACGTCTTCGGTTCGTAGGTCCGCCACGCGGCGTTCGATATAACAAATGAACGATCGATAGGAAGAAATACACAACAGTACACAAAGCAGCGCATCACGAGTCCATGGATATGATAAAAACAATATTAATAATATTACACGGTATATGATACGCTCAACGTGATAAATTAAATATGGTTAAAACCGAGGAAAATTATATCGTTATTATCGTATTGTATACAAAAAAAAAAAAAAAAAAAAAAAAAACTGTTATCTATAACGCTTAATATCGAATATCTAAATTTGCGTTTGATCACAACACCGACGAATAGGAAAATCAGTGAAATATTGTTACCGTGCATATATATATATATATAACATAATATTTAATTTCGAAACTATTTGTTTGTATTTTATTAGTTCTTAATTTGGTATTTATTTACGTTTTTGTTGTATTGTATTTGCATTCCCGACGGTAGGACGAAAATAAAAAATAAAATCTAATCCAACGCGCATTTTCCGTATTCACAATTTTCTTACAATTTGTAAATTCAAACGAGTTAAACACGATACGCATATGGTGATCGGAAATAAAACTTACTAGCTGTGACCTCGCATTAGAAAATAATACTGTCGGAGTTACCGTATTTTCGACTAGCGTTGATTATATTTTCCTTAGTGAATGGATTTGTTGTGCTCAAGTACGTATACGTATACTTCAACGTCAACGTCAACAGTACAACATTTATTACCCTTTTACCCTTTTTTATAACCACTGTATCGGTAATAAGCCCCATTCGAAATATTGCCATCTATATTATATGTTTTTAAATGAGTATTGGATTCATTCCGTTTACTTCCGTTTCGCGTTAAATATCACTTAATGTGGTTTGGTAATAATATTATGTATTATCGGTATAAGTAAAATACAAATATTTTCACAAACGATAAGCGTACGATTCTAACAACTATTCGTAGCGGTCAACCTAAGTTTTCCTAAGACTATGCTTTAGCCGAGGCTTTTACATGGGCAACTTTAAGACTTCGCCGAAGTCCCGCTGAATTGAAAATCCGGTCGCGGTACCTCGATGACCTTTCAAACTCGTGTTGTAACTTTAATGTTTGTCTTAGTAAAGTAAGTGAAATTTTTTAGCCGGTTTTCTTTCTTTCTTTTTTTTTTTTTCTTTTTTTATCGCGAAAAAACTTGTTTATTTTTTTCGTTTTTTCATTTTGTTTATTTCCGCAAAACAAATCGTCAACGACCGAACCGACCGTAGCCCAAAGACGAAAACTAATCGTTTGTGAGCTAAGCGCACGAGAAATGTTCGGTCCAAATTTCCGTCGTCCGTTTCGACCGCACCGTCATCTGCGAAATTCCCAGACTGCTGCAGTAATGATATAATATTTTTCGGAATGAATAAATTTTGAACACAGCCGGCAAACGTAAACCCTACGTTATAATAATATTATATTACTATCCATACTAGAGATAATTTCCGGAATTCAAATAACCGTGGAGTGTCTATGGAATATCATTTTACAAATGTCGGAACAATATTGTTGCGAAAAACTTTCTGACTACGTACGCGCGTGAGTAATCGACTCGTGGTAAATGACTCGTTTAAATTAAACAGCAAAAAAAAAAAAAAAAAAAAAAAAATAATAGAAAAACGACGTTTTAAATTTTATTAAGGAAAATGCAATATTTTAACGAACCAAACAGGTATTGCATATTAATTGAACTATTTAGGTACATCAATGGCCATGGAGCTATGTACAATTATCGGGTAAACGTAAATTTGACCGATGATTTTATTTTTTTACCTTTCATAGAATCGATTTACCTCTAATTTTTCAAAACTTCTACAAACCCAATAACATTTATATTTAGGCGTTTGCTAGCCTATACAGTGTACATACCGTGTTAAATTGAAAATTGTCGTCGTATATTATATATGGTGAAACCGATCCAAACGGTAATTCTGAAGTTTTTAATTCCATTGAACTATTGATTGGTTGTATGAAAAAAAAAACCTTTTTTATTAATTTGTTAAATTTATATGTACCGTTACAAGTCTACTTAATGTTGTATTGAAATTCTTTAAAATAACTGTTGTCATTTTTATTTGTCGTTTTAAATAAAATAAATAAATAAAATAATATGAATATATACGTAAACTCTTTTAACCGAACCCACTCAGAATCGGTTTTCATTTTCAATAATCTATCGTTGAGTACAGTTGCACGAGTATTATAAACATAATTACCTATATTTTATCCATCATATACCTTACTCCACTTATTTATTCCTACAACAATGGCTTACTCATGATTATACAATACTCATGATTTTTTTTTTTTTTTTTTTTTTTTTTTTTTTTGTAGTTGTAGGAAAAAAGAATTACCGTCTTTGTATTTTATGTTTTCAATTATAAGTCGAGCCAAGAAAGTTCATTAGTTTTTTCAATTATGACGTGGCATTTTTGTTTTCTTCGGGAACGTATTTTATTTGAAATAAAATATTATAAAACAATATTATATTTCATTTTAATGTTCAGTGGCCACAAATTAAATGTTGAAAAGAAATTAAAAATCGAAACCAAATCGTGCGATACGTAAAATATTATGGTCGACTCTACGCAGTACAATAAAATGATTCCTTTGTCACGCATTTGAATTTATCGACTAAAATGTTCACGTTGAATATTGAAAGTGTCATAGTTTAGCGTTTAAATCAAATTACTATAATTTATCGGTCTCGTTTTTTTCTCCTCGTTCATTCGAAACAATGCATTTTTAAATACAACAATAAATTGTGTGTTGCGATTTGTTATATTGACGGCTGAAACGGCAAAAAAATAATAATATGTATATGTATCATTCGTTGAATAGAAAAACGTGAGTCGTATAATATCTACTAATGTTTTATAAAAACGTAAATATATATTATTGATATTATTGCATTTAAATAGAATAAATATTTGCAAACAAAAGCCACGCCGACCGGGAAAATAAAACCGTTATTCGACTACCACGCCGTATTACTATATTTCAATAATTATGCACAATAATAAATAATCTAAAAAATCGTTCGGTATTTGTGTACCACAGCGAGAAACGTGATTAACAAGAAATACAAGGCGGTCAAGAACGAACTGTTATGCTATTTAAAATTATACGATACTTAGGGAATTTATTCACTTATATAAACTTCGTGTAAAGTCCGCAAGCGTTTCTGCCTGCCCAAAAAAATTGTGACTAAAGTAATTCGACTATTTCGAATGCTAATTAAATAGTTCGAAAATATCCAGAACGTTTTGAATATTTTACCTTGTATTGAAAATTCCAATGAAAATCAAATTCGTGACAATTTCTCTTTTACACGCGACAATTTTTTTTTTTTACCGAATTATATACAAATAAAAAAAAAATCGAAAATAATGAAACCGAGTTATTGCCGTCATTTGTTTAGGTCTTCTTATATTTTTTCTTAGGTTTTCTCAATAACGTAGAAAACTGCAAGACGATTTGAAAAAAAATGTCTTGCCGAAATATACTGAAAATATAGAATTTAATTTCAGAAAACACGCTGTATTTAAAAATTGGAGAGTATCATCTGGTAGTAAATTAGCTTATTTACAGACAAAAAAAAACTAAAAAAAAAAAAAAAAACCGCACTTATATAATAAAAGCAATACACTCTTCGTTGCGCTAAGAATCTAAAACCCAGACAGTTTGAATTCACGCAAGCGTTAAAATGTTCATTTTGAACTGTAACATTATGCTGAGAACAGTTCGAATACACAATAATTTATCATTCAGTATGCAGTTTTCGAATAACAATGGAATATCAAACAAATGTATACACGCTCCTGTCCACGTGCCCAAACAATCGCGCTCATGAAAAGTACGAAATCTATATTTTACACTCTCCTTAAAGAGTATTTCATAGGATTTTTTTTTTCTGACCGATATATATGACATGAATATTTATTTCACTCGTATATTGTCCGCTCGTTTTTTCACATGCTGCATTCGTATTCAGTTTTATGGACACACGGACGCACGGTGTAGTTCAACTTGTTGTTACGAAAAGCAAAAAACAAGGGATCCGAGATTTGGGATTTGTTTAAAGAAAATATCTCTTATTACTAATTATTGGATTTTACGGCGTCCCGAAGATTTCGGCCGCTTCTGTTACATAAATCCCGTAAACCGCACAAATCCGTAACAACAAAAATTGTACAATTATATAATTTACCAAGTAGAGAAAATAAAAATAAAAACGTTAGATGTTACATTGACATTCACTTGTTGGCGTTTTCAAACATTTTTCACAAAAAACAAAAAAAAAAAAAAAAAAAAAAAAAAAAAAAAAGCTACATTGTGATATAGAGGACTCTTATCTAAAAAATTATTTTCTAACAATATCGACGATAACCATATCATATCGAATAATGCTATCTGCGGGGATATAAAAACAAAACATCGTGTGATAATATACGATAAACGGGGAAATAAGACACAATTCAATTTGTGTGGTTTCCAATGGTTCACACTCGACTAGTAATGTACAATAATATCACATGTAATAATTAACAATTACGTAGTGTGTAAATAAGCTTTGGTCCTTTGGTAGACGTTTGCCGTACCTAAATAAAGAATCATGGTCTAAGTTTGCGCACTAGTACGCTCTTTCCTACGACGACGCACGAACGACCGTTTTTAACCGTAAAACATATCATGTCAACAAGTATGCCAGTGTCCTCTTACGATAAACGACATCATCGCTGATGAATTAAACGGTTGACCGTAGAGTCACTTTTCATTAAGCGGTTTTTCTAGTGAATACTGTAATTGATGTGTTATAACAATTTCGAGCAACAGTTTAAAAAGAAGTTTTCCTTCAAATTTGGGGCTCAGTCCCACGGAAACTTTTCGAAAACAGTAGCAAGCTTATGGTTAGTGTTATAGATTCTGAGTGTAGTGCAGAATGTATTGGTTTTACTGAAAGGTGTTATTTATTTATTTATTTTTTTTTTTTGTACTGTGCACTGTGTGTTAGTGCATTCTTGAGAAAGCAGTAGGACGACTGGAGCTGAAACTCGGCAGAAATAAAGGGGGTCATCGACGGAACAAAAAAAATAAAAATCTTACCAGATTTATGTTGCACATTACAGTGTAAATTCACCGAGATTTAATAATGCGATTTAAACTGTATACGGTTATGCAAAATTATTTATTCGGTATAGCAATGCACCCATTTTGCCTATACAACACGCCGCGGTATGTGTACACAAATAGTATTGTAACTTGGTGTATTATACAAGTATTATACTTGTACTTGTGCTGTTATAATAACAGCACAATAACAGATAAACAGTTTCACGGCTACCGACATAATAGACGAATTATTGTTAATTTATCAACATAGTAGTTTATTTTGGAAAATCGATATAGGTACGCGGCATAGGTAATGATAACAATAATATTATTATCGTTTCGGCGGAATAGTTAGGAACACCGATCTGCTATAATTGCGGCGTTCAAGTTATGCAAATGATGGTCGATACGCTATTCGACGCGTATTCGTGTAATTCGACATTTCGAATATTCCAACACTATCGTGCTTGCAGGCGACTGTTTATAATAGTTGAAACCGTCGCGCCGGTGGACATATTGCCGAAATGTACATTGGACGACTAAAAAACACATAGATTAGGCCGAGGGTTCTAAACCTTTTGGGTTACGTGCCCCCCCCCGTGCATACTATTTCACGATGCCGCGCCCCTTCACCATTATAACATTGAATCGTGTTTAATATATATTTATATGTCTTTAATGTCGGTTATGGATTCATATAAATGAAAATCGATGAAATTTTTTTTACGTTCCGAGTGGAGCGAATAAACCTTATGGTTTTACGATGTGTGTCCGTATTTTTAAACATTCAATGCATTTATTTGTCGGGAAAGAAATATCGCCATAAATTAAAATTATAAAACAAATTATTTAATGTTCAATTTCTTAAATATTTAATTTTAAATCTATTATCATAATGTAGATACAGATTAATAGGAGAGTTGGCATCGCTTAGTTCCATTCGATTTTTGAATGTTTTGCGATGACTGTGATAACGCGCATCTCAGATCATATTCCACCAACATTTTCACGCCTCCCTTGAAATTTTGTCTCGCGCCCCCCGGATTGAGAACCGCTGTAATAAACCGACGCCATTACACATTTCAAATTCACTTGCCATTTGCCGCAGTATTTTAACAAATACTCTTATCAAGCCATTAAAAACACGATTAAAATCATTAACGTTTAAAATATCTCTGTGAAATGAAACATACACGATATTCCAACCTAGATAATACTGTCCAAAGAATGTTATGTGTCCCAAATGTAAATTGCAAAAACCTTATCGACCAAAAACCATAACGGGCGTAGATAAAACAGGATCAATAAGTGCATATCGTTTGACCTATGATTATCCGTTTAAAATTCGGTAATTATTTAGAAACTACGTTAATCCGTTCTGACCTGAGCCACCGCTCTTACGATAAGGCGTGAATCGGTTAATTAAATACGCTTATTTACTATTTAACGGGAACATCTTGATAGGTTGTACACGATTGGTCAATTTAATAGTGAGGAATGTAGTTCACGCGATCCGCAAAGTCCCCTGCTCTCGTATTTTGTGTAAAAACTAGTGTTGGATCTATTCGAATATTTTGCTATGTTTTAAATTCCGGAAATTCGCGATGTTCGGGTATCCTAAGATAAATATATTCGGGTATTGTGCGTAATATACGTTTGTATCTGTAACGATTCGAGTATATTTATCAGTTGAATATCCATAAAACGTTATCGAAAAATATCCGGGTAATAAAATGGTTAAGCTCAGTTTAAAAAAAAAAAAAAAAAATTATTACATCCACAGAAACAGCCGCGATAAAAATAAATTTTCGAAAAAAGTTGAAAGTACAAAAATCCGAGTACAATAATAAATATCGGTATATTACGGTTGTTCGGATGTTGCCATTTCGATTGTCCGGGTATCGGTTTCCGGTTGTCCGAATATTAAAAAAAAAAAAAAAAAAAAAAAATAAAAATAATAATAATAATAATCGGAATGACGTACGACGCGACAACAATACGAACCATAACAACAATATATTGTCGTGTATTTGCATAAAAACCCGAAAATTGTACAACGACCGTGTTATTTTCGAAACACAAGACGTGTAGATTTTTATCACTTCCGAGACGCGATTATGTACGCGCGAGTATATCGGACACCCAATAACAAACTGTCTTGTACAACAGTAAGTTTTGAATAAAATATGTTTTCTCGTGGCGCGCAGCCGTTACCGAAGTACATAAATTACGCGAGGGGCCAAGGCCGAACGTACAGAAAACAACGGCAAGTCTGGTCGGTGTATTTTCCCTGTAAGCCCCGCGGCCGAATAATTTATAGGCGCGTAAGAAAATATCCACGCGCGCAAAACGGAATTACAATTAAATATCATCATGAATACGTTCTTTCCCCCCCACCCCCGCGCGAACGCGTATAGTGTGCCGGAACACCGGGCGTTCGTTATTGCAACATTGTTCGCGTGTAATATAGTGCAGTTTATATAGTACGAGTGCGAAAAGTTTTTTTTTTTTTTTTTTTTCAAAATCAAAAGGTGTTTAATATAATTGACGCGGAAAAAAAAAAAAAGAAAGACCACCCGGCAAAAATTATCGCCGTTGTGTTTGTTTTCGTTCGAGTTTAACGCGCGTCCCTGAATAATATAAATCCAATCGTTGTGTTATGCGACAACAAGTCGGTCATCATAATTTCGAGCGGAAAAAAAAAAAGGAAAAAAAGTAATCGATTATACATCGGTAGTCCGATGCGCGCGTTTACAACGTTTTTTTTTATTTTTTTCCCCGACCATTAATCACGGTCGTATTATGTATTATGCGTCGTGAATAGAGAGTATGGGTATACCTAGTTGTTTTCGGACAAAGAGTATCGTCGCCAAAAAGGTTTTTTTTTTATTTTTTATTTTATTTTATTTTTTTGTAAAATGTTCGTTTTACTACCCGGAGCGAATGATTTCGGCTTTTCTTTTTTCCCGTCCGCGGGAAATAATAATACGATCGCAAATATTACGCAGGTATATTCGTCGGGAATTTTTCGAACCGATTATAATACCACGCGGTTGCGCAGTGCGTCATGTGTCGGCGGACAGAACGTCTTTGCATAGTACACGATTCGTTTTAGACCAAAATTGAATTACGTCTCAATTACGTTCGTCGACGTGAGTACCGAAACGCGTTATTTTAACGGCGCATCCGTTTTACACAATCGCACAACGTGTTAGCACATTTGCTTTCAGCCGGGGCAAATTTCGTCGCGTCAATATTCATATTAGATGAGTGAACGGATTTATCGAACCTGGGTTAAAATTTAGATCAGAACACATCGGCCGTACACCTGTAAGTCGGGGTTTTAAATATTTGAACTATTAAAAGAGACACGATTAGCTCTACGCTTGCTGTGCGATGCCCGTGTTGTTGCGAATTCGCTTTACGTACTCTTGTACGCGTATCACATTTTTATTGTAATTTTCTTCATTTTTTTTTTTTTACACTATCTAAAAAGTGAATTTTTAGAGTTTTCGAATTTAAAATTTTATTTTTACATCTGTACAAATTAACATAGTTTTTACGTTGTTGAATTCGAATTTGTCAAGCTTATCGATTTTTTTTTCTTAATGCTGTTATGAAGAATCAAATTACTGTTTATAAGCTTCCATCGAAAAACAATATTATGTGTGTTCCATTTTGCACAATACGGTTATTGTAAATCTAAAATTACAGGATAGCGCGAGTCTTGGATTTGGTTAATTTCGAATTTTCTGCCAGAAAGACTATTGTTAAAACCTTTATTATAGTAAGTGTTTCATTCACTTGCCCAAATTGATTTCATAGACATGCTACCATAAGCTTTTAATGATTTTCGTAACGTTATGAATTATCAGGAATATTTACGGACGTTTATGATACTAAGACCTCTCAAAAGTAAACGTTTCGAAAAAAATTAATTTAATTTAATGCATTTTTACACCATTGTTAGAGCACGAACCATTAACAATTTAGACCCTGGTAGTGTATCCGTCGATCAAATGGAGCTCAATGAAACGGGAAGGAGACATAAAAATCTTGCACAGAATACCTCGACACAGCCAACCACAAGGACCATTTCTAATGAATAACTAAAATGTTACCATAATTGAATATCGATGTTAGGTATTTTATACACAGTTCAAGCAATGTCACCGTTGCCTAATATAATTAGCCATTGTCGACAACACTGACGGTGACATATTATACATACACAATATTTTGCCACCAGTCATCCATGACATACATTATTTCCAATCAATACATAACAAACAATCGTTAAAGCCTTAAAAATAAGGACTTTTTAGTAGTCGTTTCTCAGGTTTATTTTTTTTTAGATTAAAAATATTTAAAGAAATACATAAAAAAATCTACTATAGAATATCAGTATATTTATTCATTTCATAAGGTATTCTTGTGTTATCATTATTATTCAACAAAATAATGTTTAATAGAGTTTTTTCTCTTTCTTATAATATTATTCCGAGTGTGAAAAATATATCTATTTAGATAAGTCTCACGAAAAAGTATAAATTCGTTTATTTTTTACTATAAATTCTGATGAGCTCTGCTGATGCTACGGCAGCGAGGGCACAAGAAAAACTTTTTCATACAATCAATTGTAGACGGCGAATCTTTTTTTTTTTTTTATCGTTCACATTCAGAGGATAATAATATTACACTCTGTTAAGAAGAAATAGAGAGAGGAGACGTAAAAGGTACTGGACTGAGAGGGGGCGACGGGGTGACAACGTAGTTCAATGCTGTTGCTTTTTTCTCTTTCAGATTAAACGCAATAATAATTTGTATGCACAATTCTATATAAAAAAAAAAAAAAAAAATAGTTAACCGTATTGAACGGCTAAAAAAAAAAAGCTTTATGATTTTTCTACGTCGGTGCTATATTTTTACAACGGCTTTGTATTATCCGATTTCAATAATTTAATTTCAATAGAATGACACAATAAGAAAAACATAAGTTTCTTAACAGTAAAATGAGGTGATAATGTTTATGGGTTTGTTACTGTTTTGGGAGAAAATTTAGAAGGAATAATATAAAGTATAATTTAAATTATATCTGGCCATAACAATAAACAATTGATAATAATAAAAAAAAAAATGATTCTGAGTGGAATATAATCTGTTTTTTTTTTAATTCTCTTGTTGTGGTAACCCTGAAATCAACAAAAATTATACCGACAATTGCTGGTTTTCTCAATTTATTATGAAAATTGAAAACTACATGGAAAACTTAATAATTCTTCGAATCGAATCATATTTGAATAAAAAATATTTGTCCGTGTATTTAATGTTAGCACAATACTAATATTGGATTTACCGTTATTTACCGTTATTTACATAAGAGTATAAAACATTTAAAGTTGAGAAGTACAGGTTTTCACACTGTTTTCATGGAGTAAAATTTTTAATTTATTCTGGTGTTGATATTTTTTTACATTCTGAAAGCAGGCAAATTACGTTATAATTGGAAAAAAAAACAAAAATCATGTTAATTTATTTAATATCGTACAAGAAAATCATAAAATCATATTACATGACCAAAAGAAAAAAAATAGTCTTTTATAAAATTATTTCTATAATTTTACCGTATTTTCTAAAAAAAAACTTCGCTATTTTCGTTGTAATATCCGCGAAAACCGATTTTTTACGCGGAGACGTTTATTACCTACTTCGTTGTAATATCCTCTATATATACGTTCGTACGTTTATTTCTTTTTTTCCCACACCGCCCTTTCCATTGTCACCGTCCCAACGTAATCACGACGACGTGTATTTTATATCCGTAGCCACTTGAACGGGCCTATTATGAACGATAATAGATACAATACATTTTCAAATGCCTGGCAATCTGTATAGTGCCTTTGTAGTTTTCGTGATTTACTTTAAAGCTGAGCAGATATTGTTATTAATATTATTTAGTCAATGGCTTTATTGAAATTTACGGTTATTACGATTGTTATTATTATTTTTTTTTTAAATTAAAGATTTTAATTGCATAAAACCGTAATATGTACCTATAGTATTAAAATTACGAGAGGGCCAAATTGATTTCAAATTAAAGTCGAAAAATTGAGAAAATTAAGTATTGAAAAACATATTGCACACTGTCGTGTATAATACTATTAAATGATTTTCAATATAGGTTCTTTCTTAGATTTTTAATAACAATCGGTAACAACAAAAATATTGATTTCATGTAAAGACTTGAAATTTTCACGGAACACAAATTTGCAATACATCCCGGTGATTTCCATGCTATTGATAAGTATTTGACAATTTGTTTTAGTTTTTGTTTGATTTGATATCATTACAATTAATTTGGTAATACTTGATAATTATCTATCAGGTTCATCATATTATGTTGTTTGATGTTTACAATACATTTAGCCTGATGCAATTTTTTGTTTTTTTACGAGGTTCAAAATTTAAAGAAAATCAAAAATATCACGATGTATTAGAGAATATTTAACTGAACTTCGCTTAGAACCGTATCTTATTGATAATGATTTATTGTTGCATATGGCTATTGAATAACTATGTATCCTACCTTTTAAACTTTTTGATTACTGCAAGGGCACATCATAAGCAGAATCAACTGAACCTAACATCTTATAGTACAAGTTCTTTTTTCTATCGCGAAAATTTGGATTCATAATTTGGTCTATGGTTTGAATATTTTTTGCTCAGATTAAATAGTTTTAACAGCCATGGTAGTGGAAATTTGAATAGGATTTTTTTTTATAAGTAAATACAAACGATACTTTTCATATTATAACATGTTTAAGTGTTATTGAATTCAATTTGTTTTGGTGTGTAAAAATTCCGATAGAATGACCAAAGGATTATTAGAGGTTATACATTCATACTACTTAGTGTCGGCCGGATAAGGTTTTTTATGAGGCGATGGCAATTGGCCAGTGGTGGTACCCACAGGCTGATAATATAAATTACTGTCAACTGATACTTTATACTTAATATTTTGTTGTGATTAATATAAAGTAAATATATATTTATATTAAGTTAATATATTATATTTCACATAGTTGACTATGTCACTCAGTCGATTAAACGTTACACGTGTTATACGTATAGTATGTTTAGGTACCGCAAGTTTTATTTAAAAGATAAAAGTAAAAATAAAATGTACTATCCGACGAAAGGCAAAGGTATTTCGAATCACTTTTTGATGCGGTTATTATTTATATATAATACATATAGAATATAGAAAATTGCCGGGCATAAAAGACGGTGTCACTTAATCGAAAATGTTAGTGAAAAAAAACTAAATAAATCGCTCGTGCCGGAAAATGTGAGCATTTCCATCGAGATTCATAAACACTCGGGATCGTTTTCGATAGAATTTTCCTCGGAACAGAGACTACCACACTGCGTCGCGTCATTTATCGTAAGCGTATTAAATCAAATATTTCAATTCATTAAAAATCATATTTTATACTGCTTTCGTACCCTACTGTATTCACGAGAACATTATTACACATTTCATTATACACACAACCGTACTGAGAAATGACCGGTTAATTTTTATAATCGTCATTAAAAATTTTAAAAACTTTAATTTACCGTTCTTACGATAAACCTCGAACCCGAGGCAGTGATAAGTAACATAACAGTGATAGTCAGTTGGTTTTATTTGTAAGTTAATTAACTGAAAATCCATACGTCATCAGCATTCGATTAAATAAAACCCAGAACAAGTAAATTACATTTTCATCAAACGTGGCCGCACATTTGTCTGTTACGTATGTATCTATAAAAACGGCCGAACTCTTTAGACGAATATCGAATGGTAGATTAATAGAAAGTCCATATTATCATCAAGATAATCGTTGTAAAATGTAGAAAATAATTAATGCATTTTCAAAATTGAAGTGGCGTGTGCGAAAATCAGAAATGTATTTTTTTTTGTGTACACGTATTGTACGAGAAAAATTCCTCGTCGGCCGGTTCACAAATCAAACCTAACCAATCGTTAAATTCAAAGACGCAATTAAAGGTAGACGAATGTATTTTATTTTTATTGTTATAGTTAACTGATATTGTGGGGGGTGGGGCGTGGAAATACGGAGGGGCACGTTTTATATATATATATGTATATTATTTTTTTTTCATTCAGTTCATTGCCCGGGCATTTATATTCATTGAAAACGACTCCATTACCACAAAAATAATATAATATTCGTAAATAAAACATACTAATTTGATGATAACAACTAAAAATATATTTTACTCGTTTAATTGACATATTTTTTAATTTAAAAATAATATTTTTACGTCATAATACTACGTTAGCTACCATACAAAATATCGTTCATCATGGCAAATTTCAGAGTGTTTTTTTTTTTTTTTTTTACGGGGTCTTTCGTTAGTTTTTAATTTTTTACGCGTTAATAATAACACCGGGAAGTCGAAAATAATTACTCTTTTCATAAATTTAAATTTTTAAGCTGGCGCTATGAGCGTATATCATATTATAAATAGGTAATTAGAATTTCGTCTATAATTTATTAAAGTCGTTCAACGCGGTAATAATTTATTAAAATATGTTTGTCGGAGTGAATGAATCCTGTTTTTAATAATTTCTATTCAATATTCGTCTAAATTCTCATAATTTTCAAAATTAAATATACGTCGTGATTAAATTGAGCGCCGGTCTCATTTGTTTTTCCGCCCTTTTTTATAGACCAATAATAAAACGTATTAATTGCTTTGATAATGCCGAGAACAGGTAACCAGACAATCAGTTATCTGAAGTAAATAATTAAACAGTCCACATAAATCTTTTGAAATCGTAACTACATAATATAATACTTATTAGAAATCGCAAGCAAAATATTGGTTTGAAAAATTAACTTTTAATAGTTATCATAGAACCTATTTTTCAAAAAATATTTATAGCTATGTACCTAATCTGCATGTACAATTTTACTACGTTTATAGTTTTACGATAGCGATTATGATCGGTAACATTATTGATAACATCATACTATAATAGAGATATAAAAAAATAGCAAAGTTCATTTTCCTTATACTAAATCTAACACTTTTGTCGTTTGTTTTCCTTCCTGACCGCTTTACTTCCTTCTTTTTTCTTTGGCACCAAGTCTTTAAAACCTTTAGCATTTTTTGGCCATTTTGAAATGTATCTTTGTGCAGAAACTGTGCGTACCTACCTATCTATAGAAATGTTTTTATTTCAGGGTGTAGGTTCTATGTTAACGATCGTTGTTACAATGTTCTGCTAGACTTTTCGCTAGCTAAGTTAGCTAAGTGAACACATTTAGCGGCCAAATTTTAAAATTCCCTTACTATAATGTCCCGATGTACTACACCCGACCTCTTACGACTATTAAGTAGTTTTTTGTTTGCAACTAACTTATTTAACATTAGCATTAGGTTTTTGTAGACCGAATAACACAGATGGCAAGGAGTTTTGTGTATGACAAAAATTTCTCATTGTCGGTTAATTTGAAATTGGTAACGTACTGTTTTTTTTTTTATAAGCTAACTGATGATTAGTGATAAATTGCAGTAATAATTTATTAGAAACTGGTCACTCGAGTCTCCGTTACGTTAAGTTGTGTGCAATTTCAGTCAACAGATCTTCAAAATTTAGCGGGTCATCGTAACAACGGCTCTAAGTCTGTAACCGTCGTTGTAATATTATTATTATCAATATTATTGTTTGTCTCGGGTCACGTTGAACTGAAAACCTATTGTGCCAGCAGCATTTCACCTTTTGTCCGAAATCAATTATACGGACTACTGCGTGACGATAACGTTAATCTATTTAACACGAGTGGTGACCGTTCCACTGCAGCACCGGGACAAAATTATTGTATTATATTAGAGGCAGGTAGTTTTCAAACGCTTGTGCCCGAAACGGTTTAGCCGGAAAAATTGATAAAACCGACTAAACACGGTATACTCATAGGTGTACGCGCGTAATAAGTATTTACTTACGACGAGTTTCGAATTCCGAATTAGTTTGCGGATATTGGTTTGGGTTCTGGAGAGGCGATACCCGTGGCGAATCGATAATATGACCGTCATTTCCGTTTTTGAAATATATACGCCGTTGAATTATCGCTCGCCTTAACGGTTTTTAATAAATTCATTTCTATAAAACTATTATTATCGTAATATTTTGTGTCGGAGTGATGAGCACCACGAGTAGAGAGAGACAGACAGAGAGAATTCCGGCTAACCGAACGATGATGTGGCACAGTGGTGACATGCTTTTTTATATTCGAGGGGTTGTCGTATATGTGCCGTTTAAACGTATTTTTTAAAAAAAAAAAAAAAAACTGAAAATGTACATTCAAACAATTATATAGCTTTAGTTGAAATTATAAACCGCAGTGTTGTTTCCGTCGAAAAATAATAGATCATTTTGTTCGTTCATCATATCGCAGCGCTCGTATTGATTTGTCTGTATAAATACGAGCAAAACGTACAATTTATCCAGATCAAAGTAAAATATAATCGCTTTAGACAGATTTACACATTTACACACAGAAACAATATTAAACATTTAGCGAAATATTTATCTACTCCTAAATAAAAACAAGGCGATTTATTCGTTTAATTGTCTATTGTTGATAATAACGCAGCAGAAATATAGGCAATGATAATCTGGTGTCTTATACCATTATTTAATATTAACCTATTTAATTACATTTTGTATATTTTGTCTAGATAATTACTAAAGAGATGATATTGGCTGACCGTTATCGGGTTTAAACGTTATGTTAATTTTAACTTTTAATTTAGTTTGTAATGCTGAATACGGTTATTAAGATTAACTGAACTTTTAACTTAAATTATTTTTGTAGCATCAACTTAATAAACAACAATTTAAATTGTGCGCGGTTTGAATCTGAAAATAAGTAGGTATAATATATATAAAAATAGTAATAGTTTCTAAAAAGAAAATGACAAACTCCAGCATTAGTTAGCAAAAAAAGAAAATTAAATTTTCAAATTAATTTTTAACTTGTTGACTCGTTATCGTTTTTTCAATTGATTTGTTAACCCTAATTCATTGACTTATCACGCGGCCTTGTGGTTATTTTTCATAATTCTTGGGTAGCTGCGATGTAGATAATATTTAAAAATAAAAAGTTATATCTATATTTTTCTTAGCTAAACTGCCGTAGGTTATAATAGTTTTTGCAAATGATACAATATGACGCCGCGTGTTGGTAGTCACAAAATTTCACGCCATTTTAACTGGCGTGGGAAGGAGGGTGAAAACCTAGAGGGGAGGGGGGACTTATTAAAACGTCGCCGGAAATTGTACGCGGTGCTACAGTTAACGCGGGCGTTAGAATTTTTGGAGCGGACTTCCGCGGGCCCCGAGAGGATTGCGTGCGCGGTGCGAATCGATTTTCTAAAACTCGTGCTGCGCTCGTATGCGTCCCGCCAAGCACTTTAAGGTAAGCACTTCGTATATAATATTATACCGTCGTCGTGCCTAATAAACTCTTGGCGAAAGAGTTCTATGCTGTAAAAACAACGCTCGATGAATTAAAATATTTCCTCGCCAGACCGATTTCACCCCGAAACGCCTCTGTAGTACATGGTGTTCGGAACACGGCGATTGAAATTTAAACACGTCAACACCGAATTTCAACGCTGCGCAGTAAATGCGCCTGGAAAGTTGAACATTAAGTTATAATAATTCATTGTTTTGATACATTTTAATAGACTTGAGAAACAACTTAGTTTTTTCTATTAATACCAATATCAATTTTACTGAGTTATTTCGAGTGAAATTAATGATACTTCTAAAAAGTGATATTCGAATTGTTTTTAAAAAAAACAAAAATATAAAGATATCTAAGTTTTTATTGCATTTATTCGTCAAAGAACACACGTATTTTTACTTAAATATTATTATCGCATAACAAGACGTATTTGCGACCTATGCAGGGATTTGAAATACTCACACGAGGGTTGTATAGCAATAAGTCTCTGTACAAGTTTAAATAATAAAGTATAAAATACGTTTATGGGTTTATAGTAGAGGGTAATTTCGAAACAGTAACTTTTAACTTTCAACTGAACTAAGTTATGATTTTGTTAAAAATGTGTAATATAAGTAATTTACTCAAACGTATATATTTAATTTTTAAAACTAACTTGACTAAAGTTAATTTTTTTTGTTTTATTAATGAAAATTTACTGAAGTCGGTCAAAAAAGAAAATTGGTTACGTTCCGCTAATTTGCTAATATTTATTTAAACCCAAACTTCATTGATTTATGAATTCGATGTACGAAATTCTTCTCTGATGGAAGATCCAACAGCAAAAACACCCAGTTTTGACTTACCGTGAGGCCTGTGGACCACCTTAAACCGCATTAGAATCAAATAGGGAAAATGCATTTACCTATTATACAAATGGGGAATGGCAGAATCCCCTTTATGTGGCTAAGGGCAAGTGAAAACTGTCAGGCATATAGAAAATGAATGAACTAAACGAAATATACGGTAGGTTATAAGAAAATTCACTCAGTCAGCGATGATGCCATTAAGTGGATGGAAAATTTAGATGTGCGCCTGTAACCCGGTTCATGCATAAATGGAGAGAGAAAGAGAAGAATCATGTTACCAAATTTATTTATTTTTATTTGTGTTTTTTTCTTTTTATTATACCTTTTTATTTGAATGTAATTTTTTATTTTTATTAGCCTCAGTTTTAGTAGTTCACTAGTTTTATTAGTCCTAGTCTTTATTAACTGTTAGTTAGTTATGCCTTAACTATTAATGTCGGAGCCGTATTCTAAAAGAAAAAAAAATATTATTTATGGAATTTTATTACAATATAAGGTATTATTTTAAAATCAAACAACGGGTATTTAGAGGTTTTATCTTAAAAATAAGGACGACGACAAAAAATTAAGATAATTTAGCATTTTAGAACTGATTGTTTTTATTATATTTTCGAAAAAAAAAAACAAACTCCAAATAAGTTAATATATATTTTCCGAGATTATGAGTAAAATCGTACGTTACGTTGATCACCCTGTATATTATATTGTTATATTATTATTGTACAAGAATCATAAGATACCATATTAGTTTTGTCTTGTCCTACCCCGGGGACTATAATTTAAGTACCGGTATCTGCTACCTATCTACCGGAAATTATATAATAATTTGGTCGAAAAAATCATTGCCGACCAATTCGACCCGACCGCTTCGGACTTTATTATAACGACCAAATATGTTTATTTCAAATTTTTTTTTTTTTAGTAGCGCGTTATAATATTTTTAATCTTCGCCATTATTATGTGCTATAATAACTGTAAAGACAAATTACAGTTAAAAAAAAAAAAAAATAGAGAAAGAAACCCATGCTGTTTAAGATTTTATGAAACGAAAATAATAATAATAATTAAAAAACATATTTAGTTATGGTCATAATTAATGACTTACTTTTCGGCACATTTTATCAATCACCAGTTTAGATAATTTAAGCGCCGGTTAATTTTAATCCCCAGTTAACCTAGAAAATCTGTGTTTGTATTATCATTCGGTTAAAATGTTAACTGCAGGGCTTTAATCGCAGAATAATTAAACGGAAACAAAAACGATAATATAGTACAGGAGGTTCTAGACATTGAAGTGAGATACGGAGCATAAATGTTCTAAATAAGGACTGAATCAAAAAACAAATGGAGAAGTCTTCAGTACAATAGTCAGAAAACAAACGTTATAGTGACGAATTACACTGATAAATAATTGAAGGAATGACGAAAGGATCGCGATCGAGTAAAAGACCGTAAACGAAATACATTAGCCAATTAATGACGGACGCCGAAATCATTCCTTACAAACAGCTCAACGATACGGCTGACAAATTTAAAATATGGAGAAATCATTTATTGGAAATACATTTTTTGCAAATCGGTTTTTAGATTGAAAAAAAACGATTTAAAATTAAATCGATATATTTGATCGGTTAAAGACATTAAACTCGATACTGTGTTCAATGTTATGCGTTTTATTTAAATTACATTTTTAGTTCAAAAGTTTCTTTTTTCGTTGTAGATAATCGTTTTGGATAATCATTTCTTCGCAATTACCTATAATAATTTGATTTAAAATATATCTAGCTTATTTTATTAGCAATATAATTCGTATTCATTTTGTAATTTAATTTATTTTAGATGACCGATCTAATAAGTAGCATGGCACGGTAGTAGTGGTAGTAGTGACGTAAAAATAAAAAAAAAAAACCAATGGACATACTTCGCACGATGGTTGAGCCGCTGTTGTAGTTGAGAAGTTGGGAAGGTAAATGGGAAATGTAATATTTATCTGCACGAAACGATTAATATTTGCAAAACAAAAAAACGATTCTGAGTGATGTTCGTTTATACATGATTTGAAAGGCCGTAATATTTAAGATTTGAAAATAATATATTTTGTAAATTTTCCGATTTTTTTACGGGTTTTTCAATTTATTACGAAAACCACCGAAAAAAAATCAAAAAATAATCTTCTTTCGTGCCAGTCAAATTTCCTTTTCAAAAAAAGTGCTAGATCTGAAAATCGGAGCAAAGTTTCTAGTAGAAAAGTTGTTTGCAGACAAAAAAATAAAAAATAATTTTAAAACCGATACATTCTTCGCTCCGCTAGGGCTCTAACATCTTTAGATTTTACAAACTAATATTTTTTCAATAAATTACGAAAAACCTCATTTTTTATCAACGAGAATTTTGATTATTGAAACTAATGTGGTAACCGTGAATTTTTTTCGCGAGATTCCGTCCGTTTAAAAAACGTTTTAAATTAAAAATGGATTAATGTTATAATTTCAGGTTTTTACTATATTTCCCTATTTCTATTTGAATTTGACACAATGTTAAATAATAATTTGATAAAAAATTCGATTTGATTTGGTTTTTATACGTCTATTTCTAATCAAGTATAACGAAATTGCAAGTTTGCGGAACAATAATATAATTCTTATATTATTATATTACTATTATACGATGGGATTACGTCTTTTGTTATGATTCAACACTCGGTGGATTTTTAATAATTTTTTTTTTTCTCAAGTTTAAAAGGGTCTTTTAACTACGAGATTATATTATATTATTATTTTAAGAAATTAAGAAAATATCCAACTATGGCGAAAGTTTTAAGTCGAAATTATTATTATAACTTTATAAAGTTTAGAATATACTTTTTATTGAAATATATAAAACGTAATAATATTAACCATATAATACGCGTTAAAGTTGTGAAATTACTTCAATTATATCAAAACCCGAATCGTTGAGTTGTATAGTAATAGTTGCCCGAAATATATATAATTTATAAATTTAACAACCTTAAAAGAATTCAGGTCTGTCTCGTACTTCTTACCTAATTTTGTAATGTTGCCCGTATTATGTATTGCCGCCGAACAACACCAATGCAATACTATTATATCTGTCAGCCATACGGGATTGTTTGCAATTGTATTGCTTATGACGATTTAAACGAAATATCTACCGAAAATGGCGAAGAAAAACTATGTGTACAGAGCAAACGATTTTTTTGAGAAACTATTTATTTTGGACGATATGGGTGTCTAATTTACATAACATTGTTCATTAATTGAATAACTATACAAATCATCATAAATTATGGTCTTTATAAGTAATGACAATGTAATACAAATGAATAATATTATTATTATGTTTCATTATTACTACGCACGATGTTTTAGGGTACCAAAGCCGAAAAAACGCATAATGAGACTATGCGAGACAATCGTTTTTGGCTGAGACAGTTGAACGTGAACATTTTTTGCGTTTTACAAAAAATGCATGAGTAGGGTTACGTTTAGCTGTTGTGCGAGGTGCGGTTTAAATTCGTAGAAATAATATTTAGCGAAAATATCAACATTAAATATAAAACCCATACTTAGACTAAAAGGCAGTGAATGATCACAAAAATCAGCCCAACGACAAAAGTATTGGAAATTTCCTCACCCATATTTTATTTTAGATACGTCACGGACATATCGAATAATATTTAGTAAGCATAAAAGCATTTTCTAAAATAAACATACAAATCTTTGTAGAACTAATAGCTTCTTCGTTGTACTGGAAATCTAAACTTGTATAAAAAAAAAAAAAAAAAAACGCGTCAACACACGAGCACACGTCGTTAAAAAGAATAAAGGTACACTATGCTCCCTGGCCGGATGTATTATATCATGAGCAGATCTCATAAAAGAAAAAAAAATATGCTTCTTCCCCGATTTAAATTTAAAAGCGACAACGATTTATTTTTTATATATTGTATATAAATATATACAATATTAAAGTATAAGGAAAAAAAAAAGAAAGATATAAAGTAGATATGATTTAACGGTGAATAATGAGTTAAAATGTTATGTTAAAAAATGTAAATTAGAAAAAAAAAAAACAATTTAACATTTCGACTTACATTTCCGAGAAATTTCCGAAAGCGGTGGCGGGATGTATCATCTGGCGCACAGATCGCGTGATTTATCCGTCGGTAATTTTCCCGGGAAATTAAATCAAGTTGGCGATAAAGTACAATACTAATATATGTGATTATAAAAAACTCAAAAAGGATCATCAAATCATCGAAGATAATAACGTTTTCAGACCTACACTAACGGATTTAATAAAAATAATACGATAGTAGTATAATAATCGTTATTATGCGAATATATAGTATTATGTTTTTTTTTTAATTCGATTTTTTTTTTTTTATGATTTTCCGGGAAAATTGGTTTTTTTTTATTAATTTTATTATAAACAAAAATCCAAGAATATTTTAATAATAGTGTTTGAGAACATTATCGCGTAAAATGAATTTAAGGTCGGTGGCGTATCCAAAATTTTTAAAAGGGGAGGAGTGGAGGGAATGCGATAAATAAAGAAATAAACAATACGCATAATTGAAAATGCGTGTTTATAGTATTCGAAAAAAAAAAAAATTAATAATAATAATAATAAGATCCATTCATATTTGTATTTGGGAACGGCGTGAAAAAATCAGACCATTCGAAAAGCTAACCGAAAAGTAGTTTTCAAAGAAAAACCGATTTTTTTTTTTTTTTTTTAGAAAATATGTTTGGAAAATCGATAATTCAATGGTTCAATGTTTCTTATCAAGTACCGCCAGTGGGAAAAGTCGGAGCATTTTAAATAACGAAATACATACAACCCAACAGATTCGTTGGTACACGGTTAGAACCTAAAAGAAACCGTATATGTAATGCATTGTGGTATATACATTTTATTACGGCTTTTTGAGTAGCTGTGTGGACCGCGTTTTCAGATACGGAGAAAATAAATCTCGAGGATAAACGAATACGGTCAACGGCAAATTGAGAATCTTGACCCCCGGGTCCCCCTCTATCCAGGATGCCCTACTGTTTAACGCTCACGAAATTCGGCAGACACTTAAAAGCGTCGCGGGACACTGCGGCGCTAACGAAACGCGGTATAATTTTTAAATTAATAGCTTTGTCGTTTCTCTCGGACTGCAATAATAATAATAATAACTATAATAATTTAATACGATAAAATAAAAAATGTGTAAAATGTATGTAACAATTTGCAAGTTATTTTATGTTTTTATTGATCTCGGATCGTTTACGGCGCGCCGGGAAATATTGAGATCGATTGGTTTTGCGCCCACCCGCTACGCATACAGTGTCTAAACAATTATCATAGCGATAACAGCATCGCCCGAAACGAGAAAATAACAATACAACGGCGGTGCTACAGTTTTAGAAAAAACAAAAAAGAACCGTCGAATTTTTTCATAAAAATTAATATTTTTACAAGTTGTAATATTTATTTTATTACGTTTTTGAATTGTATAGATATTACGTATTACGCGATTAAAAAATTATAAAAACTCGTCAAAAGTGTTCGATCGGCCGACAAAAAAAAAAAAATGAAACACTTAAATTTTTAATTTTAAAATGTTTTCGTCCATAGTTTCTAATGACGAATATTACGATGTTCTACTTTTACAGTGAACAATAACGGCTTGATTTTAATACCCAAATTCGCTATGCGTTATTTATTTTCGGAACAGATCGTTTTATCGCGTAGCGTTTAACGAAATAACATTATGTATTTCATTTTTTTTTTTTTTTTTTTTTTTTTTTTTTTTTTTTTATTATTATTGACACGAATAAACGCCACGTTTTGTTTTTCGAGGGCAATATTATATTACGTTGAAAAATGTATAGATATTCAAGACGGTTTAAGCTCAGCTTGGCCGGACACGTGTGTAGATCCGAAGGAATAATTGGACAGGTTACGGATTGGACACCAAGCGAAAAAAAAATGCCAAGTGGATTTCCTAGACAAACGTGTAAGGACGGCACGATCGAAATATTGAAAGAATTGACTAACTCCGTTGAACGGACAAAGGCAATCGGCCGTGGTGGGAATCCGCTGAAAATACCGACAAAAAAACCAACGTCCACAAGAAGCAAAAGAAGCAAGAAATCACCGCGTGTGTGTAATGTATACATTCTATACTCTCCCGACGTACTACCTACGGCAGTGGTCCACCGCACACGGCGCAGAGTATACCGGTATTTTTGTATAAAAAAATCAGAGTTCACGACAAAAGCTCGACATTCTCAATTCGTTTACACTACTTGCCGTAACTCAATCGCGGAATGTCTCACGATTTTCTTTTAAATCCCGAGCACAGCGAGAAACGTTATTGATTCAGCTATAATGTGCGCCGCTTTCTTTTAATTTTTTTTTTTTTTTTAACTTTTCTACCGAAAAATTTTCTCTAAAGCGTAAGTGTGGTATTTTATTTTGAAAAAAAAAAAAAATTGGTCTCTTGTTGATGGCTTAAGGAGATTATTTTTCAATTTTCTTAATAATTATAAACCGAATAAATACAATTATATTTTCAAGGATATTGACGATTTATAAAATAGATTTAATGAAAGCAAAAATTAATTTATTATGTTGGCCAAGTAATGGAAATAATAGCTTTTAAAATTTTGAAAACCATTATTTTTGAACTGCAACAATAATGGACGAAACACAAAAACGTATATGCACCGCACGAATTTCATTTTAAAATGTTAAATTAGTTGATTCTATCAATTTAATTCATTTATTAGTTTATAACAGTATTAAAAATCACAATTTTAATTTTGCTGCAGTCCTAATCTAAAAAATGTTCTCCTAGTCTTAAATAATTGTGTACCTGATTTTCGTCCATTAAACAAAGTTAATAAAATACCTTTGTTTTTAATGGTTTTTGTAAAATTCATTTTCAGTTTAGCTTACTATGTACTAACAATTATATGTTTTAACACGACTGTGCGACACTCTATTGAACTTTAATAAGTAATACAGTTTTTGACGATAAAGATAGTAGGTATCTATTATCTTTTGTACGACACGATTTATTTTTTTCGTATCTCGTTTTGTACCGACCTAACCTAACTGGAATTATTCAAAAAATAAATTCAACCTAAACAAAACTATAACCGGAACCGAAAATTACAAAAGGCTCTAGTTCCTGGTTGTAATGTATGTATCAACTAGGCACTTTTCTACCAGACGTCTCGCTATGTAATTCAAGTCTAGCATCTTTTATGAAATTTAATATTATTTATTTTAAGTATTAGAAAGTAATTTATATACGCATTGCAGTTTCTTTTATTATTTAAAAAAATTGTCGAAAAAGTTTGGAAAAACAACGAAACAGTTCCGTTAATTTCAATTATGTTTTCCTTACTGTAATTCAGTTAAAAATAACCGACGTGATTGAAATTTTTTTACAGAATTCTAGTTTATATTAATCCGTTTTTACGGTACAAATTTTATAACATTCTGGAAATTATTGAGCTAGTTTTGAACATTTTATAATTTCGAATTCGTTTTTGTTTTTATTTAGTTTTGTGTGAATAAACTTGTCTTTGCTCCGCACAAACGATAGTAAATTTAACACGAGATTCGTTCTGATTTGCCCTTTGTGATAAAAAAAAAAAAAAAAAATGTATAATAGTTTAAATTACGATGATGGAAATTAGTTTAAATCACGGTGTTTCGAAACATGTTCAACCGAACCGTGCCCAGAATCGAGATACAAATTAAATAACGACGTGCCCTACGTTTCCCGCATCCCATCGACAACCGCGGCACATAAATCAACGGTATTAGCTCTCTTTTACTTTTTTTTTTCTTCTTCTTTGTCTACGTTTTAATTGTCGTATTAATGCGCCTATTGCGGAACACGGTGCACAAAATGACTACCCATTATATTGTTTTTACGTGCCGCGTTCTCCGTGCTTTTTATTTCGAGTGTAAAGTCGGACTTACGCCGATAATTATTATAACGATAGATCATATCATTATTGTTATTGTTATCATTATTACCTATAACGACCTGCGGGCCGTAAACGGTACGTGGCCAACGTTAACGGCGCTAGTTCCGCGGCGTAAACCTTATAATACCCGTAATATCACGGTATTCCTCCGGGAACGGTTTTAATGATATTATATACAATAATATAATTACACTACTTTCAATCGTTATTATCATTATCGTGTTATCGTATTGTATTCTTAACGGTGTCCTTAATGTCCCGACGAACGTTGAAACTGGTAACGCAGTAGGGACAGTAGCGCGCGCGCCGGTCGGGGGAGAGCACAACGTCTGATATTTGCTTGAAAAATACAAAAACCATTATTGTAATTGTTTCGTCGATTTCGGGGAATATTTGTGTTTGTTGTTTAAAAATCGATTTTTTCCATTTAAATTCCCGTATACGAAATTCGATATATGTTTTTACCGGTTTATGATAATTAATGAATCGCATAATATCGATCCGTTAAATAAAAATCGTCGAATTAACACGTGAAAAGTTCATTTTTTTTTTTTTTTTTCATAGACTAACTATAAGTTTAGTTTTGACCATATTATTTTTTCCACGATTACAAATTTAAATTTCCTATGTTCGTTACAATCGATCTATACTGACGGCACTTTTGAATATTGTGCAAAGCAATATGGATCACATTTAAAAAAAAAAAAAAATTAATAATTATTCGACTTGTACTATATCGTATTTTATATTTATTAAAAAAAATTATATTTAATTACTGTCGTGTACGAGAAAAAACCAATAGTTATTTGGCTAATTTCGTGTTATTTTTTTTAATACATTTATAATTATTTATTTTCGTGCCGCACATTTGTGGCCCAATTCCTAACCGCACGCAGAAACGTCTCCTCCATCCTCTCGATAGCTCATTTTATTAACAACAATAGTTGAAACAACACTATGAGAAGCACTATGACACTAGTGGTTTATAGTCCAGTGCGTATACGTATAATAATTAACGTCGTCCATACTGGAATATTAATAATGTGTTAAAAAGTACATAGACCTACGTTGCGATTAATTTTCGTATTATTTTGTTAATACATAACATTGTAATTACTTACGAGGATATTATTCATAACTATGTCGTCCGGATCACGGCTTCAAAAAATGTCCGATACAACGGAAACGATAAACGTTTTTCACGATAATTGTGTCGAAGTTATCAAACTCCGTTCGGCGTATAAAACAACTGCGTACAGAAACGTGAAATGTTTTCCATACGTTCATAATAAAATTTTAGCGAGTACTCAAACATCAAAGTCCCTTTGATTTTTTACTCTTCGATATATTTTATTAAAATTAAGCACAAATATAAGGGAACGGTGTGGGGTGGAGGGAATGCAATCCAGCTATCATTATAAAAATAATTATGATCTCCGCATCAAAGTCAATATTGTTGATTAACGACGGACTTTGAATACAAATAATATTTGTTTACAACATTGCCACACGTTTACGAAGAAACGAGAGAAAAATGTACACGTGTGTTCGATGAAAAACGTTTTTATTTTTACGATTAAAAAATGATTGATTTTTATGATAATAATAAATAGGTAGGTAGCTATACTGCAGTTGCTCGTGTTATTAGTTTTCAAATAAAATTTACGACATTTTATCCTTGTTCTGTCAGTTTTGGGGCCATAATAATATATATGCGTAGGTGTACTCGTAATATAAAGTTAAAAAAGTTTACGTCGGACCAGAATACAAAACAATATTATTTACACTTCAATAAACTTTCTTAAATATTACAGGGAAGGGGGAGTTGAAATTATGATAATTTTTCTCATGATCACGCCCGTAAACTATAATAGGTAGTTGAAAAAATACGCCGATGAAAAACAAAGGTAAAAATGTCCACTTACTTTTGAAATAAAAAAAAAAAAAAAAACGAGCTCATACTGCTGACGGATGTTCCTCTGTTAAAGGTGAGAAGTTAGAAGGTATGGTTGGTATAAAGAGTTATTTACACTGAGATAGATCTATGCCGAGGAGAAACGATTCTGAGCGAAGTTCGGTTTAACGTGTTTTGAAATGCAGTGATTTTCTTTTGCGATTATTGTACAAATTTGAACTCCAATGATTGAATCAAAAAAAAAAAAAAAAAAACCGGAATTTTTTCTCAATGAAATTCGTGTGAAATTTTCAATGCATTTATGCACGGCCAAAATAATTCGAATTCGCATTAAACTGGAAAACATCGTGGTAAAGCAAATATATTTCTCGCTCTACTCGGAGTCTAAAACCAAATAATCTTTAGGCGAATACGTGTGTATCACCGTTATAACGATGACTACGATAATTATACGACGTTCCAGTATTCGTTAATTATCGTTGATCGATAAAACGTTTCGGTTCGCACGAGTAAAATAAATGCCACAAAATGTACAATTGTACATCGGCTTATTAATATACATATACACGCAATTATATTTATACGCGTACGCCGCACGGCTGTGATAACTGACAAGTGGCAACGTCCGCAACGATTTGCCTATCTCTTATCGCGCGAACAAGCTCCGTTATCGCGACAGCGCCAACACCGCACTGCCGCGAATGAGCCGGCAAAGGCCGTCGAAAAATCCGATTCACGTCCGACGGACATCGTAATACGATAACGACCGGGATCTGTAAACGATAGTTTACCCCGGGGGCGACGGCGGCGGTGTCCGAAGAAGACCGACGAAAACCACACGGGCCCCGCAGTTAAAATAATAATAATAATAATAATAATAAAAAACATTTTATACGTTTTTACACTGTTCCGGGCGTCTCCGGGACCGTAATTTTTATATATTTTCATATAATATATTATATATATTATTGTGACAAACGCAGAAAGTTCTAATGGCCGTATTACAACTGCAGCACGTTTCGCCCCGGCAAACCGAGGTCGTGCGGAGGTCGCGGTTTTTTTTTTTTTTTTTTTTTGACGTAATATATTACGATAACGACTATGTTTATCTTAATAATACATATATATATCGAATGTAAATAAATATTCTTTTGAGTTTTACTCGCTTTATAATAAGCGGCTTAAAAGAACGGTCCGTGAATTATAAATTCCGAAATCGATACACGGTCGTTTATCGCCGCGGCCGGGGTGTTTTTTCCGGGGATCCGAGAACGGCGAAACCGGACGCGCCGGAATGAAACGCGCGTTTATTTTAACGGTTCGACGAGTGAAATGTGCGGAAAAAAAATGGATAAGAAACGTTGACGTTTTTAACGTCGAAAATTAATACGGATCGACGAAATCAACGAGAGATCGAAAGTGACAAATTAAAATCATTTTCCTGACATCGGGTATTCCGGGTACGTACAAACGTACCGGGGAATCTCACATTTTATTATGATATTTCCGAGACTCGATCCACGTGGAGTAAACAGATAATATTCCCTGCGGTTTGCCGTCGAAAATAGATATTTATAAACATCTTCTAAGATTTATATCGCGGACGGAACGGATTTCACGGACAGACAAGACGGCAATGATGTAGTTTACGGAATTAATAACGATTCCCGTCAAAATCACCGGTCGACGTATTTTTTTTTTTGCGAACGGATGTACCGTAGATCACGTTACCTCTCCGAAAATAACCCATCCGTTATTGGAATATTCTCGGAGGGGAAAAACCCGCTCGAACCGCCAAAGTCGATATAATTTGTGTTTGTACAATCCCAATGGATAATTTGACGAGACGACCGTGTCGTTATTGACAATCATTTTCAATTTTCCGTATTACGATAGTAGTTGGTAACCAACGCGCGCTTCCGTTCGACGGGAACACTCGTAATATATGACGCGCGTAACGTCGTACGCACGCTGTTATTACGATTGACCGACACAAAACCTTATTCATTCGGTACCGCGTCTGACGGTGATGTGTTTAAAGATTTCAAATTTCATTCCGCGTCCGGTGCTTCACGGGAGATTCCGTTATTGTCGTTTGACGTCCCGAGAAACAATGCGGCGCGCTAAAAACGTTATGCTCCGCCGGAATCGGATTCCCGATCACATTCATCGTTATTTTCCTCCGGCCGCGAGGCTCGGCGGCAAAAGGCGAACGAAGATACGGCCACAGTGAGTGTTTGCAACACTGAAACCGCAGTCGTCTGCGCGGAGCCCGCCGTAAACAAAACCACGGCGTTACTGATAAAGTATCGCGTATTATTATTGTATTGTTAGAGTCGATTTCACGCGTTCCCTGTCGTGGACTACAAGACACGATGGACTGTTATTGAACAGCGGTTAATCAATGGCACCGGATATTGTCGCGTAAGAGACGAGTGTGAGAGGCGAAAACGTACGTTCACGGTTCACAACGCCATCTATAACGCTATCTGAACAGCGCGAAGATACACGTGAGCAGTATTGCTCTATGATAATAAAACCGAGTTTACCCTCGCCTATTTGCAACAGCGAGATTTTTTGTAAAACAATAAGTATAATAACAATGTATAATACAAATATATATATATATATATATATATTACAGTATGGTAAAATGATTGCCTACCCGTACATTGTATACTTTCTTTGATAATATTTTTTTAATACTGTATCTATTTTCCCGGTCATAACAGTAAAATGGCAAAAAAAAAACCCAGAGCGTAACGATAAAACATAGGATGGACAGAGATAGACGGTTGAGTATAATTGAGTAGAATTTCATATTATGTTGTTCATACTGTCATCACCACCGTTACCTATATATTTAACATGCTATGGCTTTCTGTGAATATTGGTAAACGCGTAATATATAATTTTTCATTTTTACGATGACGATAATTTCACATTGCGAATTATATTAGAAGAGTTTGAAAATGTGTTATCTACGGTTGCATGGATTTCAGATTCTGAACGTAGCAAGACAAATAATGGTTTTACTTTGATATGTGTTTGTTTTCCAGTTTTTAAACAAATTTTCTACAAGAAATATTGTAACAAATTTCAACTTAAACGTATTTTCTGAATGCAAAATCGATTAATGGTCGCATAATGGAGATTTTTTTTTTGATTTTCCTTTGATTGGTTTCTCAATAGTTGTGAATAATCGTGAAAAATACGCGGCGAAAACGGGAAAATATTTAGATATATTGCGGAGTAAAAATAAATATATATAGATATAATATAGGCGAATTGGATATATTTAATTTAAAATTGATGTATCATTAAAAAGCAACGTTTGTCGAAAAAAAAAAAACACTAGTATGAAAATAATATAAAACTTGATAATGATTTTTGATTTAGAACGGTACAATACGTGAAATTTTTTTTTTGTTTTTTCCGTGTGTACAATATTGAACCTGTAGTCTTGTTGCTTGGTTTTTTGATCTTTCTTGAGAATGCAAAGTTATTGGCTTCTCAATAAATGCTATAAATAAATGTACGGCCAATTTAAAATCATCGGAAATCCGTGGTTTTTTTTTTGTGTGTAAGCGTTTTTTTTTTGGGGGGGGCTTTGGTACATAAAAATAACGAATCGGTTTTAAATAACATTATTATTTATGGTTATTTTAACCTTGCGAAATGCCGAAAATAACTGTGCGTTTAAATCGTACTACAATCGCGCGGCGTGATGGAGAAGCCGTTGTATAATTTATTCGAAACGGATTTATTTTACCACGCCCGTCGCGAGTTCTTCTTCGAGGAGAATGCCTTGGCGTTATGGTTAGGTACACGTAATATAACATTGTGTTTTATTCGTTTTGCTTGATGTAGGATTACACGCGTTTCCTTCGTGGCAAAAGTAAATTACGGACGACGAATTAAACGACGGACGGAGGTAGACGGGGATAAAAACAATAAGTTAAACGAACCCTGCGCAAATATACAAATACGCGGGTAACTACGCCAGAATCAGTGGCCGTAGTATAGGTAGTGTGTTTGAATCCATGTCGCGGATTTAATTAAATACTTATATCCGGTCGTCTGTGGATCTATTCGAGAAACACGACGTTCCTTGTTTTTTATTTAATTTTTTTATTATTCGAACAAAAAGTTAATTTTAAACGTATGTCGGGGGAAAAAATTAATTGACAAACGAAGACTTTTATGTTTTTGTTTCAGCTTACTTTACTCGGAATTGCGGAATTTTTGAAATATCGTAAAACGATAAATGATTAATAAATAAAATTGAGCTACCTACCGTACTTGAATTAAGGGACGGAGTACCTCGATTCATTTTTTAGAAATTTAAACGTACCTCTACTTACTATTTGTCATGTACAAGGACAAGGGGACCAGAGCGATTACCTCTCCCCTTGATCCGTGGTTTTTACGCACATAATTCTAATATTCTTCAATTGTTATAACATATTTTATCTTTGAATAACTCTTGAACAATTCCAGGCTCCGCCACTGATGTTCATTAATGACATTTTTTCAACTGATTATAATTTACAAAAAGAATTTAAATAATCTAAAACCAAATAAAATCCTAAAAAACTCGAGAGTTTCAAATAGCTAAAACTGAAAAAAATTGAAAAAAAAAGATAAAATAAAGCAAGAAAAATCTAAAATTGTACAAGCGATTTTATTTAAACCAATATATTTATATTAAATATAAAACAAAGTCAATAAATATGATTTGTACTTTTGTAATTACACTTTGAATAATACATACATTTTTTTTCTTACATATTCTCTTATTCTTTATATCGCCAATAAGAAATTCTGAAATCAATCCACTTTACCCTAAAACAAAAGCTACTTGGGTCATTTTAGATTCTAAGTGGATCGCTATTACTATTTTGTCTTTGTGTTTTATAGACTGATAGTTTCATTATTTTCATTCAGGATGTATTCTTTATTGTGAATTGGTAAGAAATCGCATCTGTGCATTTAACACCGCCGAACTTCAAAAACTGAAAAATCTTTTGAAGTTTTATCACCCTCTTTTCACGAGAATTCTTTCATCTTAATTACCTCCCTCTACGTAAAGTTTTTTGGACCTTGTAAAATAACGAATTATATTTCACCTTCATACGTTCTACACTTACATATTGTAAGCCATGAATTTACTGCTTGTACAGAATCCTTGGACACAGCAATTTCGTTATGATAAATATACGTCTCAACATCACAGGTTGTCTCTAAAAAAGTACATAGCAGTGCAAAAGGTGCTTACGTTCATAAAATACATTTCGTTATTTATTTGCGATGCAGCGAATATAAACGAAGACTTCTCGGGTACTCCACCTTACTGCTATCCGAGCTACTGATTCTTGGCTGTAACCTTTGGTTCTGATGATTTACGATGTTTTATTTCTGCTTTTCTGTGATGTAAATTCAACTAGTGTATCTAAGTATGTTACACTTCGATGAGCTTGCTTCAAATATTCATCTTGTTTCATTATTCAGTACTGGAGCACCAATAAATAATAAAAGTAAACCCACCATATCCTTTATTCCAACATCATTAAATACAGCAACATTTTCACGGAATGCACTTACAAACGATGATAACGACACTCCCGCTCCTGACTCCCGCTTGAGTGCGCTTAACGTAAATAGTTTATTAATATGTGTATACCTAGTACCCAGTGAGCCACTGGCGAGTTAGCAACTGTCAGTGCCAGTAGATCAAATACGATCGTATATTAGTGGGTTTATAAGTGCATGTCTACGTATACCAGAAAATCGTATTAACATTATATCACTGTGCTCACTGGCGTAAGATTAGAACTTGTCGACTATTTTTGACTACTTGAATCACTAAAAACCACGCACGTGTGAACCCGTCATATTTGTTTTACTATTGCGTTGGCTTTACCGTTTCAATATTCCACCGCAATATAATTCAGTGCTCTGTATCAAATATTAATTTTGTTGTTAGTCTAACACAGATATTATCTCAAATTGTAATAATCCACCGGGTGACATGTGAGGGTCGCATACCAGTAAGTGGAGTTGTTTAAACGATAAGAGCCAGTAAGTTGGCATTACAGTTGTCACACGCCAGTGACCTTCCGGTTGGCTTAACGGCTAGTACACTAGCCACTGTATAATGTATATAAGTCTTTAAAGGCAACCGAGGCGGCTCGGTTTGCCACTCGTCTTTATCTGTACACGGTGACACTGCGTGTCGGCCGTCTAGAAAGTTCTAGCACACCCGTGAGATGCTGCACGTGCCCCATGGCTCTGTTACCGTTACGGCCTTGAAGGCTGCGTATGCAATGCATCGCGTGATAAACGTGTAGGTAATGGTGACGTCACGGTTGACTTATTTAAAACCACACCGAGAATTAAAAAATATATAATTTATTCAAACCGGACTAGATATATTTAACAAAATAAATCAATCATATTGTATATCTTTATGAGTTATGATGGTGTATGTGTTTTTAAAAGGTATCCATTATCTATCAGAAATTATAATTATAATTGTGCGGTTGAAACGAGAAGTGAAATGTTTGTTTTTATATATAATTACATCAAATCATACGCAAATTTACAATGAACGCAAAACAAATGTATTTTGTTTTTAACTTACCTATACGTTATAATATATTAATATCCATTTGGTGTTAATGTGTTACAATACGTTTTCACGACATTTGAATATGAATAAAACGCTGTTGGAGTTAATTGTTTAGTTTGAAACATCTGTATGTAAAAGACGTAAGTACACATAGCCTATCAAAAATTATAATTAAAATTGTGCGATTGAAATGAGAAGTAAAATGTCTGTTTTATATATAATTACATCAAATCATACGCGAATTTACAATGAAAGCAAAACAAATGCATTTTGTTTTTAACTTGCCTATAGGTTATAATATATTAATATCCATTTGGTGTTAGTGTATTATAATACATTTTCAATATATTTGAATATGAATAGAACACTATTAGAGCTAATTGTTTAGTTTAAAACATCTGTATACAAGAGACGTGAGTATATATAGCCTAAAAATATTTTTTATAAGATATATAGGTATGTAAATGAAAAAAAGTTTTGAATATCACAGTGTACAATATCGATGGTTTTTTAATATTTTTTACTATTAAATAAAAAGTCAAAAATGGATTATAAATTATTTTTTTTACAAGTGATTTTTTTGGTTTCAGTTCTCCCGACATTTGTGATCTCGTAAGTATTCAAATAATTGTTTTATATACAATTTCCTCATTATGGTATAATTTTTAAAACTCGTTGTTTTAATATTCATTTATTGGGGGCATATTATAAGGAGACTTTTCCTTATGAAATCCCCTAATTCTCATTATCATTCTCATTCAGTTCTTTGTCGGTTATTTTTTTGGAATCCTCATTCTAAAAATGAAGATTCTAAAATTTCATTAAACCTGTTTTTGAAATATTTCACAAAAATGCATGGAAGTTGCATGCAATTATTCATTTTGATAAAATATCAAAATAAAACCAATATTAATAATTATAATTAAAATTCTAATAGTAACTGTTGCAAACATCTAAATAATGCATGGAACGGTACTGATAAAAGCTTTTTAAAAATGATTAACATTAAAAAAAAATTAAACACATCTTTTATTTATAGTCTAAAAAAATAGTTAAAACAATTTTAATTTTTGATATTGTTTATATTTTTTTTATTATAAATATTTATTTTAATAAAGAATATAATTATTAGAAAGACAGACATACTTCGCACATAAGTGGGCCAATGTTGTAGATGAGAAATTCGGAAGGTAGATGCGAAATTTGATATCAAATAAATATTAAAAACATACAAAATCAAGAATACAAAACAATTTGTTGTGATAATTCTGAGTAAATCCATATTTTTTAATTCTCGGGAGAAGGTTCTAGGAACTACCTATTATTAGTATTGAACATCATGTTCAGCTTCAAAGGTTTATAGTTAAAAAGATCACTAAAAGAAGACCGATTCGAAAATATCGTAAAATGGTTGGAATAAACAAGGATATTTTGTTGACTGAGTGGTTAAGAAATAAGGAATAATACTTTTTGGGATGTACATGCTAAAATTAAAACGAGTAAAACACGAATAGAGCCGGAAAGCCAATGGAGAAAATAAGCTGCTAATAACTATGATAGATGTTGGTTTCGTTTTTAAAAATGTGGTCCTAAATAATAGAAATAATAAAAAGATTACAAAGTTTATATTTGTTTCCAAAATGATCAAAACACCCTTTTACAGGTCCTTATTCACGGTGAACGGAAAAACCTATTGGAATGATAAATATTTGGTGGTTCCTATTGGAGGAAGCAGTATGAAAGGTAATTTTTGATAAAAATTTATCAGATAACAATAAAAGTAGCAATTATAAATTAATAATCTTTCGAATATCACAATCCATTACATGACGTCATTTCCCAAATCATAATCTGCCTTATTATCTTTTCATACATTTTATGTAACCATACAATGGTTTTTTATTTAGTAAAATAACTCTGCAACTGTGTATAGGTTCCTATAACATAATTTTCTACATCTTCATCTTTTCACATTTAATATTATTTAAGAGTTTCATTAACCATAGAGAAATAAATGTAGGATAGCGTTTATATTCAATCTCGAGTATTTAACAGATAGTTTTTTTAATTATTCGGAATCACTAATAATTACTCTGTTCACTAAAACGTGAAGATGTGATATAATATGATTTCATATTTTGAACAAAATTTGAAATCTTGCAATAATATTCAAGTGCAGGATGTTTTCTAAAAAAAAAAAATTATTTAATTTTTTGTGTAAAAGAAAGTCATATTTTATTTTTCTGTGTAGTTCTTTCCGTGTAATTAATAACTAAGTAAAACCAAGAGAAAATAGTTAAAAAGTATTTTTTTTTTTTTAATTTGATGAAATATATTCACAGAGACCTAAGATAACAATACTCTTATATTAGACTTTTCTAAACGAATTTTCAAAATATTCTGACGATATTTCGAGCTACATACAGGTTTATGACTTTTTTCTAATTTGTTTAGTTCTTATTAGTTATTCGTTACCTAATACAAATTGATAGATATTATATAAATACGGAATATATAATTTTTTTCCTTCTTCAAAAACGCTTGTAAGTTTAATATGAGGTTCAATGTAAATTTAGAGCATAATGAATCATTATTTACTCTTTGTTTATAACAGTTCTAAGATCAAATTTTGACGAAAATCGTCAAAACAGCATTATTTAAAAACAGGTTTGAACAAACTTCACTTATTATCATATATATTACTAAGGATTTTATTTTACCTTTCTAATTTTCTTAAAATTAGAAATATAAAAAAATTTCCAATTTCTAATAAATAATTCGTTTGTATGTGACTTTTAGTTATTATGCTGTTTTTTCGAGAATATTTTGTTATTGTTTTAATATGATGTACCTCAATGGTTTTTATTTTTTGATTTAGGAGAAATGAATGGTGTACTTTATGGATATAAGAAAATACGGATATTAAGCGAAGATGAACGAAAAGAAGTAAAACAAGCATTGGTTACACAGAAGGTTCAAATGGAAGAAAAAAAGAAACAAGAAATAGCTGAAATGGAAGAAAAAATGCAACAAGATATAAATAAAATGGAAGAAAAAAAGCAACGAGATATAGATAAAATGGAGGAAAAAAAGCAACGAGATAAGGCTAAAATGGAAGAAAAAAAGAAAAGAGATATAGTCAAAATGGAGGAAAAAACGCAACGAGATATAGCTAAAATGGAAAAAGAAAATACTCAAATTAGAGAAAAATTTTTACGAGATCAGGCTAAAATAGCGGAAAAAAAGCAACGAGATCAAGCTAAATTAGAAGAAAAAAAGCAACGAGATAAGGCTAAAATGGAAGAAATAATAAAACGAGATATAGCTAAAATGGAACAAGATAATATTAATGAAAAATACTTAGAAGATGAGGCTAAAATAAATGCCGAAATTGAATGAGATAATGATAAATAGAGCGACAAAATGCTAAAATAAACCGAATCATAAGTTGGAGAAATAATCTTATGGGTATTTTGATAATTATTAACTGACAATTTATAATATAAACTTAAGTAAAGTAATGATGACTATAATAATTAATCAATATTATTTCGACAAATATATTTGTGTTATGTTTAAAACAAACTCAATAAATATTCATTATGCATTTATAATTTTCCTTTGAATAAAACTACATTTTTTTTTCTCGTATATTTTGTTATTCTTTTTATAAGTCACTATCAAGAAATTATGAAATTCATCTATTTTATTTTTCTTAAAATCTTATAAGCTACTTGAGTCATTTTAAGTTAATATTACTATTATGTCTTTGGGCCTATGAACTTATTTTCTACCAGACATCCTAATCTCAAGTAAAGATATTTTATGAAAGCAATTTTTTTATTTTGTGTATTAAAGGATCGGTTTGATAACAATTGGAAAAAATTGGTAAAAAATGTACAAAAACTGAGTAACTTATGAACGGTTTCATTATATTTTTTTCAAACTATGTATTTTTTACTGTTATTTGGTTATAAATAATCATAGAGAACTGAAATATTACCATTTTACATATCTAATTATTTTTAAATATGATAAAAATTTCAAAATATTCTGGAAATGTTAAAGATATTTATGGCTATTTAGAATTTTTAAATTTATTTAGTTTTTATTTGGTTTTATGTGGATATAATGTTTTACAATTAATTGTATCCACATAAAACCAACGTTTTACAATTAATGAATAAATACATAAATAAACACGGAGTTTATTTACTGGAATCAAGCAATCATAAATAATGATATTAATTATGAACTTAATTTAATAGATAATATCGCGAAACTTCGCTAAGAAACAGTTTTTAACCGGCTTATGACACGTGGAGGTATTTTCATAATACGAGTAATAAATAGTGATAGTAACACAAATAAATATAATTTTTTATTTGATTCTAAGTGTATAGTTTTACCGAGATCTGTTGTTATCGGATTGACTGCAAAAAGAGGGACTGTTGCTCACTATTGTGTTTATTATTAATGTATTTTTTTTTTGCGCTACTTTTGGACACTTTACGCGGTTTCCTCTGGATCAAATGAGCTCAAACTCGGGAATTATAGTTATTTTATAGTTGGACTGGTGAGGTTAAATTTTGGTTCGATTTAGTTATGAACTTTTTTATGTTTTCGGGGGACACGGTGTTTATTAGATTTGTACAACACTTCAGATCCCTCACAAGAACTCAGGTTCATGAAACTTAACACATTCATGGTATACGTATACGGATCAAGAACATACCATTTGAACGTTTGAAGGTTGATTTCTTGTTTTCACCGGAAATACCGGGTTGTAAATCTCCAATGAAAGAATGTTACTTGGTTAAAATGTGTGTATATTAATATAATTGTGTTTGAGGATATGTTATTGAACATTTTGAACTTCCGACCCCCATCCCATTACGATCCCGCCTTTTATATGAATTTTAGTAATTCTTGGGAACTACTTTACCTATTTTTTTTTGTACAGTTTTTATTTAATTCTTTATCATAAGGTACTCAAAAATTATATGTTATTAACTTAAATAAACATGAATTATTGAAACGGCAACCAGTTATTCAGAGACTTCGGTTAAAATTCTACTGCAGTGACCAATTTCTATAGCTCTCATGTTTTTATTTATTTTTCTGGAAACACTTATAAGTCAGTTATAACTCGCCATACCGTGGAGTTTTCGGTATTTAATTTCAAAACAATTTCTAGATTCCCAACAGTTTGTCTGTACGATTCGAAAACCTGATTTAAAAAAATTGATTAACGTAGGTTTTATTATTGTTGGTTTCTAATATACCCTGGCTACATGGAAAATACACTACTTAAACTACCTGGCTCAAGGTTTTTTTCTTATTGCATTAATTTATCAGTTCTTTTAATATACCTATTGAATCACCATATGTTATTTTCTGCCTTTTAAACTTCCCACATAATACAGTGGCCTATCTATAAGGCAAATTAAAATTGGTTATTTTTTTTTTTTTTTCAAAAAATGTTCTCTAAAATATATAACAATTGTTATTTCGAAACATTAATACACAAAAAATTAAAACATATTTTACATTGATAAAAAAAAAAATATAACCATTCAGAGAAAGAATACAAGATTGTTGGTTTTAAATATGAAATCGACCGATGTCTTTTATGTTTTTTTGTCCGTGCGGTATATAAATATTTTAATACTACCGCTTAAAAAAAAAAAAAAAAAAAACAACAAATAATTTTGTTTCGAGGAGCCGAGTAATTCCACGAAAACGTCAAGTAATTATTTTCCAGTCATTATACTGGATTTGAAATGTTCATAAATAATACTCGCGGTAATTCCATATTTGATATAATTTAAAATTCGTTTGTAAAATATTCGGTCAAGTAAAAACAAACGCAAACATTGCGATTAACAACACGTAAAAAAGATTATTAATAATAATAATAATAATAATAAAAGAAATTCGAAATACATATAGATACACCATGGGAAGGTTTACCGATGTAATTGGGATGTTCTAATCGCAAAATATTATATAGATTATATAGATTTTTATCTGTACGCAACGATAAATCATTGTAAATGAAAAACGATTCAGAACGAAGTTCGGTTAAATATGTTTTGATAAATTTAAATATTTGAAATAAGTCCCAAAATTTGTGTCTATATAAAATAAAAAAAACCTCAAGTAGTTCAACATAATTAACTTAAAAAATGTTAAATATTTTCTACGCATCAAAAATCCACCGAGAAATTTTTTACCAGAAACTATTCCTAAAGTTGACGATCAGAACACAATTTCTGATAGAAAAGTAATTTTTCTATAGACAGAAAAATTAATCCCACATAATATAGTAAAACCAATACAATTAGGACTATGGCTATGAATAAAATCTAAAATAGTTTGAATAGTAAATACATAATTTATTAAAAGAACGTTTCTCACCCGTATTTTGAGCATCGAAATAGCTTTTACGAGAATTAGAATCGCTGGGTTTACTTTCTTTAGGAAAACATAATTTAAGTACAATTACAAAGAGCAAAACATTCCTGGTCCTTTTACATTTATCGTACAAGTATCAAGGATGTGTCTTTTGATGGTTTTAACTTTCAATCACTTTCGAAGGCTATTTTATCTGCTCAAATATCATGTTTTTACATGACAAACTGAATTTAAAATACCCTCTATATATTCAAAATGTAATTAAATTTTGACTGCAACATACATAAATTAATAATAAAAATTAAGAAATAGCTTATAGTGGCGGCATGTGTAGGTTGCAATGTTGTAGGTGTTAAGTTAGGAAGGTAGGGTACATAAAAAAATGACCCGTTTAATGCACCAACTATATAAAATTCCCTTTCAAGACAGGTGCTACACTCTATACATCAGAGTAAGATTTTTTTTCGAAAAGTCGTTTATAGACAAATGAATAGAAAAAAACACACACACATCACAGTTAGATCAATACATACCCCCGCTACGCTCCGAATTTAAAAAAAAGTCTTTTGGGGAAAATTCAACTTTAGTGACGGAGTGCTGCTGCTCATTTAAATAACATAATACATGTGTAAGTTCATATAGTTTTAAACGCGAAACATTGTAATACCCGTGTTTCCGGTATCGATTTGAATAAAAAAATTTTATATGTATTTTAAAGCGTCGAAATAATATAGATAAGCAGAGAAATTTGAATTCTTATTAGTTATATTGTTGTCTTGTATTTTATGATAAAATTCGACGATCTGAGGACCAGGCACCGATGCGGGGTTCGGGGATTGAAAATAATTTTCTACTGAATGGTATGAAGAAGCTTATGATTTCACAATAATGTTTATTTTTTTTTCTGTGGACACCTTTTCTACTAGAAATCTCTACCAGAAAAATTTGACTGGAAATCTACTTGAAGGAGTTAATTTTTTTTTTATTTTCCCAATAAATGAGAAAACCCGAGAACAAAACACGGAAAACCGGGATAAACGTTGGAAAAACGGGAAAATGTGTACAATATTTTTTTTGAATATATTCAAGTCGACGAAATGTGCACATTTGTTTGTTTGAAATATCGTCAAATTTGCTAATACTCAATGAAATGGACGTGCGGCGATGTCTTATCGAGTCCCATTATGTTATAACCGTTCGTTGGCGGAGTTTTCGACGAGCAGAAATAGGCAGTTTTTTTTAACGGAAAGTAAAATATTGTATACTAAAATTTTTTCGCCAGTGCACGGTACAATAGCGTGTATTGTAATATGCATGTGTTTGTGTATATTTTGTGCATATGTTTTAATAGTGTTTTACGGTTAAGTGCACCATTAGGCATATTTTCGGAATGAACGCATCGCTGTTGCCGTAATATTGAGTGGAATTATGATAATGCGCGTGTACACTTAACGTTTTAAACTGTTCGCACGCGGTCGGCTCTCTCTTTTTATTATTTTTTTTTTTCTACGCGATTTTTTAAACGCGCGTCGTCGGAAAATAATGACGGAATATTTCGGGACGACTATTATAGCATACAGCAAAATAACTCTGCGGAAGTCTATCGAATCACACGCATGATCGCGATTGGTTACCGATGTTGGATCGGTCGTGTCCGTCAACCGTGAATCGAATGCTGAAGGAAAAAAAACCCCTAACATTTTTTTTTAAATTAAATTGACGTGCGTTTTGTAACCCGAAGTCCGTCCTTTGGTGCGCCGCCGTTTCAATAATATTCGTGAAATGTTAAAACCGGTTGGTTCGTATTTTTCGTGCTGTATGCATAAAACAGTAGGCTGGAATTTTTCGCGAACCCATCACGGACGTAGGTATGCCGATGGACGAATTCGCCATCGGCCGTTTTCACGGTTTCTACGGGTAACCCAAGGTTTAATGTCTCCGCACCTTTTTATGGAATTAAATAATAATAATTTAATTAATCGTTTAATTACTAACGATTATAGTAATACGTATAGTATTAAATGTCCACGGCCACCGCGGATTGACCCGTTTGAAAATTCTCCAGATCCGGATTTGGATACAGGAATACAATATGTGAATTTTTTAAACGTTTAGCAAAAGGTTAAGCCAAGGCATTTATTGTAATATTCTTGTTTCAGTACCTATTCGATTTTTTTATACGAATTTTCTTTTAAAGTATTGCATTAAAATGCGTATTGAAAAAAAAGCAATTTTCTAAACTTATCGTGGATCCTAGTTCCCTATTTTCTTGGTTTCGCCCATTTCCCGAGCGTAAGCGTATTTCGCGTAACCTTCGGTTCAAAATCGCCTGCCGGTTGGAATTAAAACGCGAGAAAAATGTGTTTGTTAGGCGTACGCGCGTTTTTCGGGAGGTGGGGCCCGGACGCATTCCGGTTTTCCGGCCCGAATTCGGTGTCCACTTCGCCCCGTGTTCACGAAAACCGAGGAAAAACCGTGGGAGACCCGATGGCGACGACCTGGCGTAACCGATAAACGGAGCGAATTCCGTCAGCCGCCGTTTGCGCAGTTCGCCGGCGTTCGCGACGCCGTTTCGCTTGCGCCCGCGGACACGTTGGGTTCGCCCGTTCACGAGACGTTCGGCCGCCCGCGGATTCGCTCGACGTCCGCGCCTACTAACCCGCACAGCGGTCACGGCGGACGGAAGCCGCGACGCGACGACAATAGAACCGAAGAGAGAGAGAGAGGACGGAGCCCGTGCTCGGTAGTAACACGCAGCGGTGACGGTACACGCGGACACTGCGCATTATTGTTATACGTGTGTATGTAACGGGCGTTTACCGCGTCTGCGGCGGCGGCGAAGACGCGACGTAAAAGCTTTTAAAGATAATGCGGGCGGGAGAATAACGTCGTGCTGGGAACACCGCCGCCGAGTTCGTTGTTGTTCGGCGGCGGCGGCGGCGGCGGCGCGGAGAAGGAGTCACGAAGGGGAGGCGGCGGGGGGGGGGTAACCATTGTCGGGCGAGAGGTCGGAGAACACTGTGTCTGTCTTGTCCCGGTCGGCGAACGTCGGGGGCGGCCTGTGCGCGCGCGCCGCCGTCCGGTCGGCGCTCCGCGTAGCGCCGTCGGCTGTCCGTCCGGTACGAACGTCGGTCCGGTCCGCGGGCACCGCGAACAGGACCGTATCGTACGGCATCCGATAAGAAAAAAAAAAAAAAACAACAGACGAGGGGAAACGTCCAATCCGAACGGATTATTATGACCGTTTACAATCAAACGCTCACCGTGTAATAATGCGGTTTTTTTTTTTTTTTCGCTACGTCACGAACTATACGCATAACGGATACGTCGCGCGGGTGCAATCGTAACGCCCGCGCGCCCGACGATCACGCCGGGCCGTAACCTTATTGCCCGCACAAACGGCACAGTAATTACAAGACATCGCCGTCCCGCGCCTATATCGTGGCTGTAGGTTTACAATCACGTTGCCGCGGAGCCGTTAAACGAATTCGCGTTTAATAAAAACTGCTTATTATTAACGCACACGTTCAACACGCATTAGTTTCGTTCGAATGCGCTTCAAAAATATCGTTCGGTTCGCTCGACGGAAATCGCTCTCTTTCACTGTGACGTTAATGCAAAACGATTCGTGTAAACGGTAAGTACGTTAATTTTTTCGGGGGGGAGGGGGAGACATCGAATGCGGCGTATTGAATTATAACGTGTATCGCATGAATATATAAATTATTATTTATTCAATGTCCTTTTAATATGAGTTTGATTTTAATAATACTCGAGACGCATAAAAACCCGTACACTAAAACGCAATAATCAATGGGTATTTATTGCGCGCGTATTTTGTACGTGAGTATTTATTTATTTATTTATTTTTTTTTTTTTTTTTTAGGACGCCAATTAAGGCAGTTGTAGCGGTAGTAGTAATCGGCACAATAGTTATAGACCGTTATTGTATTGTAAATTATAACGGTTATTAGGACGGATTTGTCGCTTTGTATTGGTGGTACGCATAGAGCATAACGTGACTTTTAGTGAATTTTAGTCGGAATCTACGGATATTGCAACTGAAAATTCACATTTATTTGAAAATTATTGTTGCCGATATGTTTTTTCGCCGTCGCCGTACGTAAAAAAATATCATATTATAATCAGAGTGCAGTGTTATCCAAACCGAGAAAACCAGCGGGAAACCGGACGACGACGCGTACACTTATACAATAGCCGTATTAGGTACCTACCTAACACTACTACAGTGACCTCCGCTCGTAAAAATCGTACATTTGGACGTCACCGAACCGAATACAGTTGTCGACGCGTCCGGTTCCGTTCACGAAAGTTGTCAACACACGTTTGTGATACGTATATGGTGATAAGTGCGTGTGTAACTAATAATGAAATAAAACAAAAAAATGCCAACTCACTATTTTACACTGTCAGATGAATCTCCGCAGTAAATATGGGTATCAGCAGGCAGCTAGTACTAATAGCACCACAAGGTATCCGGTTATTTTGGCAAATGCAGCGTGGTGAATTTTTCAGGATATCTCGGCGAAAGGATTTTCCAACGAAACGACAAAAACGACGGAAAGAATATGGTTGAACTATTTCGAAGACAGTTTTATTGGAAAGCTGATGAGACGAACATGTCAAATACCAAAATATGAAAATAAATTATTAAATCGCAATAATAATCGCAATCGACTTGAGAAATTACATGTTTTGTTTATCAATCAATGTAAACTATACGAATTAACATTTTTATTTTATTGACAAACTGGCGTTATATTTTACACATTATTATTATTTTTAAATACTACGAGAAATCCCATCACCGAAATATCGATTCTCGTATTGACGCTACAAAATAGCCGATTTTTCTTAACGAAGAAGTCAGTGTCTATATTTTTTTAATATTTACGACCGATTTGCCAATTTATTCAAATTAATTTCTGTTAATCTCTTTTAACCTATTAAAGTTTATCTAGAAATTAAGTACCTGTTGATTTATTTGTTCAACACTAACAATTTTTGATTAGTTTTTCTATTTTACGCTTCAAAAATCGAATAAAATTTGATTATGCAAATTAATATAAATTCAGCTCTAATCGTTAAACAAAATATAAAAACGTACCTCTTTGATAAGAAAATTGTTGACTTCAACATTTTTCACTAAACGGTATAGTGAGTTAGTATATAGTTATCCAATTGTTTATATATCCGTAATTAGTATTCGTGACGATATTTTGATTAACACTCATAGTGGGTGATCGATTTTATTTAAAAAAAAATGAACGTATTTAACGATACTAAAATTTATCGTCACATTTGAAAAATCGTCATTTTGCGTGTAAATCTGAGAGATAGCTATTTTATTTATTTTATATTGCTCATGAGTAGCCGTAAACGTGTAAAAAATCACGTTGTATCTGGAAATTTCTAAACGTTTTGGGGGAAAAAAAACCCTTGTAACCGGACAAATAGATCTCACGAATGGTATACACAACAAATAACACGTTTTCGGATAAGACGTCTAGGATTTTTTATTTGTATTTATTTTTTGTTTGCGACACTTTAGTTTATTGTATCTATATACAATATAGATATAGCTGACGATTACAAACGAGAAATATTGGAAAACGTCGTGACAAAAGTCCCTGACGTTTTGTACACTGCGACCGATGACCGGAAGGATAATAACCATCGACTAGACATCGGATACTACTAGCCCCTTCGGTGGAACAAAACAACATTGTATTACGTCCATCTTGCAAACGATAAACAGTCGTCGTTGTGACGCCTCGGGGTTTCCACGACAATATTTTAAAAAGCCAAGCAACTGAACTGGTGAACGTCGTCATCGTCGGTTTAGCAGAAAACTAAGATAAAAAGCCGTAAAACTAACTCTTGTCAAATACTTGATTGCTTGGAGTGGTTGTAGGTAAATTAATTTTTGTATGAAAACTAACAGCCCTAAATTGGTTCTGCTGGATGCAATGTTACTACGTTGCTCGTTTGTAAGACATACAAACAAATATACTTATGTGTAGCATTCTCTTAAAATTATACATTTATAAAAAGAAACTATGACAATAGGTACGTTTTTACTAGTTTTTTTTATCACCAAGTATAGCTTATGAAGAATTCTGTATAAAATATTCGAACATTTATACGGAACCGACACATTATATTCACAGAAAACTAAAAACTCACCAATTTGTAATATTTCTAAATACATTTAAAACCTCGAAATGTATACAAATGATTTGAACACAGATAATGTTATTGATTTGAATCTGATAACAGGTCAATTTTAAGTCAACAAATGTAAGTTCAATCAAGTCTAATAATTTAGTTTATTTTTAAAAATAAGTAATAATTAAAAAATAATTCTAAGTGAATTACAGTTACTAGTATAGTACTATACTAAGTATAGTCATATCTCTCTCTTGTAGCCAAGGCAACCCAGAAATCAACATAAATATAACCAATGAATTGGCAGTAATTATTCGTGTAAATTCTTTTAGATTGTTAGTAAAACTGTTGAGAATATAAAAATTATTTTCAATTTAAATACCGCAGGGTCAAAAATTCACATGTGTTGAAGTACGATGTGGATAATTTGGAACATTTTTACTAACCTGAAAAGCTCTTTCCAATAGCAATAATAATAAAATAAAGAACTATTTTAGTAAATCTTTCTTAACTATATTCAGAATTTAATATATTAACAAAGCAAAACATCAAAAATAAAGAAAAAAGAAATTAAAAAAAAAAAACTAAAGAAATTCCCGTCAAAATCAAACATTTATAAATTAATATTTAATACGCATGTCTGTGTACCTACGCATTTTATTATTAGAACGCCAGAAGAAATATATATTTAAAAATAAAAAGGGATCTACATGCCTATTCTTCCAGGTAATAAACATTTTATTAAAAAGTATATAAATTATATTTTAATCGCGCATAATTAATATATTATACACGCTGTCTCACGAAGGTATAGCCATTGAATATCTCCGGCTATAATAAAGATAATTAAATTATGTTTTTCTTTACAATTACTCACATGTATGAAGACTACCAATATAAACGATTGCATTCATTTTTTTTTTTTTTTTTACGAAAAAAATTTAAAAAAGGAACGTTCTAGGATAAAAGGGACGGATGCAGCCATTGTTATAGATAATTTAATGTATCCTGTATGCAACAATAAACCATTGCTTCCGAACAAACGATTCTGAGTGGAGTTCAGTTGATAGCGATGCTCCGTCAACAATATATATGCCATTTTATAGTAAAATAATTAAATAGGATTTATATATTTTCTTTAATAATATTTGCTTTACGTTGTAACAATTTTCCCCGTTTTCCTACGTTTTTCCCAATTTTCCCATCCTGGTTTTTTTCACATTTTCCAGGAAATCTCTTGAAAAAATCGAAAATTGACCTCTTTAAAGTACCTCAAAATTGAAATTTTCTTTTAGAAACATTGTTATCATTAAAAGTTGTAGAAACATTTCTGACAGAAAAGTTATGCACAGGAATAAAATATCGTAATATTTTAGTAATATATTTCGTACATTTTCCCGTTTTCTTTTTTCGGTTTTTTAAATTTTATCTTGAGAATCTCTTGAGAAAATCGAAAAATTTACCTCTTTTAAGTACCGCCCTACGCCGATTACCTTTCATAAAAGGTGCTACACGTAGAAACGTGGAAATCCGAACTAGTCTTCTGGTAGTAAAGTTGCGCACAGATAAATAAATAAATAAATAAATAAACATCTTTCTGAAACTATAAGTTTCTTCGCTTCACCCAGAATCTAAAATAATTTTTTATTTTATTATTTTTGGAAAATGTTATGATAGCCATTCTATAGAGTTATTTTTTCGGAAAATTTGAATGTATCACACTTTTACATCCGGTGAATAGTTTCTAATTAATAGCCGCTTTAAATTCTACTAATTCGTGTAAAAACCTATGTTTTCGCGTAATACGGTAAGGTTTAGACAACATCGGTTTTCGCACGGATTAGTAGACTTTAAAACGCTTGTTACTTAGAAAATGCTCATCGTATATAAACGCGCGATACATTGAAATGTTTGAACCAATAAATTCTACAAAATGGCCGTCATACAATTTTGAAAAAATAATAAAATTAATTAATTTTTTTAATTTTAATGAGGATTCGACAAATGCAATAACTTTTTTTCTATTAAATATTTTTAATGAATATATTTTTTTTTAATAATTAGTAGATATGCCTCAGCGCTAAAATATATACATGAACATTTTTTTTTCAGGGTGAGGAGGGCCTGAAATAAAAAATAAAAAATTTTACCATCATTTTTTTTTTAATTTTTGGTGGTTGGAACTTTTGTAAATATATGGTCTTTTATTTTCTACGATTATGGGAATTTTCTTTATTGACAATATTCTTTATAAACATAAATTAATATTATTGATTGATTGATACTACTTAAAACCTATAATATGATAATATTATAGCATGCGATTAACTCATTAAAAAGAAAATTCTTTGTCATGTTTCTTGAGTCCCTGACTAATAACTGATTTAATATTGTAATATTCACATTTGCAAAAAATGTCAAAAAAATGTAAAAAATAAAAGACCATACCTTAACAAAAGTTTCAATTACCAAAAATTATCCAAAAATCTATTTTACAAAATGGCTATTTTGAATTTTGTTAAACTTAAATTAAAAAATATAAAATTTTAAAAATTTAATTTTAGTGCACCTCTCCCTAAAATAAACAGTATATTAACTGTAGCGCAGAGGCATACTAATTATTAAATTAAAAACATATCAAAACTATTCAATAGAAAAAAAGTTATTACATTTGTTGAATCCTCGTGAGACACTCTGTAAAATATGTAATTTTTTTTTTTTTTTGAAATACTTTAATTTATTATTATGTAATATTAAAACGCAGTACCCAATAAGTATTAAAATACGTTTTTTCAATTGTTTAATATAAACTTGTTTTCTTGTACCTAATGACTATATTGTGATCAACAAAATTTTGAAACACTTGTTATCTATTCCGCTTTTTCGAAAAACTTAAGATAAAACAGTTTTATTGTGGTTGAAAGTTTGTAACTACTACACACTATTGATTTTCAAATAGCAAACTATTTTATAAATAAAAGAAATTTTACTTTTAATATATTTTGGTGTTGAAAATTTTAATTTCCATAAACCCGTTGAATGTGCTCCTTTTAAGTCTGTTGTTTTGTTTATAGGGTGTAAGTAGTGAAGCACCCGTATGTGCTGGACTACTTTCTGTTATCCACAAATTAAAAATCGAAATATCTCGTCAACATCTTCTTATTCTTCTTCAGTAGCTTAATAGGCCACGAACGACTTTTATTATCACTAGCAATTTAGTTCTCCGTCTCTATCTGTCCTACGCGCAGTCAATAACTGCATTCCCTTCTACCATTTTCATGTTGTATTCCACAGTGTCGTTCCGTGACATATTTCGTCTACCGAGCGGTCGTTTTTTGTTTACTCGTTCCGTCAAAACATTCTTCAATACATCCCTATCCGATCTCTATACACGTCCCGAGCAATCTCATCGTTTATCCCTTACTTCAGTGAGTATATCGACATTTCCATAATATAAGTAATTCAACTCCACAATCAGCGGCCGTGGGACTAAATTTTAATGCTATAGAAGTAACAGTTATATTTTTTTGCGAAACGTGTCGCGTTCGCGTTGGTTTGACGACAACCGAGTAATCGGAAACCGCCCGACTATTATGTATACAAACGCTCTTTGGATTAATTCGGTTTTTTTTTTTTTTTTTTTTTTGTAATCTCGTCAGACGTATAAAATCATGCCCGGAAATTGTTCTGTTAATAATTCGCAGTAGCGTCTGACGAGAAAAAGAGGCTCGTATTTTTTCCCCGTCACTCGACATCACTTAAATTACCAATTCATTCCGATCCGCGCGCGAATTATTCGGAGCACTCCGCGGTTTTGCCGGGCCCGTCCTATTTCTTCAGGGACGACGTAGAATATTAATCGTCGGCCATATTGTACATTGTTTTTACGGGAACCGCACTGTATATAATTTACAAAACATATATTAGTCAGTACGCGCTTTGATTATTCGCGTCTCCTCGTAAGACAATATGCCCCCATCCCCCAAACTGCCGTTAATTCGTTTTGAACTGCGACCGTGATACCTGCGCGTATCGATAATTTACACTTTCGCGGAGTTATTCCGTCAGAACCCGGCGATAAAGAAACGCGTAATGTAATAACGGCTATAATTAATATCACTGTTATCGCTGTTATAATATTATAGACACTTAATGACAATCACGATACGCGGCTGATTAATGATAAAATTTGATGAACGCAGTTTTTGCCAAGTCTACGGAGTTTTATACCGTTTTAAAATATTTGGCGAAAACGTGGTAGAACGTACGGTTGAAATAGAGATAGTCACAAATAACGTTTGGAGAAGAGAATATGTTAAAGGCCGAAAAAATTATTGACTGGACATGCGTGAAAAAGCCAAAACTCATATCTACTACGAGCAGTGTAAAGACCTTTGGAAAGGTCGAGGATGCGATGAGAAAACGTAGTAACAAAATACGTCGAAGGTTTAGTAAGCGGACCTAATTGGAAGATTTTAGCGATTAATAGAAATGGATCCGGGGAATTGACCGTGACAAAAACGACCTTGGAAACCGAATAAACCCAAATAATAACGGGTTAGAGTTTATAAATCGATCGTACTTAAAAACGACTACCAAAATACGGTAAATAATCGACTTGTACGCACTGTTTTCATATTGTAATATTGTGCAATAGGTATAGCTATATCGCAGTGATACTGTATAAGTGTGAGGAGGTTTTATAATTTTAAGTTTTGACGAGGCTAATCGGGTAAAAATATGTAAACAAACCGAAAAACGTTATTAATATTATACGCCGTCGTAATGTTCGTCGGAGCAGGAAGTTTTCAGGAAACGCGCTCGTTAGTCACATACGTCTTTTAAAAGCTAACCGTGCACAACCTCCACGCACACTCTTCCACGGTGGGTACATACCGGCTGGAAAGGGTCTCTAGTGCCGGAAACGGTCTCTTAAAAACGTCCGTCTAATAGAGAAGTGCGCTGCACCGAGAGAATAATTAATGTGTATCGCAAAAACTTCGGGATTAAAATTGTACGGGGGCACGCGCCCGGGTTTTGATCAAGTTTGTAAAACGAAGACGTATTATACATATTGTAATATTATTATATATAGACGTCGCTTCGTCGAAAACTTGGGTTCTTATGTGTGTAACAGTATATAATATTATATGCAATATACACGCATCAACTTGACACGTCGCGGGGCAGGTTTACGTATTATAAGTTGTCCGGGAATAAAATAGTGTGCAGTATAGTCAATATTTAAATTTAAAGGTGAACGCGCGTCGTTTCGACATTGTGACCGTAGTTTTCTGTTCCGTTTTCGGTAAATTTAATTTACAAGTAGTAATGTATTTTCGTACTCTGCACGCGTGTACTGCTATAGTAGTTATGTCGCCACGAGGAGATAGCCGCCGGGGCTGAGGTCGATACGCCAGTATGCTTTTCATCTTTTCGGAGGTAAACCGTATCTCGGTTTCAAGAAAGGTCCACCGTGGAGACGAACCTAGTCCCGAGTCTGTAAAAGGACATTTCTATTCATAATACGAGTCCTACCGTATGTATCTTAATTATTTCTGTTCGAGTCCATTACTATTTCGTCGATTACTTTTGCTTTTTTTTCAAACTCTGTTATTTTCTGTTTTGAAAATATTATTCCTCTATTGTTATGCGGTTCGGACATGATTGTCAGTACATCAATCGAATAATAAACGTTTGAACGCTGTATTTGTAACAATTCCATTTCTCATGAAATGATTCACTTATATTTGTTTACACATTTATTGTTGCTTTATACTCGGCCTAAACACTCGGAGAATATGGACTATCGCCTCCCAGTATCGTCTTGATTATTAATATATATTTTCAAAACCATAATTACAATTTTAAAACTACACGGATCTTATCGTCTGGAAGTATTATTGACACAATACGTTTTCAAGAAAACACTGATCAACTCCATTTGAACTTAGAAAATGAGGTACCTAAATTTAAATATTATTTTAAACGTTTGGTCTTTTATGGCGTTCGATCTAGAATATAATATATTTTTCACGGATTTAAAATTACTTGACAAATTTTAGATTTTGGACTCGGTTTAACGAACGATAAATTATTTGCGATTTAGCTTGCGTGTCGGCTATCGGTTTGTAACATTAAATATCGTACAAAATATATTATAATATGAATATGGTATGCATTTTGTTAAAATATTTTAAATTTTTGTTCACGTTTTACATTCGGTTAACCGAATGCTGGAAACAAAAATAATAACATAATATGATGTGTCGTAATAAATTTGTGAACAAAAGTAATTTTTTAGGATAGTCTTTTACATATTATTATTATGATGTGTCTCTTGGGCATCAAAGGCGTTCAAGGCCAACACTGTGGTAATTTCAGATATTTTATGGCAATATTTTTTTTCCACAATAAAATAAAAAGCAATGGCTGTGTCAAAAAACTGTGTTTGTTTTTACGTTATGTACTTATCTATACTGTACATTTATGGATTTATATCATACGTTTACGGAACCTACGTGTTTCAAAATCCATTGGTATAAAAGCGATTTTGAGCTTAATGTTACTGTCACATTTGTCGCCGTTAACAGGGTGATTTTTTTTTTTTTTTTAATACGATCCAATGGTTATCTACGAAAATTTTTAGAAAGATTTATTTTGATTTTTTCAATCATTATTTTTAAAAATCAAATTTACAATATTTTCAACCGTATGCCTTTTTCTATCTTTTTATATCAATATAAATAATAAACTTTTGATTTTTAAATGAATACATCCTCCTTTTAAAACAAAATTCAAAAAAAAAAACAAATAACATTTGTCTACAGAGTTTACCGTGCGTAGTCAAATATTATATACGCTGTTCATGAGTTGTAATTTTGTTGCATTTTAAAATTTAGGAGGAAATTTAAAACCGGACGAGTATAGGAAAGGGCCACTCCCAATAAAAAAGAGATGGGAATATGATTTCGTTCTTCGAATCTGTATTGAACAGAGTAAAGGGAGTCGCTGTTTTAAAATCAAAAGTTTATATCGATTTGAGATATAAGAAATACGGATGAAAATTCGAAAAAGTGTTAGGATAAAGTTTAAACGATTCCATAACGATTGAACGATTTAAATTTACTTGAAATCCTCCGAGACTATCGTCTAATCATATAATAATAATAATAAAAAAAAAAAATCCCATTGTATAGCGACATTATATTAAATTATTTGGAAAACTTCCGGCGTGTCTACAGCTAAAAACGTGTCAGTTTATTGTCCCCGAGTCTTATAGTAATATTATTTCGTCTTTTAGCGAAAACACTGAAAACATTAGTGGATAGTAATAATGACGTTAAAATAATAATATTAATAATACAATATGCATGCAACAACAACTCTAAACAACTAATTTGATCCATTGTCCACGCTTAAAGACTTAAATTAAAGGTGCAGGTGCTTTTTCCGGTATTAACAATGTCGTTGCTTAAATTACTTTTACTCGGTTCAACTAGGTACTCGTTTTGAATTTGTGCGATACGACAACGGCGATGTAAATTTTCCCGTTTCTCTGCGTTGCACACTTTTTTGTCAATATACATACTTTGTCGGTACACATACTCTGGCATTGTAAATTTTTCATTATTATTATATTTTCTATAGACATTCGTATACAGCCCTCTACTCGAACGATCCCTCCGCAGTTAAATTTTTAAACGGACATTGTGTTGTGTTATTGACGCATGAAAAAAAAAAAATAAATAAATAAACTATAATATTGTCTCGGTATAATGTTTACACCTGATTGATATTGATCAAATTATCTCAACGCGTACGACAAACAAGGAATCATGAACGACTTCAAACTAATAATAAACAAACCATATTATTGCGATTATCTTTCCGTATATTCGTGATACATTTACTTACAAATAAAACGCGAGCACACGATATAAAATATAAAAATGTTCCGTTTTATTCTTTTTTCCTTTTAAATCTGATTTATTTAATATGGTATTTTACATGTTCGCGTTATATGAATATGATTAAAATATCGTTAGCGTATAGCGATGAAATATTTTTTTATCGTAAGATGAAAATTGCACAGCAATATTATATCGTCTCTCAAACTATAATACACGAGTATAATACGCAGCGCGTATTAATCAAATATCTCAAATGGTAACACAACAAATATATATTTTAGTCAGATGGGATCAGATTAATGCAGATGGATTTTTGTAAGAAGACACAAACGATACGGGGGATATCAACAAATACTCATTTTGAATCGAATAAAAAATTCTAACTCATATGGCGCACGCATGCGCAATAAAATTTATAAATATTTCAATGGAAACCTTTACGTATAGCACCAGACTGAAGTAGTACAGTGTTCGTTGTATCCCGTAAAATGGCCTGTTATTTAATCTTTTATAGTAAAAAATATGATTTTTTTTTTTTTAATTTTTTAAAACATTTAAAACCCTCGATAATATGTTTTTATTATGATTATCTTTACTAATGGTATGTTCCCCATAAAACAGTACTCAAATATTTCTTTATTGATGTCCCCCATTTAGAAAGTCACATCGTATACGGAAAGTCACAATTGAATCGAAATGTTTGTCTTAGCATTTCTGATCTTTTGTGATCCCTTAAGAAAAAAAATAAAAAAAAACAAGTTCGTTTGGATGAAATATACTGTGTTTCAACGGTACTATTATTTAATGACATTCGTTCCATTCGCAATAAAATTAATGTTTTTGAGGTTCAAAAATTATTGGAATATTATAAAACATCTCTAGTATCGCAGTTCACAACTTGCCTTTTTTACTCTTCTAATTAAGATTATCCGATCTAATATTCAAACTTTAGAAGTTTAGATCGTTAATATTGTGAATACTCTTAGCAAAGATGTTTTGCTAAAAAACCAACAACTCTACTGTTCACAAAACAAGTGCATAACTATACAATAAATTATTGGAAATATCCAAAGCCGCGTTATGTTCTTTTCGAGTTAATCGAGCATACGACCCAATATATCCTCGCGCAACTTGCGTGGTCCGTTCACACCGACTGATGTCTGATCGGGTGTTTCAATCATTACAGCGTATTTATTTTGTTTGAAATTGACGGCTAAATTTCCTTAGCCATCAATTTCCAAAGTCATCCGTATACCCGATGACTGCAAACGATAGTCAGTAGCGATATCTTTAATCTTAACACAATTATTTAGATAGGTATATATTTTTATCTTGTGTCCTATCTATACGAACGAGAAATATATTATCAGAGATAAATAATTGAGTTATCTCGATTAATTTGTGTAAATAATAATTTGTACGTTTATTAGAATAATAATAAATTCATTGAGTAACGTGTAATTAATGGTAATTCAACATTTTTTTCGATCTAAATATGTATACCGAATGCGGTACAATTTTCACTACTCCAGACACTTAGTTTCACGATACGTAGTGAATAAAACCGAAATTTTCTTCGGTAACAAAAGTTACCGATTATTCACGACTATATACGGACCGCTGTTACGTATCTTTTATCTTCGTCCGGATAACTAGGATTCCGGGGATCGTCTCAGTTATCTCGATATTTTACAATTTACCATTGTACGACAATAGCGATAACCGTCGGGCCACACGGTGCCGGGCTCCGCGATACATTTCGGTCGCGGAAGGTTCGGCGGGGCGTTCGTTATAGAATTCAAGCGATTCCCATCGCGCCGGACGGACGTATCTACTGAATTTCAATTACGATTCAACGTTTAATAATAATTTCCATTTTCATTATACTTCATATTCGCCGCGTCGTCTCCGCGACATCATTTAGACATTCCTGGGCGATTGGCAAAATATCGACAGGCCCCTTGGTTTTTACACGGATACCTATATTGTGTGGTGTGCGCGCGCGCGTGTGTATACATATATATTTATACCGTTCATTCGGGAATGCGTGTCGCCACCGCGGCAATAACGCGTTCAAGCCGTTCGAGATGCGATGGTATTTATAGACGCGGTTCGGAATTTGACAAAAACGAACCATATTATATTATTATATATATATATGAACCTACACAAGGCGATATTTCAACCGGATGTATATTTTTTTTTTTTTTCGGATATTACGACGAATTTACGAAATGCGTTTATTTTTTATTTTATTTTATTTTTTTCCCAAGACAATACATGTTTTTAATTAATCGTACGGAACCGTCATCGGGTACGGCGATCACGGCGCAATCAATTTCGGGAATCCGTGAATACGTATTTTTACGCGGGACAGATATTATTTGTTATTCCGGTCTCCGCCGTCCAACCAATCGAGACGAGCGCCTGGTTTACGGAGGTGTTTATTTATTTGTATTACCGTGTCCGATTGTTTAGTACTGGCGAAACGGTTACCGTTATCGTATCACGGTCGCCGGACCGCGATTGAAAAATAACTCGCCATCGCGGTAACGCGACTTTTGCGGTTCTGTTTCCTTTGTCTTCCGTCGCTATAATATGATTATTACGGCGTGGTTATGGTTTTGTTTTCGCGTGTCGGAAATCACGCGAGAAACACACAAGATTTGAACTGTCTAAACATTTCGCGTGGTTGACCACACCCCGCTCACGGCCGTGGCTGCGGTACGCTATGAAAACGTGCCACGAAACGGACGTGTCCCGAAACCGTAACTAACCGCACGGTGCTAAACTTGCGGATAAACGCCAGCAATTCGTATAGAGAAACTGTAAATGTGACACATTTTTTCGACGTATGCCGATTTGGCAGCGGCATATTCGGCGATAAAGACAAACGTCCGTTGCACGTTGAAAATCATTCCCGTTGGTTAATTTAAGGTAAAATAACATATAATTTAACACAATATTACGCATGGCCACCTGTGTATGGTATTGAGGTGTTTAAAACAATCTGGTAATGCCATAATATTGTTCACAATTAGTTTTCGTTACTGAATTAATGTTTTTGATTTTCCAATCGAAAACCGAATTGTCGTACATGGGTCGCAGTAACGGATGGCCAACAGATACTGTTTTATTGAAATTTGGTGACGTTCTTTTGTCGCTTCATCATGGCGAATATTCGATAGCCAAATAGGCAAAAAAAAAAAATGGAATATTTTACTAAAGTAATATTTACTGTATAGACCCTTTAGATCCCCTTACGTTGTGATATTTATTGTTATTATTTATTATTTTTCATTTTTGACTAACCGTTCTTTACAATCTTTGTGCGCGGTTTCAATACTGCGCAACAGTCACTGTTTTCGGGAAAGATTCGACAAAGGTCCGCACGTCGTATAGAAAATCGAAAATACTCCAAAGAATTCGAACACGTCTAAGCACAATAAGAATATATCGATCTATGTTTTGCATCGTTACAGAAACGTCGGCGACGCGTCTCTCAACGAACCGACGTTACGAACAAACGGATATTAGAACATTGCGTTATCGCGGCGGACGCAGCCGTCCTCGTCCGAAAAAAGAAATCACGCGCGGCCAGTACGGGGTGATCGAACCCGAGTCCCGGCGGGCCGGACGGTTTCTCCGTCCGCCGACCAGACGTCCCGGGCGCGCGCAACGCCGGGGCTCCGCGTCAAACAGTCTGTTATTGTCAACGCCCGCCGGCTGGCCAACGGCGCGACCGTATCGCGAATCGCGCGTTGTTATTTCCCGTACCGACGCGGCCGACGCGAGAAAACGTTCGCCGTGGCGCGGCGCGTGCGTTTTCGGCTACGTGGCCCGCGAGAAGCCCCAGACCCGGCGGGACCCTTGACACGGCCGGCGCGCGGATCGGCGGCTCGGGGAGTTCAAACGATTTCCTGTTTGCGTTCGTCGCGCGACTTACAATAACGCAATACGTGCACGGTTAAACGCACATCAGACGAAACACTTCGTTTCGCGAGCATAAACGTACACACGCACCGTTGAGACTGCGGATGAATAACGGCGCGAACCCGCGGGTTATCCGTCGATCGCCGTAAACTTTTCGATGCGAATTGAAACCTGCAATAGGTGGGTGCCACGTAGCCGCACTGTGTGTACCATCCCTCCGTCACTTCGGGTTTTAATTAAAAAACAAGTCCGCGCTGTGCGTTTCGGTTACAAAGTGTGCGCGGCGAATAGCTCGACGAGCGCGATACCGAATATTGACAGTGCGAGTATATTTATGCTCGGGAGGGGATATGCGACGGCCACGCGTCAAGTGTCGGCGCAATCGAAATTTCCGTTCGTCAAAATAAATATACGCGAATATACGAGATTCCATTATGCGTAGTCCAACGTGTCGGTATGGAATTGTTGTTATCGGATAACAACGATCGAAAGATAAACTTGTAAATAATCAAATTCAAGATTTAGATATTAAGTAAGTACAATTTATTTCGTCACACTTTAGTCGCGTTTTATATTTAATTTCCACTACGGCGGAAAATTAAATTATTCATATTTTTTACCTTTGAAATCTTATATAAAAAAAAAAAAAAGAGAGTTTTTTTTTGTACGTTTGTTTTATTTTTATTCACGGGAAATCGGTAAAATATGAATTTATTGTTAACGGTTAAACAAAATTTAAATTGCTCGCTAATTAAATCTTATCCAATAAAATAATACAATTAAATGCCTCTGTTTTGAGTTAAAATTTGGAAATACTTAATACGTCGAATAATTTAATTTATATATCTACTCAAGACTCATCGTTAAATCATTGCTAACGTAAAAAGATTCTGAGCGGATTTCGTTTAAACATTTCTTTCATACAAATCACATAGAAATAAATATTAACTGATAAATTGTATAGGTAGTAAAACAGTAACGCCGCCTGAATTACCGCCACCGACACCACAATCGCAACCGCGGCTATGCTTTTTTCGCGCCGCACTGCGTCGCTTTACGCGAAATTCTATAATTCAGAAATTTTAAATGAATAGATCAAAAGTCACTAGAATATTTTGAAAGTTGTACTATTTTGTTAAAAGGTTAATAAAAGTAAAAAATACGCGAATCATGACAAATATTGAAATCTGAAATTAATAAAACCGTACATTTTCCGGTTTTTTCTATGTTTTTTTTCCACGTTTTCCAAATTGCCGGAAAACTGCATGAAAAACAAAAACGAATATTGCATTCTCAATGCACTAACTAGATCACATTCCTTATCACTTTTTGATCGGTGCAAGATTTCTAGTAGACAAGTTGTTTACAGAATGTAAACAAAATTAAAATCACGTTTTATAGTAAAACTAATGCATTCCTCGCGTTAAGGTCAGAGTTCAAAAAAAAATAAAAAAAAAAAAAAATGTATAATTTGAAAAACTTAAGTACCTAGGTATAAATAAGTCCTTTTATTCCCAACATGCTTATGACTAGCCCATTGAAACGGCAGCGTATAATCGAATTTTGAAGTTTGACCAACAACTATATAGCATTTCAAACGTCTGTATCGACAAATTATTCCTAAAATTCGATAAAACAAATTTCCCTTACATTTAAACTCAGTGCGGTGTGGCTATTAACCGGAACGCGCTACGTCAACTGAAATTGGAGTATCGTGTGTCTATAGAATCTGCGTTTTTTACTTCAAAAGAATATTATATCTATAGATTTGTTTTTTCTCTTTCGTACTTCATGAATATTAAAGGTGTTTTAAATTCAAACCGAAATGGACCGCGGACGACGTTGCCGCTTAAGTAAGTCGCGGTCTAAAAAGTATTTCGGCTAATGAACCTAGCGCAGGCTCCTTATTTCCATCTCGGTAGTTTTCGTGCGCATTATTGTTATTATCGTCAACTTTTTTTTTTTTTGTTTCTAGTGTATCTACTAAACAGAAGACGTCTGAATACGAAAAAAAAGAAGTTACTACGACGTTCATAGCAACATTAATCTTCAAAACTTCTGTCAGATTTCTTATCAGAATCTGACCTATTGCCGCTACCACTGTTAAAATCATCTCAGCTACAAGATCCTATAAACGATTTTACGTTGAACAAAATGTAGTGTGCAGACAATCAACGGCATTCAAGAGTTCGGGACAGACACACCATCTGTCCAAAATTTCGAATGGCTTTTGTCATTTCACCTGTATCGTTCGACGAACATGTCGTATTTTTCAATAGTTATGTACCTATCACAATGATCGCCGACGTTACAATACATCTCTATTGCTGCACTGTATTTCAAAGTCATTGAACATTATTTGAATCTTTACTGAATGTGATCTACGTAAAGGATTTTCCAATAGAAATTCCTTTACTAACCACCCTTATAAGTAAGCCCTCCTTTTCCATGCTTAACTAGGCCTCATTAGTTTTCTTCTCTTTATTCTACAGATTTTAATTATGACGTATCCTCCAATACCCAGTGTCAGAGTCAAAACTGGCCTATAAATTATCCTTCTTGATATTTTTCACTCAAAAACTGCAAGTCTTGTTTCTTCAATTTTTTTCTGAGACCGTTTTTTAGAATAATTTAACACAATTGACCGTATCAGGATAATATAAAATAATATAATGTTTAGTTTTTAATATGAAACTTTTGAGCCATACAATCTATTTAGGCCATAATCACATCTATTTTTCATTTTTATTTTTGTGTTTATCTCCATCTCCATCTTAATCTTGTTAATCTTGTGTCATTAGAGATTCTTGGTATTTAAAATATAGAACTCTTTTAAACTCACGGTGCACCAATTCTATGAATTCTCTACTTCTACGTCAAATTGTACACATACTCTGTTTTTTTGTCATTGATTATCAGACCACACTTGCTACACTTATTCATTGTCTATAATATTTTTTTTTTACAATTTCTAAATTATTTAGCGTTTAGTCCGTACACACACAATTCCCCGAATATAACGATTAGGCCTGTGGTTTAGAGCTGAATCATTAGAAAGTGTCGTCCGATCTTAGATTTCAAAATCTGATTGAACGTTATATAACTTGCAACGCTGAAACTAAAGTTATTGATGTCCACCCTACCAGATTAAAGTAATATAGTATATTATAATTTGTCACTTAGATCGTAAGTGCTGTTTTTATTATTTTTCAAAACACCATAGATATGTTCTCTGTATTTTTTTTTTTAAAGTTAATTTTTTATAAAAACAGTTTGAAATCTAAGAAGAATTATTAATAACACCGAAAAAAACACTGTATCTTTTAAGGTACAAGGTAAATAATTTAAAGCATTTTTAATAACCGAAAAATCGTTTCAGAAAAAAAAATTTATATCTTAGTAAAACCCTACTTCTTTGCTACCCAAATAACCTGAAAACCTGAAAATAACCTGAAAAAAATTATAATCGCGTGTTAACTTAAATGAAATAAAAACAATATAAAATGTGTTTCAAAGCAATTAGAGTCGAAACACTGAATGAATAAAAAGAAAAAAAACCAGAGCATTTAAGACATGTGAATGCAATGCAAATTTAATACACACGTTTTATTGGATCGAAGAAATACAATTGAGAAATGATTACTTTCGTGTTTTCATTGAAACGAAAAAATATAGAAAACGTTTTGTTTTTTTTTTTTTTTTTTTAAAGAATTGTTCGTTTTTCACGACAGAACGTTTTCAAGTTCATTCGTGACATAAATAAAATATGAATAAATGAATAATTTTTTATTTTCGTTAGAAAAAATCGCAAAAAAAAAAATAAATATATTATAGGTACCTAGGAAAAAATGCAGCAAAATGCCCAAACCAATTATTCCGAAAATAATCGTTTTCGTTTTCAATACGGTAAAGGTTACCTAAAACGTTAAATTAAATTATTACATACCATTATTTACATTATTGCATATTTGACCTGGAACAGTGAAACCATTCAACGTGAAACCAGAGAGAAAATATTTAATAACATTGGAATTTTACTTATATGCCATTATTCATAATATTATAGTTTATAATATACCTACCTACGGTATGGTACGGTAAAAGCACTATGCAAATGTAATTTTGACTCGATTCATAGGTTTAATATGTTAGCTTCATCAATATGTTATATCATATTAAAAACAATTAGGTTTAAAAAAAAAAAAAAAAAAATCCAATACAATATTGTGTATAACAAGAAAATAAATTTTAATTTAAAACGCCTGTAAAACATGTACACAAACTATAGGTATATAATACCTACTAATGAAAGTCATTCTGCACGAATTCATGAGTAGTACGCAAAATGTTTATGATTTTTTTTTATAATAACTTTTGTCAACCTTCGAATTTCAAACGAGTGTTTTCAGGGAGAGTAGCGGAGAAAAGATTTTATAAGCAGGGTCATTCATGGTAGGGGGGAGGGGACAACGGGCCATTTTTCCATTTTGCTTAATTTGTGCAAATAAGTTTACGGATCCCAATCTTGAAATTGAAATGTATAGGATATGATACATTAGGCAAATAACGAGCTGCTTACGTAGTGATACAGTCGTGCACTGTGCACTCCTGTAAAGGAAACCAGTTTTTAGACTGGCTTACTTTCCAAGGAGAGAAATGATTCGGAGACGTTGATGAGAAGATAATAAACTTTTATCTATATTATAAAATACAGGAATTTAGGAAATAGGGAATGTCTGCCGGCTGTCTGAAAAAATCAACAAGGTGGTCAACAAAGAGTACCGCTTTGTCATAATTGGTGATAGCTCAACAAATGTCTGATTTTTTTAAAAGATAATAGTACTTAAATACTTGGAAGCTACGGAGAATTTTCCTCTTCGTATATAGAAGTAGCAGTTTTTGATAGAAAGGGCATTTATCGAATGATTAGTTGTGGAGTACTACCAGAATTTTTTTTTTTTTTTTTTTGATTTTATTGTCCATATTATTCTTAACGTTTTGGTCGGACAAGAGTCTGATTCATTACTAGATTGGTCTAACACGACACTAAATACATTTTAGGATACGAACAAATAATGGGGTTGGGACAGATTAAGGAAGAATATGTTGTGGGGAGCCAAGCAGCTGACTGAATGTAACCGGAAAAAGTATTAATGGTTTTTTTTCAATTTCATCAGGTGGCTTTAGATTAGATACTTTATATAACTTTTTATTTATATAACTTTATTCAAATAGTATTTAAAGTTTTTTCAGTAAATTTCCCCACTAGTAAGAGAACAGCGGTTTGGGTTTGTTAGGGCATTAACATAACGTGAAAGAAGAACTGGAGAATAATTGGAACAGAGGTCAACGAGATAACATGTATTTATACAGGTGGTTTGGAGTATTATTGCATACAAATATATCTAACATTATGTCTGCACGTATTATTTCGGGGTTGGCCTTTACGTTGAGTTAGGGGAGTAATTACTGAGTACGTTTTGTTAGCCGGAGCTACGTTTAAGGAAAAATATGATGCAAATAAGAACTGATTAAATTTAAAATATCAGTCTTCTTGTAAATCCCCGTAGATAATCGCCGGATCGTAGCATATAACTTTCCACTATGAATTTTATTATGTGGGGTGCACCAAAACAAATTTCTCTCTATATAAATTCTCTTTTATTATTATTATTATTATAATATTAAGTATCCACACACGTCATTTAAATGCTGTGTGTGTGATATTAAATATATGTTGCAATATGTTGCTTTTCTTAGACGTAGTTCCATATCGTTTTTTTCTCCTCCTCCCTCTCCGCCGATTATTTTATTTGAAAATAGAACTTAACGTATTCTTCTTTTTGTATATGGATAATAAATTCTCGGTATATGACCAACTCCAATATATCTATACTACGATATATTGTATCATCCCTTTTTTATCGTTACCTACGTATATATATTTTTTCACTTTTTTGCTTTTATCAATATCTGAGCGGTATTGAAAACTTTTTTTTTTTTGTAAGCAATCATTTTCGATTGAAGCTATACTAAGCACAACACATTTTTTTTTTTTTCAGATACCTAATGTATACACGCAACTCGCCTACCTTAAATCTCTAATATTTATAAATTTAATATGCTGTTCACTTATAATATATTATTCTTTACTTTTTCATTTTCAATACTAAAAAAAAAAAAAAGAAAAATATATTACAGTATCTAAACATCGTTATTATTTTACTTTTAAATTGTTTTTGTGTTGTATTTTAAATTTGGAGCGTACAAGAGATCTATTGGTTTTATTATGATGTGTACTTTTTTTGTAAATTTAGTTTTTTTTTTTGTTTGTGCTACATTTCTACTGAAAATCTTGCTCCGACGTATCAAGTGTAGCATTTTTTCTGAAAGGAAATTTTATCTATTTAGTGTGATAGCACGTCATTATTTGATTTTCGAAGGAGCTTTTATAATAATTTGGAAAATAATTTTATTTTAAATTTTTTACCACTTTTGATCAAAAAACAACAAATAACCGTTTTCGTTGCATATTGGATTTAATTGCTTACTAAGTAAGTCATTTTTTGATCTTCTCTGTAGTTTTTTAATAATTAGGAATACCAGAAAAAAGCGTAAAATAAAAATTGATAAATTTACGGCGTTACGATTTCATTATTTTAAATTTGTACGCATTATGTTTTTTATCATAAATATTTCTCTAACAAAAAACAACTAAAGATCTATTGAGTTAAATTTTTAATCTTGTTGGTGAGTAAGAGAGACGTTTATTTTGTTTCGCTCGAAGTTTTTTTTAAATAATTGAGCTAAACCGAACAAAAAAGTAACAGACATTTTTTTACGAAAGAAATGTTTTTATTATATTTGATTTTATTTGTTGTTTTAATTTACTTTAAAATATAAATATAATACAAATATTCATGGAGACTTGAATTTTTAATAGAACCTATGTTATATATGACTTATGTTTTATTTTTCTGGATGTCACACAATTTTCAAAATATTTGAGCTATTTTGAGTTACGTTTAAATATTTTAATTTTGTGAATTTTTTAAGAAATTTCTATTCGGTAGATACTCAGTAGATGAAATTGTTAAACTGAACAGAAATGTTTGACAATTCGGCAGAAGATCCAATACAAGTAATACTTAGAAGTTATAAAAAAAAAATTGAGTGTTAAGTAGTATTTCATTTTGTTATAAGAATTCCAATATCTAATTTAGACGAAAATCGTTAATATTACGGTCTTTCAAAACATGACGGTTAACAGAATTTCACTCTAAATCATTTTTTTTTTATTTGGCAATAATTGTATATTAACTTATAGATATAAATTAAATAACTTTATACATTCTAACTTCAAACAAATGGTACATCCTTCTTTATTATTAGCTATTTTTTTTTTTTTTTTAACATTTTATTTTAGGTTTTAGTCAAATGGTAATGAGTAAAATGTATATATTTTAAAATCAGAATTATATTGTAACAACTGTGTAGTCGAAAAATTCGTTCGAAACCAAAGGAAACCGAACAAATAAGACGAAGAATTCGGTTTGAAAAGAGGATATCGCCGAAAAATTAACGGAATATAATCTCCGAATTATTGGTTTAATCTTTTTTGGTGAACAAAAAATATTCAGAAAGTAATACTGTTGAAAACGCTCTAAACAATACCCGGTCCGCACATTTCTTAGTTTACTTACTGTGTAGGTTTTCGCGATCAATACTACTCAGGTTTTATTTAAACTATTTAAGATAATATTATTATTATTGTGAAATGTAATATGGTGAGAGTAAATTGCGAAACCGTCATCGTGTGTAATTCGCTTGAGAACTTTCGACGAACGGAACGCGCATAGAGTTATTGACGTTTTTTCTCGTGCGCGCGTGTAATTTTTGGAGAATCCGATACATCGGCACTCGAAATCCTGCAGTGTTTTCACCGAATATTCGATTTCCAAACATTTCATAGGTTAAAAATTCAATATTTGAAAATATGCGCTTATTTTCGGTAAATAAACTACTAAAAATTAAAAATGTCATTCATCATAAGTTCCATTCAGTAGTAAACATTTTTTTTAATTCCGATTTTCCAACAAACCGTCAACAATATTAGGCGAATAATTTGCAAATTTATTTTCAGGAGAAATGCAATTTCGACGTTATTAAAACAAACTCGTATCGTGCGGAATTCATTTTACAACACAGGGTACGTAGTATTTATTAAGTTGGATATTTTTTACGCAGAAATTCGTCATGAAAATTATATTGTTAAACGAATCACAATTATATGTACCTACCTAAAATATTTCCTGTCCCTGTCACAAGATTAGGCGTTCCGGGCTAATAACAATTAAAATCGACAACCGTTAATGTTAAAACGATATTATTGTATTTCCAGGGTCTTTGTCGGCCACGTAGGCTCGACACGGATTCCCCAGACCTTCAAAACTATTGACGTTTGGGGCCAGCCAAAAGTCTATGATTAAAAATCTACCACCGTCAAACGTCCGGTCGTCCGAAAAATCGAGATTTTCAGAAATGTTACCGGATTATGTTTGTCAAATGTTTTTTTTTTCCGCCGGACTTTGCCACGCAATGGCGATCTTCAGTAGGGATTTATACGAATCCTGCCAAAGCGTTACCTTCCATTTCCATCGCCCTCAAAATCGTTCTATTAGCAGTCGAACGTTGCACAATTAATAATATATGCTCGTCTTCGGGAAAACGTAATTTTTAACGGGTGCTTATTTTTCCAAACGAACAACTTAATAAATATTCACCGGAAAACAACCAACTGGTTTGTTCTAAGACTTTGTGTATATTGAAGTATACGTTCATATATCATCAGGTATTGTAAAAATTGTAATGGCAGAAAGGATTTCCGGGGTATTGATAATTATGGAATTTTCATTTTCACAATATGATTTTTTTTTTTTTTTTTTAGGCAGTCTGCGATAGACCTAGAGACTTTTATTTCATCTGTTCGATTTATTGTTAAAAGTTTTGCTATTCAGACTTTTCGTAGACATTTGCAAACAAATAACAAACCGCGTCCGAAAAATCGTCGGATACGTCGGTTTTTCGCATTACTTTAAAATTATAAATCACAAACGACCCAAATTGCATGCACAAGGTACGTTTAAATATAATTAGTTAATATTGAGTTTAGTTTCCATATTATCATCGTCATTGTGTACTCACTTATTGCGGCCATATTATCTGAAAGAATAAAAACAGTAAATTATTAAAATATGTTTATGAAATTATTTTGGTAATATTTTAGATTTTGAGTGCAGAGTGGATTGAATTTTTTTTATTTTTTGTGTGTCTGTTAACCAATTTTCTACCAGCTTTAATGAAAACATGATTTATACCATATATTGTATCATATTGTATCGTTGCCGAGCAACAATTTCAACTGAACTCCTCTCAGAATCGTTTTATCGTTAGCAATGGTTTATCGTTGCTTACAGATATACATTAAATTACCTATAACCGCGGGTGCACTCTTCTCCATTATTCTAGGACGTGTTTTTTTTTTTTAGTTATTTCGTGATAATAATATTAACCATCATAATTAATAGTATCATGATACGAACAACATCGTTCATGCATTCATTTTTTAATGTAACGATAACGGAAATTAAGTAGTCATATTATTAATCAATTTAACTTGTGTATCCAATTTATTTACTTGTATAGCTCAACTTGTGCGGACAAAAATCGAACAACACATTTTTATTTAAAATACTATAATGCTATATGCTATACTATAATTGATCACACACGCTATCACGTATAAAATCATGGAGCGAACACATAATTATATTGATAGTGAATAATTATAATAGATATGATATTTACGATTAATTTTTAAATTTCATCTTATAGTACTTAATTTCAAATTATCAACGAAATTCATCTCTTACATTATTTTTTCTTGAAATGATGTTTGTAGACAAACCATACCGAGGTTAACTTCCATCAAGATAGCTTTTTGATGGCAATGATTTGTCGTTGCACAAGATTTTCGAACATATTTTAAAGTTTCCATATGTTTTAATTATTTAACAACCTATTTAATAAAATGTACCGAGAGTGCCATTAAACGATTTATTTTATTGTTTTACCAGACGGTAAACAATCTACGAGTACAAATAAATGATCGAATGACAAATAATTGTTGTTGTGTATTTTTGTAGCGATAATTGAAATGAATCGGTGTTTTTCTTCGGTATTCTTACACTGACGACATCGTACATTATATTATTATCCTAGAGAAAGATATAAGGAAACGTGTGTATGTGTGTGTGTTTGGAAATTACAAATGACGAAAACATATCTTTATGTACTGGGCGAATTTTTAATTACTAAAAGTTAACTCAGATTCGTTCTCGAATCTAGGACAAAATCCAAAACACATTGATTATTTTAATGTAGGATCATCTAAATTCTCTCATTGTTATAAAAAAGTAATTTTGGTTAAACTTGGTCATGCCCTTTTTGATCTCGTGTCCCTGGTGTGTTGAAAAATAGCCACAGAAGATAGTTGCATTGTTATATGGGCTTAACTAATGAAACATAGCATTTAGCAAAGCAAAAATAATGTGTAATACTTAAATTTTAGAATATGCAATTTTTAATAAAAAATGAATTTATTTTATTTACTGTAAGTCTATTATTTCCAAAAATAAAAAAAAATAAACTACATAATTTATAATTTGTTATGCTTAAATTGATACCTAATTTATAGTTATTTAAATATGTTTGATAAACGGTTGAAAATAGAAAAAAATAATTTTCATAAAAATTATGTAGAATTTTGTTTTCTGATAAAAAGTATTTCTATATAAAATTCACTGGATCCTCAATTTCATTGCTTGCTTCATTTATTTATTTAACTCAAGCTAAAATTAATGGTGAATTTCCAATACATACTATGTGAGAGCATATTATTTGTATAAGAGGTGTGGAAAAAAATATGGTAACCACAACTATAAATTTGAATATTTTTGCAATACAATTGTACGCACTTTAGACTTATATACGAGTAGCGAATATATATCAAACATAATATCGCTTAATCAATAGACTATTTAAGTAAATTTGAATAATGAACAATCTTGTTAGTTTGTTAGCCTAATTACTCATATTGACGTTAAATTCACCATTAATTTCGCGAGGTGAATGTAGGTGGGCACCTCGAAAGTTGTACGAATTACGAATTAGAGTTTCATTTACTATATAATAATACTCGCATTCCGAATCACTGAAATATCGTATATAGTAATAACGCTACTTGTGATTAAGTATTTTTGTCGCTATGGTCGATTATTATCAATTGATCGGACGTCGGCAGATCTCGAAATCGCAGTATTCGATAAACGTGTCGGCTGCTCGGACGACATAATTAAGATAATTCAAACACAAACAATTGAAACGTAACGGCCGCTGTACTACAGATGTGGTCGTATTGAACGATTTCGTTACAAACTCGATCCAATCGAAAACTTTAAACGGTCACTCTTGTAGTATTCGATATCCAGTTGATTGCGTTCCTAGGTAACGGAAACGCCGGTAAACCGTGTACAAAAAAAAAAAAAAAAAATGCAAAAGTTTGCTCTTTGTGTGTGTTCCTGAACGACATTGTCAAATTATCCTATTCTGCCTGTATTAGGAGTGCTCAGTAATGCCGATTCGATGTACTAACATTATATTAATATATTATCCAAACGAATTTAATGGGATTTCGGGAATTCGTACGTAATTATTATAATAATATTAGTCGACTTTGATAGCGCAGGTGCGTCCGATTAACCGGCGAATCGAGTTTAAACAGATTATGATGGCTCCGGCGCGAAATCGTGCCGCGGTCGGAGTGTGGGATCACGTTCCCGCGGCGATCCTTACCGAAAGGTCAGGTTTATACCTATGGGTTCCGTCCCGTTATCGATGACGCGCCGCGCCGCTAACCGACAGTTCGTGGGATTTAAATATTTACAAATGGCCACCGCCGATGGCGTCATAATCGGCTTTGCACTATCGCCGGCACGTAACGTTCGACAGCAAAACGGTTGGCATTTCCGAAACAAATCCGTTTGAATAAGGTTGATACGACCCCATCATACAATATCGGATAATTCGATATTTGAACACAGCATACCTATCTGCTGTCGAGAACGGTTTCGATAACGGTCCACGTCAACATTCAATACGAAAATTGTTATGAAATGGCATAAAAAAAAAAAAAAAGATCATATAGTTTAGCGCAAGTATGAATACAATGCGTATTACTGTTAAAAATTTGTCGAAAGTGGGACGTGTGTTAATAGAGAACAGAGACGATAGAGACGATGCGTCAATTAAAAAAAAAAAAAAGAAAAAGCTGATATCGCTGATTGGTGCGCGATTGTTGTAAACGGGATGATGGGAAGGTTAGATTTAATAGACATAAAATTGTTAAATTTTTATCTGTATACGACGATAAACCATTGCTAACGAGAAAAACAATTCTTTATACATTAGTGTCGGCAAGGCCGTTGAATTTGAATAATATTTATGTACACGTATATAAATATATGCTCATGTTAAATGTTCATTCATTTTATGTTCGGTCAAACAATTATATCCACATAGCCTACTAAATAATAACTACGTAAAATCTAGCAAACGTAAAATGCCTATTAATAGCTCGAAAATCTCCAAAACGAAGAAAAAAAAAACTAAAAGACAATGTGTATTATTCAATTTATATTACTTTTTTCAATTTAAATTTGATGAAATATCATGTTGCTCGTGGTTTCAGATTTCGAAACGGATATCGTTCCGAAAACGAACAAAATCCCTATATCGGTATACGAACTTCGTTGTGGCGATTGTACGCGCGTGTTTGCGTTTATTAATTATTTCAAATGTAGTAGACGTTGTAATATATAGTCGAATCGACATCTAATAAATCTAATAAATCCAACAAATCAACAGAGCGTTTCTACAATGACTATAAGTGAACCGGTTTATTACGAACAGAACAGGGTGAAAAATGAAAAAAATGTTTTCTTAAACAACACGGAACATGCTGCGAAATTCTCACCTAAAATAACGAATCACATTAATTCTCATAATTACGGCGCCAGATCAGATCTCAAACATGATGATAACGGTATGTGCAATGCTATTAACCGTCATTTTAATGTTAATTTTTGCGGAAAATACCATTCTAAAGATTATTATTATCAGTGTGTTGTATTATAGTTAACAATTAAACGAGGTAAATCCAAAATAACGAAGATGATAACAAAACGGAAACAAATTGGTTTTTTATTTGCACTTTTCCGCGTGTGGCTAACTAGCTTAATCGGTCACCAGTAAGTCGTAATCATTATTGAGAAACACTCAGTCAGATAGGAATCCATCGGTCCATGTCCTCAAAAATAAGTCACGATAGACAAGTAGTTCTAAACGTTTATTTCACGACGACGCGACGTTAAGACTTGCGAACTGAACATAGGCATTTAATACTTGTGCAAATACTAGAATAACTTACACGTATTTCCCTTTCGATATCTACAAGTGTAGACTTTCTTTTCAATTTTTGCGGTTTATAATTGCTAAACGTCGATCCACACAGGCACGATGTTAAAAATTAGAGCAAGATTTGAAATGGTTTTAGCCTGTTTCAGTTATTCGGTTTTCAACCACAAATTTATCGATTTGTAATTCATACAATTTATAAATTAACATATAAATTGATATTTCTGGTAAATGTTCAATTTTAAGTTAGCATTTTTAATATATTCTTCGCGGCATGAACCAAATAAACAAAAAAAATGTTTTATTTAAGTCGATAAAAGTGATAGAAAATAAATCTTTTAATTTTGTGTAAAAGTCAACGAATGTTCATTTATTATTATATTTTTTTGTTTTCTTTTACAACGCATTGTCGATTTTTCGACCTATAAAAATGCATACATTTTTTGTGAACGATAATCATAAAATTAGTTTTCGGTCTATTCAATAATAGGCCATAAATACTATTTTAATGTTTATGTAGGTATGCGAAAGGCTCGCTGTCTCTACTCATCGTTCTGTATTTGCCAGTTCGCTATATTGTAATTATGCGCGATACAATGGATATTATTATTATCCGCTCGAGTACACGACTTGTGTTGTAGTTGTGTAACAGACACGC